AATATATTCTACTTGTAATACTAATAACCAAATATCTTGGAATTCAATTTTTTATGGTAATTATCCTCACTTAAGATTAAATCTCTAATATAATCATTTCAAGCTAATATATCCAAAATTTTCATTTTGCATATTAATTATATGCTCTAAATATTATTGTCTCATTCTTGTCATTTTAAGAAATAGTTGGTTTTGATTGTAGATCAATTTATGTCTCTATTTTATGTTTTCATGCTATTTGCCATTTCAATATTTATAAGTATTAATTTTTCAAATAGATATAATACAATTCATTAAACCAAATTATGGAGTCAATTTTAATATATGCATAAACCTATGTAATGTAATTAATATTTTGCATATTACGTTTTGACTTTACACACTAATGAAATTAATTGTTACTGTGTTTATCTCTTTTAATCAATCTTCTTACCAACAATTATTCAAAAAATAAAATACATACCTTTAATGAAGATCTTTATGAAAATGAACATTTTGATCAATGGAAACATTAATCCTTTGACACTTTAAGCTTCCTCTAATATTGATCCCTAAATTATGCCAATTTCTTTTCCTTATATCTTTTTCATGCGAAATATAAATTTTTCATAATTACCTTTAAATTGTTAAAAAAATAAATAAATAATAAAAATAATAAAAAAAATTTTGACTTTAAAGCATGAAGAATACTTTTTTAAAAGCAATTATGCCTTTAGGATATAACAAAGTCTTAAGATTCTTCAAGCAAAAATAGTAAAAATGATTATATTGAAATATCTATTTATAATGAATGAATAGATATAAATTTTTATTCAAATAGTTATGATATTTTATGTAATCATGACTTTTATGAATAATAATTTATTTATATTCAAATACTTTAATCATTTGTCATATGATAATTGTTCTATTCAAATATAATTATTTAAAATATGAATAAAATTAATATAAAAATTAATTTTATTTATTAATAATTAAAATTTTTTATCCAATATAAAATATAAAATGTATCACGTTATAAACTACCATCACTTAAACTATCGTGATAGAGAAATGGTTGCCCCATTTGCTTTAGCAGCATGGCAATTGCCAAGAACAAACTATCCACTCAATTATGAAAGTGCCAAAATCATGTAGCATTGTAGTTGATGCAATTGGTGTGGACCTAAGCCCTGATTAACTTCAACATCTCTAGCTCCCTATGTCTTTTCATCCAGCTGCAAACCATGTCCAATGCAGAATTTGGAATGTATTTGTTCCCAGCCTGGGCTTTTCAAGGTTTCGCTTCGTTTGGATTTTGTGTGGGGGACCTCAGCTCAGGATTTAGATCAATCAACCTTTTGGCATTTATACATGTTTATGGTATAGTATCAATCATTTTAAAAATGAAATGTAAGAGTTATTTTTCTTAAAAACCTATACTTATTTATATACTTGTCACTTTTCTTATCATCTCGTAAGCAATATGCTGCTTTATTTCATTGTTGGATGGTTGTCAAAGTCACATTCAATCACTTCAATTGGCCTTATAATCCTAACAAGATCTTCAGATTGATTTATAACACTCGCTTGGCCACAAGATTTTTGCATCAACATTTCCCATCACAGTTTCCATGCAATTAAGGACAAATTAAAATTTAAGATTTCTTTTTGCATTTTTTTTATCGAGAACCTCTTTTTTTTAGATAATAATTTTTAATTAACCTGAAAAATAAAACTATTATAGGTAGAAAAATGAAAATTTCAACTTGGGGAACAAATTTTCCTTATTTCGAGAGCAAAAACATATATTATTTTATGAAAAAAAAAATTGCTTTTCAAGTCATATGCATTTTTGGACTTTCCATATATGAGCCTGAGAGGCCGTTGAACTTGAGCCCGTCTCTAAATTCTTTAGGCCACTAGAATGCAAACCCATCTTTGGATAGGCTGGCTAGGCCTGTTAAGTGAATAGGATTTGAAATAAAAATGGCAATGGGTTTCTTCAGTTTGTTTAGGGCATGGGTAGTAGGCTTCTGATAAACCCAATCAAACATAATGAATTTTTAATATTATTTTTATTTTTTGTGTGTATATTACTTATAATTGACATTCAAATTTATTGATTTAATTTTGATTAATAAAAAATATAAAATAATTTTCTTTAATTTTTTATCGTTGAATTCGGGTCGAATTTTGGTAATGGGCACTCATAATCATTTTTAACCAAATAAATAGATTAGGGTTTTAATAAGATATTACTAATAGAGTTTAGGTATTATATTGAGTAACAAAGTTAGGACATTTGTACCTCAAAATTAGCAGTACTCTACCCATGAACCATTTTTTGCTTAATTTACCTTATTTATTTCAATATATTATTCTTAAGGACAACAATGTGAAGCTGTAGAATCAGTGGCAGAAAATTTTGCAATCAAGCCATCTTGTAGGAATGATTCTTGTCGTACCAATGTGGAGTAATGCAATCTTTATTCCTGCAATATTGAATTGGCTATAATTTTGATATGTTCAAGCATCTTCATATAAAAAAAAAAGTTTTCTAGTTGGACAAGGAGTTCTGAAAACATATTATTTACAATTTTTTTATTATAATATTACAATTGTTTAATTATAATAAAAAATTTTGTTAAAATTTATTATTTATAAACATGGGTTTCACATAAAATTTTTAAATTATAATTAATCAATTAATTATATTATAATGATCATAAGTGAAATGCTTTATGATAACGAGGACAAATTGATGGATGAGCAAATAAGGGTATCTATGAAAGAAGGAAATTATTCATTGCAACCTATTACCCTAATCAATATTGGAATCTGTAGACAGTGGGATCCTAACATTAAAACCAACCATTTAGAATCTCTCAACCTGATTAGATAGCATATTACTGTTGAAGTATCTGAGAGAGAAAAGGAGGTTTGATTTTGAACATGAAACCTTGATTTCAGGAACTTTGAATTAACTTTAGCTTATGTAGAACCATTTACCAGGAAATAAAATTTTGATGATTTTGGGATTTTCTATTTAACTTTATTACCAAGTGGTTTTGGAATTTGGAGTAGAGATGAAGTTTTTGTAAGATTTGGATATATTATTTTGGGAATTTAAATACAACTTTATTTATGCTTTTTCCAAAATTACAAGGGACTGAATGTCCTAAAAAGCATTGCTTTATAGGGCCATCCATCCAGTTCAGTGCTGATTAAGTAGCAGGGATTTGTTGTACAATAAGAAACATTAATTATTGCAATTGATGTGATTTGGTGCAACTTAAAATCTTGTCACTCTGCTTTTTGCTTTGTTGCATGACCTTCAATTGAAAGTGAAATCCCAACAACAAAAAATATTGGAGCCATTTATAGGAATAATTTTTAAAAATTAAATTGATTTAAATAATTATTTTTAAAAAATAATATAAAATAAAATATTATTCTCATATTTAAAAAAAAAATTGCACGATATTATGTGGTTAATGATTTTATTTCAAGACAGTCACAGATATATTCATAATTTAATTATGACATACCTTATTAGTATTCCTTTGAAAATGACATGAAAAATAAAGCATGAAAAACATCACTGACAGCTTTAATATCTGGAATACTAATTGTTTTTATTTGAAAACATTGGGCTCCCCCTATTTGTCCATCAGCCAAAATAGGGTTTCAATCATCCAGATTCTCAACTAATTACAATCATACAAAACGTATATACTATATATATATATATTATTAGTATTATTATTTTTATTTGAAATCTAAATGTAAACAATGGGTTTCAAAAAGCTGAAGAGGAGGAAGGCACGGGCGTTTTGCTTTTGCTTTTTCCCATTCTACAAGGATTTCATTTCTTTTGCTGGCCCTTTTTACAAGTTTTTTTTTTTTTTTGGCCTTTTTCTTTTCTTTTGTTAAGTTTAGGCACTGAAACAGCTGAAAATAACAGCCAACGTGGAAGCATCAATTCCATGGACATGGAAGAATAAACGCATTCCGACATAGATTTGGTTTTGTTTTGTTTAGTATCCCTATACTTTTTACTAGTACAACATTTTAAAATACTATTGCCAAGTCCTTATGCCATGGACACACACATCTCTACAGCCAAAAAGATTTTGTTGGGTTTTCTTTTTCTTTTTTTTCTTGGCAGGTAAAAGAAAAGGACCCACTTCCCTAGTGTTTTTGCTTCTCTTTTTAGCTGTTGCTTTCTTTCTTAGTTTCCTTTTTGGTATGGGTGTTCTGCTTCTCCACAATCTCACAAGCATGTCGCAACAGGGCTTTGTAAATTTTTTTGACCATGATTCATATGTTCAGATATTTGAATACTGTGAGAGCTGAAAAAGGTATAATTGAGATCAATAAAGAGCTAAGATAATGATCAGATAGACATTGGTGAACATAGTATCAACATTAAGATTTTAGATAGATAGAGAATATATAATTTTTCCTGGTAAAAGATAGAAAGCTTATAAACAGAGCTAGCAGCCTTTCTATGTTAGTTGTTAATATTCTTTGTTTTCAGAGAATGGAATTAAGCCAATATGTCCACTCAATTCAATGGTCTATTATAGACTAATTTTCTTTTTCAATTAATGAGTTTAAAAACATTAAATTTTATAATTTAAAATACATTTAAAACATAAACATGATATAAAAATAATATAAATGTTATATAATTTAAAATTTTAATAATAATTATATATAAATTTAATAAAATTAAAAAATTATATTTTATATTTTTATAATGATTCATAACATATAATTTTTATATAAATATAATATAAATATACAAAATTTTTAATATTTTACAAAATATAAGTATATAAAAAGTTTGGTTCTGCGGTCTAAATATTCTTTGTTATGTTTCGTGCAGCCAACCAGGGTAAGGATGAAAGCTTTACAGGCATATTTCATGTCAGGTTTCACATCCAATAAAAACATACTACTTCTAGAAAATAAATACTGAAACAAACTTAGGTTAATGATGAGCAGATTAGTAGACTGCAGCAAAAACAAACATAGGCAGGGCCAAAAAAGCAAGAAAAAATTACCCACAAACTCAAACGCCAACATCACCCCCTCCATTTTTTGTTCCCCTGCTTTCTTCCTTCATCTATTTATGTTTTGGTGAATAAAACAAACTAGTCGTAGTAATTAGTTGGAAAGAAGAAAAAGAAAAGAAAATTAAAGGTGTATGACAGCAGGGGGCAGTGGAGTCCAGTGAGTACAAAATTTACAGTACTCACGTCCCCCTCAATTTCTGCAGACACAAACACATGAATCACCCACCTGATTATTTCGTATTGGTTTGTTTGTTTGTTTTCTTGTTCCATGGAACAAAAAGGTAAATGGAGAGTCTTTTAGACTTTTACTTTGTTTATTTGTTTATATGTAGATTTTTGTAGGTAATTAAAGTGTTGTTTCTTGGAAAAGGGGGTGTTGTCGAGACTGAGAAAAAGAGAGGGACTCGGTTAAGAACCCCAAGAAAGCAAGCCAGGCAGCAGAGGGCTAAAAAAAGAGAGACAAGTTTTTTCTTTTGGGTTGGCCTTGAAAACCCAAAATCCAAAACCGGATAAAAATGCTGTTCTTTCACTAGCATTACTATTATTGAGTCATAAAAAATGAGTATTTTTCTTCTGTTCTTCTTCTTCTTCTTCCTTTCTTCTGCGACTGTTTCTTTGTCATATGAGCCTCGTAACCATGAAGGTAAATGAACAAACTAAAATCTTTTGTATTCGTTGGCTTGTTTTAAAGTTATGGTATGATTTTTTCTTTTGGGATTTTATTTTATTTTTTATGTTTTATTTCTTGATGGGATTATAGTGGAAGCGTTGATTAGTATAAGGAAAGAATTGAATGATCCACATGGGGTATTAAACAACTGGGATGAAGACTCTGTTGATCCTTGTAGCTGGGCTATGGTCACTTGCTCTTCTGAAAATCTTGTTATTGGCCTGTCAGTTTCTCTTTTTCTTTGCAATAGTTATTTTTTTTTCAGTTTCTCTTTTGAAAATGTTGTTTTTTTCATTTTTATGGGTTTTGTCCAGGGGAGCTCCAAGTCAGTCTTTATCAGGAACTTTGTCTGGAACTATAGGCAATCTCACCAATCTTCGCCAAGTGTAAGAAGACAAAATATTTTGTTTTCGTTTAAAAAGCCTTTTTCTAAGCGAAGTTTAAGTTTCTCAAGATGAATGTTCCGAATTAGCATAATTTCATTTTTCTTTTATATTTGTTTCTTTGATACTGATTTTTTTATTTTTTATTTTTATGTTTTAAATTGCTGTTGTAAATTTGAAGGTTGTTGCAAAACAATAACTTATCTGATAAAATCCCACCTGAGCTTGGGACTCTTCCAAAACTGCAGACCTTGGATCTATCTAACAATCGATTCTCCGGTGCAATTCCAGGGTCATTTGGACAGTTAAATAGTTTGCAATACCTGTAAGTATTTCACTGTAATAGTTCTTTGTTTTCTGTTTGTTTGCTAAGAAAAGTAGAGGAGAAATGGAACCAAATAGTTGTAAAAGACTTTAGTTGACAATACTTTAGGGAGGGGGTCCTAAATTATAGTGGCAATTTTCTTGCACATTTAAATTGTATGGTTTAATATTTGCAAATTCGTTTTGTGATATCTTTGCTTTGTAGCTGTGTATATGACATCTTAGATACTGTGTTGTTTTATCTTGTAATGAGAGTAGGAGGTTGAACAACAATAGCTTGTCTGGGCCTTTTCCTGCATCTTTAGCGAAGATCCCTCAACTTGCTTTCTTGTGAGTGTGAATTTCTTTCCTTTTCAATCTCTTTCTCTATGTTGTTATGTTTTTTCTTTTTATTCCAGAATGCTGCTTCAATTTTCAAAATCTGGTTATTGGTATTTCAGGGATTTGTCTTATAACAATCTCAGTGGACCTGTACCCAAGTTCCCTGCTAGAACTTTCAAGTATGATTTCATTGCTGCAGCCTTCTCTTATCAATTACTATCATCATTTAGTTCTAATATTTCCTTTTGATACATGGATTGTAGTATTGTGGGGAATCCATTGATTTGTACAAGCAGCTCCATTGAAGTTTGCTCTGGATCAGCCAATGCTGTTCCCCTTTCATCTTCCCTGGGTTCATCAAATGGTAAGTCTCTTCAAACAGCCTTGAAACTAACCTTCCTCTCCTTAATTAATAGTTTACATATGTTGCTTTTTGCCTTATGAATCAGGGGAACAAAAATCCAAGAAGTTAGCTATTGCACTTGGAATCAGCATCAGCTTTGCCTCTCTCATACTCCTAATATTTGCACTACTTTGGCACAAAAAGAAACGGAAAAAGCTAACAATTCTACATATTAGTGGTCCGTGATAACAATTAAATAATGTTAAAAAGTTTCTTTTATATATTTGTTTAAAGTGAATTAACATTGTCTCTTTTTTGTTGCAGACAAACAAGAAGAGGGCCTCATAAGCCTAGGTAACCTTAGGAACTTCACTTTCAGGGAACTCCAGGTTGCTACAGACAACTTCAGCACCAAGAACATACTAGGCACTGGAGGTTTTGGCAATGTCTACAAGGGAAAGTTAGGAGATGGTACCCTTGTGGCCGTGAAGCGGCTAAAAGACTTGACAGGGAGTTTTGGGGAGTCACAATTCAGGACTGAGTTGGAGATGATCAGCTTGGCGGTTCACCGTAATCTGCTTCGTTTAATTGGATATTGTGCTACCTCTAATGAGAGACTTCTTGTCTACCCTTACATGTCTAATGGCAGTGTGGCGTCCAGGCTCAGAGGTTGGTATTTGATACTGGCTGTACTTTGCTGAAACATCTTTCATTCAATTCTCATGCTGGACAAGTTTTGCAGATGATTTTTTTACTGTAATTTAGTGTATCTCTGATGCAAATAAATTGAGTTTGGCAGGAAAACCCTTACTAGACTGGAATACAAGGAAGAGGATTGCGATTGGAGCAGCGAGGGGACTTCTGTATCTACATGAGCAATGTGATCCAAAGATAATCCACAGAGATGTGAAGGCAGCTAATATTCTTCTGGATGATTACTGTGAAGCCATTGTTGGTGACTTTGGCCTTGCAAAGCTCCTTGATCATGCTGATTCCCATGTTACTACTGCTGTCCGTGGCACTGTTGGGCACATTGCGCCAGAGTACCTCTCAACTGGCCAGTCTTCGGAGAAAACTGATGTGTTTGGATTTGGCATTCTCTTGATAGAGCTCATAACTGGAATGAGAGCTCTCAAGTTTGGTAAAACAGTTAGTCAGAAAGGAGCAATGCTTGAGTGGGTTAGTTTCCTCCGCAACTATAATAAGCTAAACTCTTACTTTTTATTAATATCAACTAGGTTGCTTTGTTTGATCACTTAAGCCCTTTGTAGGCACCTTAGATGTTGAAAGAAATATGGTATTGATCAAGAGATTTTGATCTAATATGCATTTGACCATAAGACGATTTCACGTAAAAATCTCCTGTTTGGGTTAGCTAGTTTGTTTTCTACATGTCTAGTAATCTTCATATGAGTTTGACCTGCCTGGTGATTGCATCTTATTTTGATGTATGTTGATCTTTAACCTCCATTATTTTCCAGCATTTAGGAATCTGCATGTTCCCATGCCTTCGCAATCTTGAACTACACTGTTGTGGCACAATGTTTATGCCTTTGCAATTTGTTTTGGCAGGTGAAGAAAATTCAGCAAGAAAAGAAAGTGGAAGTATTGGTGGACAGAGAGCTAGGGAGCAACTATGACAGGATTGAAGTGGGCGAGATGCTGCAAGTGGCGTTGCTATGCACTCAATACCTTTCGACCCACCGCCCAAAAATGTCTGAAGTGGTCCGGATGCTTGAAGGTGATGGGCTGGCTGAGAAATGGGCAGCAACGCATAATCAGAGTAATCCCACCATGAACCTATTTCCTAACAACTTCAGTAACAGAAATATGGCCTGCTCTACCACTGGATCAAAACATGATGAAAAAAGTCATGATCAAACGAGCAACATGTTCGGTGCAGGAATCGATGAGGATGATGATGAACATTCTTTGGATTCCTATACTATGGAACTCTCTGGTCCAAGATAAGATCAAAAAAGAATGAGGTGAAGTGAAATATATATAGAGAGAGCATGAATTCTTTATTAAATTCTATACGAGTGGCCTAAGTTTCAAAAAAGAAAAGGAAATAGGTGCAGCCTTATGTTTAAAGACTTTGATATTAAGTTTAATTTTCTGGGATTCTAATGTAAATGTCCCTTTGACTGTTTTATGTTTCTTTTCTGCCAAACGGAAAAATGGGAAACTGCAATGAGCACAGTAAGGGTTGTGTCGGGTTTCAGATGCTCTGCTTTCAAGTGAGACAGAGTCTCAAGCAAAGAATGATTTTGACAGTTTTGACTAAAAAAAGAAAAAGAAATAGGCTTATGTTTTGCAATATTTTTCAGCTGTGAAGTGAAAGGTTATTGTTAAAGGTCTCTGAGCTGTTAAGGGTCATTATCTTGGGATGCTTTTGCAGTCTCACGTGCTTGTTGGCTCTTTCATCCTTTTTGGCTTTCAACCCTTTGAATTTAACCCCATTTCAAGTTTCAACTCCCGCTTTGGCCCCTTCTCTTTTATCTTTGCTGTATCACTTATTTTTGCTTTGCCCTTTGCTGACCAGTTATGGAGAATAACATCTTTAAACTTCCGATTCTTGGTAACCCATGAAATCTTCTAATCCTGTAAATACGATTCTCTTTGTTACGTAGTCATTAGGAAAATCATCTGTTGACCAACGTTTTGTAATGTTTGTCAACACATTTTTGGTGTTCTCACGTGCATGAATGTTGGAATTATTAGATGTTGCGAGTTCAAAGATCACATTTTTGTTTTTCAACCGTTGTAAGGATATAAAAAACATCGATCACTGATGCATGTCACATCAAATGCTCTAAAAAACTGTGCATGATGTTTTATAGGAGTTGAACACTTCAATAAGTAAAGTTTATAAAGAAAAAATAACGATCACAGGACACATGATAATGGTAAAATTAAATTTTGCCATGTTTGTCTATTATTTATAATTTTGTCGTAATAAAAATTATTTTATTTTTTTAGTGGAGATAACATTAGTGTAAATGACTTCTGTTTTAAGTGCAAGTTGCATTCTTCAATTACATAAAATGTTTGTTTGGTTTATTTCTAGGTTGCTCATGATCTTTTAGTTCATTAAGCCATCCATTTTGTACCTCTTAACTACTCTTTAACAACAACTATTTAGAAAACTTTGCTAGCTAGCTAGTAAAATCCCAGAAAATTGTTAGATGATGTTAGCCTGCCTATATATAAGATGCAGCTCCCAATGGCCAAGGCGTCCAACCAAACAAAAGAATTTACGCTAGTGATCATTGACATGGAAGAAAGATCAATACCCACTGCCCAATCTCTCCTCTTCTTTGCCTTCACAATCATAAGCTTAACCAGTCAAATCGTTGTATCATTACCTTCCGATACGGGAAGAATGATCATCAATCTCATCCACAGAGACTCTGCTCATTCTCCACACCACAAGAAGAATGAAACTTTCACAACTCGCATACAACGGATTATGGCAACCAGTTCAATTTATTTGAGCGGTTTACGTGCTCACCTTGTTCCTTGCTTAGGCCTGTTTTTACCGAATTTCTCTGTAGGCCAAACACCTCTTCCTCAATTGGCAATAATGGACGCAGCAAGCAGTCCGTGTTCAATGCCTCCCTTGTCTCCGATGCTTCAAACAGTATGGTCCAATATTTAATCCTGGTAAATCCTCCACATTTGTCACATTGCCATGCAATTCTGAGTATTGTATCTATCCCAAACCTCCTTATACTTCGTGCACCTCATCCGATCCATGTAATTACTACCAGACATATGCTGACGGTGTTGATTCGTCTGGAAAGCTTGCGAAAGAGCAACTTATTTTTCCTACATCAAATCACAGTCTGGTTGTTGTGCTGGATGTGATATTTGGAAGCGGTGAACTGATGAGAAAAGTGCAAATCCGCTAATGGGCAGAGTATTTGGACTTGGCTTCCTCAACATATCATTAGCAATATTGCATCGGTGACCTTTGCGAAAGAGCAACTTATCTTTCCTACATCAAATCACAGTTAGGTTGTTGTGCAGGACGTGATATTTGGATGCGGTGACCTGGCAAAAAAGTGCAAACCCGCTAATGAACGGAGTATTTGGACTTGGCTTCCTCAACATATCATTAGCAATATTGCATTGGTGACGTTTTTTATCGTAACTATATAAATAATAAATTATGGATAATAAATTGGTTCTGGGTACTGAAGCTTGCACTGCAGGAGATTCCACACCCTTACAAGTTGTTCTTGAAGGCATTAGTATAGGTGAAAAATGTCTTCGAATAGATCATCCACTCCGGTTCAGTTGCTACTTTTCTAATGAAAGAAGCGTATGATCCAGTTCTCAAGGAATTTCAGAGTTTACTAGATGCATGGTTAACAAAGATTCACGAGACATATATTTGTCTTGTTAGGTACGGCACATTTTGTCATTACTTGAAAAACTGAGCAGCTTACCAACTTTCGGATTTTAAGTCAAAAAAAAAAAAACTATAAATCAAGACCTTGTGGAATTTCTTACTTTGACATTTCACTTTGCTGAAGGAGCTGAATTGCTGCTAGAAGCTGTGCGACCGAGAGATGCTAATAAAAAATATAGCAATCTAACAATAATTGGATTGTTGGCCCAACACAACAATAAGCGACATCAAACAATAATTGAATTGTTGGCCCAACAGAACAATAATGCCGCTTACGACATTTTTTATAAGACTATCTTTCTAAAGAATAGATTGTAAACTCTATAGACAGAACAATAATGTTGCTTACGATTATCATAACAAATAGATCTAAAAATAAATCGTTAGATATTAATTTAAAAAATTATCATTAATATTTTTATTTAAGTGTGATTAGTCATATAAAAATTTATTTTTCAAAAAATATCCAAGCTTGACTAAGGATTCTTAAAAGAATAGGTTCGAGTTTATTAATCAGAACATGATTCGAGAGTACGATTACGTGTGATGAAGATTATAGCACCCTCACAACACCCATCGAAAAATGTTACTAACTTAATTTCATATTATCCAATAAGCCTTAAAAATTTTATCAAATAATTAATTATTTGAAATTATTCTTAATTCACTTCAATACTTTTGATAGAAAATTAAAAAAAATCTCCTCACCTCAAGAGTATACAATAAAACTATTGTTTTACTTGCAGAGGCTCTATTGTCAGATTATTTAACATTAAAATTTTTTTTATTTAAAAATTTATTGCTTTTGTAAAAAAAAAATTGATACTTTCAACTTTTTCCTAAAAATATATTTTTTTAAACCTTTTTATTTTTAAAAAAAATTGATACTTTCAATTTTTTCCTAAAAATTTTTTTTAAACCTTTTTATTTTCAAGGGAAATTGATACTTCAACTTCCCCAAAATACTTTTAGAAAATTTTATTTTAAAAATTTTATTTTTAAGAAAAATTGATATTTTCAATTTTTTAAAAAAAAATATATTTTTTTAACAATTTTATTTTCAAGGGAAATTGACACTTCAACTTTTCCCCAAAAACTTATTTTTTATTAAAGAAAATTGATACATTCAACTTTCCTTCAAAAATATTTTTTTAAAATTTTATTTTAAAAAAAATTGATACTTTTAACTTTTCCTCAAAAATATTTTTTTTGAAAATTTTATTTTAGGAAAATCATTAAAATAAATAAAATAAATTAAAATTAAAATTAAAATTTTTTAAAAAAATTAAGGAATACCAAATAATTTTAATTTAGAAATAATAATAACAACAACAATAACAACAACAACAATAATAATAATGATAACAATAAAATAAATAAGTAAATAAATAAATAAATAAAACTTAAGGCGACTTGGCTTAACGATTGGGATTCGGTTCGGCTCTAGAAAAAAAATGGCTCGAAAACGAGGTTTGGGAGTGCGCGGCTCGGCTCTGCTCGGCTCCAAGGGTCGGCTGGCACTCAGGTCAGACACGGGTCAAAAACGGGTTGGCGCTTGGGTTGGATTTTGGCAAAACGTGCAGATACTAGGTTTATTAATGCTCAAAACGACATCGTTTTACGATAGTATAAAAGGCAAATACTTCATTTTTTTGTCAAATGCTTTTCCCTTTTCTCTCTTTTCCCCTCAGTTTTTTCCCCCTCTCTCTCTACCCGCAAAGAACTCTGACAGAATTCCTATCGGTTTCTGGGTTTTATCACTGAAAACTAGGTTTTTCATCGAAAAAGTTACTAAAAACTTGAATCTTGTCAAAAAATTCACCAGAATCTGAATTTTTCAAAAATTTTCCAAAAAAAAAAATCATAAAAAATTCTGAAAAATTCCCATAAATTCTTAAAATTGCTTCTAACTCACCAAAACCCTTTTTGCTTCTATTTTTTCTCTTTCATATACTTTATGTGTGTTCTTTTGGCATCACTTAGGGTCTCTATTTATATGATCAAAAACCAAAGAATCCTTATTCGACTAGAAATTTCAATTTCTGTTAAACTTTACCCTTATCCCCAGCTCAATCTCTACAACCCGATTACAACCTAAATTTAACTTCTTTTTTTTTGTTCATTTTTCCCAGCTTTTTTATTTTTTTATTAACAAACGTAAACCCCCAGAGAAATTGACATATCTACAGCTGTCCCTTTTTGCGCATTTTCTGTGAAATAAAAATTGTGCAAAGACGTATACAACCCAACCAACTTAGCCCATTTTTGTGTTTTTTTTTTGTTGAAAAAGTAAACAAAGTTCCTCTAAACAAAGGCTCAATGATAAATGCTCCTCTAAACAGAGGCAACACAACTTTGAAAAATAAAATGCTCCTCTAAACAGAAGCTCAACGACTTTTTGTAAAAAAATAAATAAAGTTCATCTAAACAGAGGCTCAACGACTTTTGAAAAATAAATAAAAGCTCATATAATCAGAGGCTCAATGACTTTTGAAAAATAAATAAAGCTCCTCTAAACAGAAGCTCAATGACTTTTGAAAAATAAATTGCTCATCTACATAGAGGCTCAAATTGTGGGATCCTGGAATACCTTTGCTTTTTGAATTTATGCACTATACTTTCTTAAATGCAGTATATGCTATGCAAAAGGCAATGCATGCGAAATTCAATGCATGTTATGCAAATGCTGGCTAATTAATTCAAATTTAGTTGTGGTACTCAAGTTTTTCAAGCTCTTTTCTTAGGCCTCAAACCCGTTATTCTTTAAAGACCAAGTCAATGTACCTCTCAATCATCTCTTTCATTTAATTATCACATTCTTTTTGTAAAAAATTCCTTTCCAAATTCAAGGTCCTTATCAGGAACTGAACATCTTAAATTTGCCTTTATCACTTTTGACTTCTCCAATGTAATGTAGAAATCTTTCATGCTATCATTCATTTATCAATCATTATTTTAATCTCAAAAAGTAAGAATGCATTCACACATTTCTTTCATTGCAAGGTATTAAGGAAAAAAGAATATGAATTGTTAGGAAATAGTCAACAGAAGCGACACACAAAAAATGAAGTAGAATGTCTTTTTATTAGCAAAAAATACTGGCAAATTTTGGTCAATAAAGAATTACAAAGGTAAGTATAAGGAGACAATGCCCAAAAATGAACAATCGAATAATCATGATAACACACCTCGAGGTCTTTTTTAAAAAACTCAACCACCCAATGCACTTAACAGCTTAGAGCTCCTCAGAATTTGTAACCTCCATGCTAATGAATTTTCAGATTTGATGTTGTATTCTCCTTATTTAAGCTGCCTTTTCAGGTTTTCAACTTAGATAAACCTCCTATGACTCAAATCATCTTTTTGGGGTTTTCGCCTTGAGTCTTCCATTTTCATTTTTTTTCTTTTTTTTTTCATTTTTTTATTTTTATTTTTTTTTCAAGCATAGTATTTCTTTATAGCATCAAAATTTATAAGATGGGGTAAATCACTTCCATTCATCTCAGGTAGTATCAATGCTCCACCCGAGAAAGCCCATTTTACCATATATGACCATTTCCAATTCAGAGTCTATTTTCTTCTATTATCATGTTGATTTAGGAGAATTTTTTTCAAAATCAACTCGCCTTCTCGAAAACAATGAGGTCAAACTTTTTTATTGTGAGCCATCATTATTTTTCTTTAATATAGCTAACCATGGCACAACGCTATCAATCTCTTTTTTTTATATAAAATTTAACTGTTTATAGCGTTCTTGAATCCATTCAGCCTCTTTCAGTCTAACTTCTTTTAAAATCCTCAGAGATAGGATCTCCACTTCTACTGGCAATACAACTTCTATCTCATAAATCAAGAAAATAGAGTTACCCTAGTAGAGGTGCACATTGACATTCGATATGTATGTAGTGCAAATGGTAATTTTTCATACGAATCTTTATAGGTCTCAGCCATCTTCTCAAGAATTTTTTTTATATTCTTGTTAGCTACCTCGACTGTCCTATTCATTTTGAAACGTATGGCACCGAATTATGATGCTTGATATTGTATTGGGCACATATTTCTTATATCATCTAGCTATTCATATTCTTAACATTGTTCAAAATGATTCTCTCTGAAAGTTTATATCTGTAAATGATCTCTTTTTTATGAACTTACAAATCACAGATTGTGTTACATTTACAAATGATGCTATCTCTACCCATTTCGTGAAGTAATCTATCATCATGAAAATAAACCTATACCCATTAGAAGCCTTTGGGGTAATAGGACCAATGGCATCTATGCTCCATATAAAAAATAGCCAAGGTAGTGCCAGAACATGTAAAGCAGATGACGAAGCATTGATCTTATCAGCATATAGCATTTTTTGAGTGTAATCAATGCAATCACTCTCTATTGTCAACCAATAATACCCTACTCTTATGATCTGTATTGCCATCTTATGTCCATTGACATGTGCCCTACATATTACATCATGCACCTGATTTTTTTTTACCTCTGTCTTATTTACGCATCTCAGCAATACTTGATCATGGCTCCTTTTATACAAAACTTTCACATCTAAAAAAAAAGCTCATAGCTAATCTTCGGATATTTTATCATTTTTCGTTACTTGGATTGGGTATTGTTGGTTCTTAATGTATTGTAATATATCATAAAACCAGAGCTTCCCATCATCTTTTTCTTCTACATTGGAGCAATGAGCTGACATATCTTTGACATCTAACTTAATAGGTTGAATGTCAGTATTATCGCTAATTCGGATCATTACAGTCAAAGTAGCCAAGGCATCGATAATTAGATTCTCCTCTCGAGGTAAATGATCAAACTAGATATCTTTAAATTACTTTATCAAACTCTAAATCCATCGTCGGATTATTTAACATTAAAAATTTTCAAGAAAAGAAAAAAATAAAATAAAAAAGAGGAATAATGATTCAACTTTTGATGCAAATACTTTTCTTTTTATTTTTTAAAAAAACTCATTGTTTTTGTACAAGAAAAATTGATATTTTTAACTTTTCCCTAAAAATATATATTTTTAAACCTTTTTATTTTTAAGAGAAATTGATACTTTCAACTTTCTCCCAAAAATATTTTTTAAAAATTTTATTTTCAAGGAAAATTGATACTTTCAACTTTTTTCTAAAAATATTTTTTAAAATCTTTTTATTTTCAAGGGAAATTGATACTTTCAACTTCCCCCAAAATACTTTTAGAAATTTTTATTTTAGAAATTTTATTTTTAAGAAAAATTGATACTTTTAACTTTTCTCTAAAAATATATTTTTTTAACCTTTTTATTTTCAAAGGAAATTGGTACTTTCAACTTTCTCTCAAAAATCTATTTTTTATTAAAGGAAATTGATACATTCAATTTTCCTTCAAAAATATTTTTTAAAAATTTTATTTTCAAGAAAAATTGATACTTTCAACTTTTCCTCAAAAATATTTTTTTTGAAAATTTTATTTTAGGAAAATATTTAAAAAAAATAAATTAAATTAAATTAAAAATTAAAATTAAAATTTTTAAAAAAATTAAGGAATACCAAATAATTCTAATTTAGAAATAAAATAACAACAACAACAATAATAATAATAAATAAATAAATAGAAAAAAAAACCTTAAGGGGCTCAGCTCAGTGGCTAGGATTCGACTCGGCTCCAAGAAGAAAAATGGCTCGAAAATGTAGCTCAGGAGTGCGCGGCTCGGCTCTAGGGGTCCGCTGGCGCTTAGGTCAGACACGGGTTAAAAGCGGGTTAATGCTCGGCTTAGGTCGGATCTTGACAAAATGCGCAGATCCTGGGTTTATTAACGCCCAAAACGATGTCGTTTTACGATAGTATAAAAGGCAAAGACTTTCATTTTTTTGTCAGATGCTTCTTCCTTTCCTCTTTCTTCCCCTCAGTTTTCTCTCCTTCTCTCTCTACTCGCGAAGAGCTCCAATGAAATTTCTACCGGTTTCTAGGTTTTATCACCGAAAATTGGGTTTTTCTTCGAAAAAGTTATCGAAAAATTTGAATCTCATTGAAAAATTCACCGAAATTTGAATTTTTCAAAAAATTTTCAAAAAAAAAATCACCAAAAATTCTGAAAAATTTCCACAAATTTTTAAAATTGCTTCTAACTCACCAAAACCCTTTTTACTTCTATTTTCTTCTATTTCGTATATTTTCTATGTGTTCTTTTGGCCTCATTAAGGTTCTCTATTTATAGGATCAAAAGTCAGAGAATCTCCATTCGATTATGAATTTTAATTTCTGTTAAACTTTTATCTTATCCCCAGCTCAATCCCTACAACCCGATTTCAACCTAAATTCAATTTTTTTTTCCTAAATTTTTTTAATTTTTTTACTTTTTTTATTTTTTTATTAACAGACGTAGAGCATAGACAAATTGAGATGTCTACAATGATATTTTTGAAAAAACAATATCTTTCCAAAGAATAGATTGTGAACTCCTCCTACAGGAGTAGTGATTGACTACGATGGTCAAGTGCATTTGCACATTCCCCTGTTTTTATATATTTTTTTCTACCTTTAATCTAGAACTCTAATACTTATATTTTGTTATTAGCTTTTTATTTTTATTAAAAAATTGTTAAAAAATAAAAGTAAACAGTATAAAAATTACTCTTTACTTCCATTTTATTAGAGTAAATCACTTTTGTAGTGTTGAGAAATCACCTAATAAGAGATAATGGAAAAGCAAAAAAAAAAACCCACAAAATTAAAATAGTGTAAAATATCACCTATTTTCATAGGTAACATAGCAATAACATAGTAACAAAAAATTTTATTCTTTTTCTAGTGGTCTTAATAGTCTCTTGCCGCAATCTAAGGAGAAGAATACTTGTACAGTTAGCCAAGGATTAAAGTTTTTATCGACCCCATGGACAGTCACATTATTATCATTATAGATGTTCCAATGGGTGATTATTGGGTTATGAACTATGTGGAGCTCGTTGACTTTGGTTATAATAAGCTCGTAGCCATGTGGATAAAAGGAAGGCAGACATACACACTCAGAGAAATCTTCTTTATCGACTTCCATCGGCACAATATGATATTGGTAATGCGTCCGAGACCCTGCCTTGAATGATATAGCCTCATCCGACGGAGCGAATATGGTGACTTTTCTGCCATTGTATAAAGCGATCGTGTTGTTGTTTTTCTTGTAGGTACAACCTCCTCCTCCGTCTCCAAAATCTGAATCTGAATCTGCATAAGGGATGAGACAGCGGAGATTTCTGTCAAGAATCAATGACATGATCTTGAATCCAAAGTGAGCTGGCGTGCAATTTGTTTCCCTAAATCTAAAGGAGGACTTTGTCTCAAAGATATAGTATCTTGGAACCAGGCTTGCCTCATGAAGAATATATGGGACATTTTTTATTATTGCTGGTTCGGTATGGATAGGATGGCTTGAAACTTATGTTTTAACATCTGGCAAGTTCCAGAACAACTAAACGGTAACTGGAACTGAAGGAAGCTACTTCGACTTAGACAAATTGCACGGCAATTTATAAAACAGAGAATGGAGTTGAGATCTGGCCTCTGCCAAGCAACAACTACTCAGCTGCTATAGTATGTTATGCGATTAGGCTTAAACAAGAGAAGATTGAATGGTATAGACTCGTATGGTTTCAATACCATATTCCAAAGCACCCCATGATCTCTTGGATGGCTATATTAAATAGACTTCCAACAAAAGACAGGTTGAAAACGTGGGGAATGGAGGTGGATGACAAATGTTGCCTGTGCCAGAGAGAGGATGAAACCAGGGAACATTTGTTCATTGGATGTGATTATTCAAAAGAGATTTGGCAGAAGATATTATGGATGTGCAGGATCTATAGGGGAGTGAAGAACTGGTCAGAAGAGTTGAGATGGGCAGTGAGCAAGTTGAAGGGGAAAGCTTTGATCGCCATCATATTGCGATTAGCCTGGAATGCCAGTATATATCAGATATGGAAAGAGTGGAACAGCAAGATGTTTCAACATAAAGAAGAGAAAACTACACAGGTCCTTGAACACATAAAAGATGCTGTGAGACTTCGATTACAAGGACTAAGTCGGATTGCTGCGGATCCAGTAAATAAAACGATGTGTGATACGTGGAATCTTAATGTTGCTATGATATAATAGGCTGCCATTAGAGATGCGTATATTTATGGTTGTAAAAAACAGTTGAATTGTTGTATTGTAGCAGAATTCTGCTAGCTTTAAATAAAATACAAATTATCCCAAAAAAAAAAATATTGTATTCAAATAATCGATTATTAAATCATTAAATAAATAATTAATAAATTCTAATTTAATTAAATTACCAAATCACACACATTAAAACATAACCCATGAAATCTTCTAATCCTGTAAATACAATTCTCTTTGTTACTTAGACATTAAGAAAATCATCTATTGACCAATGTTTTGTAATGTTTGTCAGCACATTTTTCGTGTTCTCTGCATGTATGAATGTTGGAATTATTATTTAGAGGTTGCAAATTCAAATATCACATTTTTGTTTTTTAACCCTTGTAAGGGTATAAAAAACACCGTTCACCTACGCATGTCATTTCAAATGCTCTAAAAAGGATATGCATGGTGCTCTCCAAGCGTTGCGCACTTAAGTAAGCTGATTTTACGAAAATTGTTAGATGATGTTAGCCTGCCTATATAAGATGAAGATCCCAATGGCCAAGGGCACCCAACCAAACATAAGGATTTACGCTAGTGATTATGGCCATGGAAAAGAGATCAATACCCACTGCCCAATCTCTCCTCTTCTTTGCCTTCACAATCATAAGCTTAACCAGTCAAATCACTCCTCCAGAATCTGAATCTGAATCGGCGTAAGGGATGAGACAGCGGAGGTTTCTGTCAAAAACCAATGACATGATCTTGAAACCTGAATCCCTCCCATAGGGCTTTCGTGATCTTTTCAACTTGTATAACTACTACATCACTATCTGGTCTTGGTTTGAAACCCAGGTAAAAGCTTCCAGTGCTGTTAGCCGCCGAGACTTGCCGTGGGGCACTAGTTTCTTTAGGTGAAGTTTGAGGACGATGAATAAGTATGAAGATAACGGCAAAAAGGAAACACAGGAAGATGATAGAATGAAGGAAACGCTTTGAAGCCATTACATTAAAGATGGACTAATTTACTTTTATCTTATAGATATATAAAGTATCAATCAAAGATGAATTCTTATTTAGTTAGAAGTACAAATAGGGTTGACAACAATTACGTGATTTATGGGTAACAATTGAACTTTTAATTTTAATAATTAAGATGTGGGTTTGAGCCAGTTGGAATAGATAATAATAACAATATAATCAGCAAAATCCAAACAAAATTTCTGAATCTTGTAAAATAATTTGGTTAATTAAACTCTTTGATGATACCGGAATTCGCAATTGAAAAAATCTTGGACACCATGAACAATGATGTGCCCATCATTGTAGATGTTACAATGTCTTATGGTAACATTATGGTGATTCATCTGGCGGAACAAATATGGTGATTGTGTTGTTGTTGTATACGGTCACGACCGTTCTGTCATAGCCAGGACGGCGAGGAATGTAGGGACTACCATATGGAACAACGGAGGAGAGATGGTTTTGGAGAATCAGAGACATGATTTTATAGCGGCCAGCTGCAGCATCCCACACTGCTTTGGCAATTTCATCAACGTTTATAATGACTCTGGTTTCTGATGGCTTGAACATCAGTACGTGCTCCTTTCTTGGTTCATTTGAAACTGCTAGCATTTGGAACGCAGGCAGAGTCTGAACAAGGACGAGAAGAAGAAGAAAAAGGTCGGCTGTGCAGTCCAAATTTGGATGCCATGGGGATTCAGTTCAAATTTTTATAACTATAAATATATATATATATATATATTTAAAGAGGGATTTGTTAAGAGTAGGTGAATTTGATACAAACTCAAAAACTAGGAAGGTTGCTGGCTTCAAATCAAATCAACTTCTTTTTTTTTTTTTTTAATTTTGCTAAAATTTCAGTTTAATGCTTAGAATTAAGGGTTTATCAGAATATTTTGTTAACGGAAAATTATCTTGAGCCAACAGAATTAATGTGACCTGATGAGCCTTATAATGTGAATTTTGGTAAACAGGCAATATAAAATCAATTTTCTTCATAAATTAGACTCTAATGATTTGTTGACAAATGAATAGCTCATATATAAAGAATACCAATATTGAAATAAGTTTATTTGAAGTATAATATATATATATATATGCATGAATAAATTGTTAAATTTAAGGATTGATTTATAAAAATATTAATAGTACATAAAATTATAAAAATATGCAAAACAAATTAATTTTAACCTAACCCAGCTGGAAAGTAATCAGATGAACGGTAACTTCCACTTCAATTCCTTTCCTCGAAAGCCCAACCGGATTGGGATTGTATAGGCCCAAATCATAAATCTGTTAATTTGTTTGACATGATTTTAATTTTTTTAAATTATATATATAATTAAATAAATAACTAATTATTACATCATTAAATAATTAATTAATAAATTATATTTTTGTAAGAAGTCAAAGTTGTAAGACTCCTGCTTATCATCTATTCAAGATCTGATTATCCAATAATTCTAATTTCCAAACAGATAAGGATCCTATAAAAAATATGCATCCAAGTTTTTATAGGGGTATGAGCTTTCCTCTTTTCTTGTCTTTCTTTTCCAGAAAAGGACTAAGTAATAATTATCACGATGACACCTGTCATTTGTAGGTCATAAATAATGACAAAAATTTTGAATTACAAAACAGCCAACCACCTTGCCATACCTTATCAAGAGGTCAAATTCCCTTTCAGTTCTTTTCCAAGAAAAGAAATTTATTTTCATTCAATGCATTACTCCACCAACCATAATCTCACATTGGATTGGATATTAATCTATCATAGTGAAAAGAAAACAAATACGATTCAAAGAAAAACAAATACTATGAGTTATACGATTTGAAAGTTTAAAAAGTTTTATGCGTTTCTATTGTTACTTTTATTTTATTTTATTTATAATGATGAATTTTTTTTATCATTTTTTTATTTTATTTGATTAAAAAATAATAAAAATAAAAGTGTTTACAAGTTAGAAATTAAAAAGCATAAAAATAAATTTATATTTATTTAAAGATAAATAATAAATTTATTCATCACCATAAATAAGATGGTAAATTTAAATTTCATTGGCCATTACTTTTACTTACTAATAATTATTATTATTTTAAAAGTTTACGAAAATATGAAAAGTAAATTGTATATTGCAGAATATATTTAATTAAAAAATAAGTAAATAATTAAAAGATTATAGACCTAAATATAACTATTTTGATGTAAAATAATCATTATATATATACACGCACCAAAAGTAAAAATTTTTGTTTCTTTATATATATATATATTGTACTAAAATCAAATGCATAATTTTATTTTTTAAAATAAAATAAACAAATATTAGTAACAATCATAATTATCAAAATCAAATGGTTGAAATCGTTGATCTAATTATATCACCGTGATAAATTGTTTTGAACTCAGGAATAAAGAAACCAATGAAACAGACGAGGATCAGCAATGGCAGTCGGTGTAACGAGTGAGAGAATATCCATTGCCATCGTTAGTCTTTAAGTAAATTTGATAATTTTTATATTTGTATAGAATAAAATATTAAAATTTATATATTTATAATATATTTTATATAAAATTATGTAATAATTTTTATTAATATAAAAATATAAAATATATTTTTTAATTTTATTAAATTTATATATAATTTATTATTAATATTTTAAATTTTATCAATTTTATATTATATTTATATTTAATTAATGTATTATATTTTAAATTAACAGAATTATATATCAAGTGGCCACCCAAAACCAGCATGACCAATTTGGCTGGCAAATTTTATACTGTACCTGAACGTGAGGTGTGAGCTTTACCTTAAGCCCAGTATTGCATTTAGACTACAATTTCAAGTTGTCAACTATTGTTTTTTTTCTTAAGAAAAATATGAAGTTAGATAAATCATTTAATTCCTAGATTCAAAATAATATATATTTTTTAATAATTTAAAATAAATAACTATAAATTATATATTTAAAATAATTTTAATATATTATTATTGATAAAATTTCAATTCAAAAAATTTTTTTAATAAAAAATTTAATCAATTAAATCAACTATCAATTATTTTTTTTACGTAATTCAACAACAATTCTAATCAAGATGAGTCTGTAATTTGTCCGACATCCCTATTTTCTGATTGGTTGATGTACTTTGTAACAATAATAATAATAATTATTATTATTATGATTGGTTGATGTACATTGTATTATTATTATTTTTTTTATAAAATGAGAGGCCTATACAAAGTACGGGTCAAGAGACAGAGGCAGAAAGCAAATAAAACCCCAGCACTCACGTGGGGCCTACGCTCACGGAAAAAAGCGGTGTCCAATTTTGTGGCGATTGGTTTATGGGATGAGCATGGGAATCCAGTGGGGCCTACATTCCTATTTGGATGGATTTTTTTTTTTTTTTCTGTAACAGAAAAAGTCGAAAGGAAAGCAAAATTATTTGGAAATTTCGTTTAGAAATCTCTTCTTTCTTGAAACAAGGTTTCGTTGCCATTGCTTACAATGTTTAATTTGTTGCCAAAAGTTGTTTGGTCCACACTGTTTGGCTGCTAATGACGTTTTTCAGGGTTTGCTGACACGATACAATTTGTTTAAGTTATCGGGGATGGTGAGTCAACAACAACGACGCAGCAAACACTACGTGTGAATCCAACCAAGTCGGAGGTCTCGGCCACTTCCACCTTCTTCCAATCTTTCTCTCTCTCTCTTTTGTTTTTTTTCTGCTGTTTCTTGGGAGCCGACTCTCCCAGAAACTTTGGATTGCTTCACTTATCGATTCCGCCACAGAAAAAAAAAAAGTAAAAGTAAACATTTTTTTCTTTTTTATTTATCGTTTTTCCTCTTCGGAATTTCAGAAATTTATAAGCCATCCGATCTGGTGGAGCCTATTGAATTCATCAGGTGAGCTCTTTTTTTTTTTTTTTACTGTTATTTTCTCATGTCGTTTGCAATTTATGAATAATCCGTAGTTTTTTTCCACATCATTCTTTTTTTTTCTTTTATCTTTTGTTTGTCGAAATCCGGAAATTGAAGCATCAGCATCAATTGCGTATAAGATTTCAATATATCCTTTCTTTAATTTTTTTTGTGTGATTTAGTCGATTTAATGAGGAGATCAATCGTCACTTTTTTTAATTCATGCAAAACAATTATTCGTTGATTATTTATATTTTCTGTTTAATCACAGTGATATTCATATATATTCTTATTCTCTCCAAAAAGTTTATTTATAATGAAAGATTCAATGGGCAGAAAAGTAGTTTTTCTTTCTTTTAATTATTTTTTTAATTTTAATCCTGATTTTATTCTGTTTCATAAACTACTGCTGTATATTTGCAGGACTTTTAGAAATTTATGCTGTTGTTCAGTTGAAGCAACTTGTTATTGGAATTATCTTTTTAATTGAAGATGAGAGCGGCTGTTCTATCAATTCGCAACTTAAGATCAGCTTGTCGACATCAAAGGAACACTTATTCGAGTGCTTTTGTAAGAAGGCGAAGCCATTTGATTGAAAGCAGTTCTAGTTCTGTTTATAGACTGCCTAACAATGCTAAAATCAATAAATTTTTATTCCCTACAATTTTTATATCAAGACCTTTCTCAACGGATGCTGCTTCTAAAGTTAATGTCACAGGTTCTATTCTTTTTCGTTCTCTTCTTTTTAATTAAGTTAGGACATGGAATTGAATGTGAGATTATCATTTATGTTGTTTGTTATGCAGAAGTGAACAGAGCAGGGCCGCTTGTGGAGTATGAACGGAGAATTGCAGCTGGTGAACTCGTTGACGGTGATGCCTGCCAGGTACGGGTTTCTTTTTAGCCTCGCATTTGTTGCTTATTTTGTTCCAGAGGATAAGAAATGCCTAATAAATAAAAAAGGGTCTTATAGTTTATGCTATTTTAAGTGTTGTTTGTGTGAACCGACCTTTCATTAATCGAAAGCAATGTACAACTTTGAATACAGCTTCACATTCATGAAACTGCATACACTTGCTAAAAGTTGAATGGGAATTTCACTTGATTTGGTTTGTGACTATATGGGAACTGTGGATTTTATTTATTAAGCGGGTTCTGCTGGCTTTATGTTAGGTAGTTTTGAGGTCTGGCATTGTGAATTTATTCTGACAGTTATTGCAGGTAGGCACTTTAAGAGAACTTCAAAGGCTTTATGATGAGATTGTTGAGTCAGCTGATGCCTGTCGGTTGGATCGCTATGCAGCTCCTGAGAAGACTGTTAGGTAAATGTTCTGTTTTATTGCTCCCATGTTTAGACCCCTGTTTCCAGATTTTGTTTATATATGGATAGATTGCATTCATGCTGTTCGTCTTAATTAAAATTTAGTTTCACCATGTCCTTATAGTTTTATTATATTTTTTAATTTTTGGTCACTATTTTGTTTTTCTTCAGGAATGGGTGGTTTTGGTCTCGTTTAATGCCACAGTCTTCATACTCCCCTGTCAACGGACTATATCTTTATGGAGGAGTAGGCACTGGGAAAACTATGTTGATGGACCTCTTCTTTGATCAACTGTATGTTTTATTAGCATATTTAATTTGTTAATTTTAATGTATATTATGTTGTTAGTAAAAAAAAAGGAGATAAAATGTTAGTCGACATAAAATATGGGTATATTATCCAAACAATATATGGTATCTGTATGTATAAACCTGTGATATTCTTACTCATTATTGCCAGCCATGCCAACTGCTCTTAGTTGCTGATGTTTCTCCTAATGTTCTATTTCCACTTTTTCAGGCCCTGCAATTGGAGGAAGAAAAGGATCCATTTTCATGACTTCATGTTGAATGTCCACAGTCGCTTGCAGGTGAGAATCTTATCATTGTTCATTTCTCCTAGTTGAAGAAGTTAATCATTAAGTAAAAAAAAATCTCTCACTGCAGACAACACTTAATGCTGGGTATAATAATTGAGCTGTTGTTATTCAACAATTTCAGTTTTGGTCTGTATTTTTTATCTTTCTTAATAATCTGAATGATATTGTGATCCAAGGAGTTATTGATATGGTCCATGACAATTCTCTGGATGGACATATTTGTCAGGTTGCTAGCTAGTAATATTATGTTGGAGTTAAAATGTTAAAACTGACTTCCCCCCTTGTTCAGCCTATTTATATATGCATTCATGTGCTTATGTTTATTTACATATGTACTTAGAGTTTAGATTCTTTTATTTTCAAGCTAACTATCATGGTTGGGAATTTTTGACAAAATCTCATTCTTTCCTTGCTGATTTGCATTGCACTTAGTGATAAACAGATGCTGATGTGAGTTTGTAACAATGATTAACTCTTGTAGAGGCACAAGGGTGTGGCAGATCCTCTTGAAGTTGTAGCTGGAGAGATATCTGATGAGGCGATTTTACTATGTCTAGATGAATTTATGGTACAGCATTTATGGTACCATTAACTTTCCACACAAAAAAGGGAAAAAGAATATTGAATTATCATATGTCATTCTGATTTAACATTCAAATCAATTGCTTTAGCCAAATTTTGATTTCCGTGTTTCTGGTCTTTTATAGGTGACTGATGTTGCTGATGCATTGATACTAAACCGTCTTTTTAGACATTTGTTTAGCAATGGTGTTGTAAGTAAATATATCTTGTTGTAATTATTTTCTATTGGAACTTATTTTCGGTTGAAAATTAACATGAAAATTGATTGCATGGGCTCTGATGGGAGGCAAGTGTAGATACTTGTTGCAACTTCAAATCGTGCTCCAGACAATCTCTATGAAGGTGGATTGCAGAGGGATCTTTTTCTACCCTTCATTGAGACTTTGAAGGTATGGTTGGATACATCTTCTTAATATTGTGGATTCAGGGGTTGGGATTTTTTTTTTTGAGGGGGGGGGGGGGGGGGAGTCCATGGGTGGTGGGTGAAGTTTTGTGAGCCATACAGAATCTGTTTGGAATTTATTAAAAACTCAGGGTGCTTATGTTTCTGTAGGAAAGATGTGTTGTTCATGAAATTGGTTCAGCAGTGGACTATCGGAAACTGACCTCGGTATGATATAACTCCTTCCTATGTAGATTCACTGAAATTTCATTTCTGCGATTCTAGCATGAAATTATCATCTTTCAAATTTCCCGCAGGCAGAACAAGGTTTCTACTTCATTGGCAAAGATTTGTCAGGCCTCCTGAAACAGAAATTTGAGCAATTGATTGGTGAAAATGTTGCTAGTCCACAAGTGGTTGAAGTAGTTATGGGTAGGACATTGCAGGTATGTGCTAGGCTACTTGATTGAATTAAGCTTTTCTTGATTGATTGATTTAAGCTTTTCTTTTCCTTTCTTGACCAGGTTCCACTTGGTGCTAATGGATGTGCTTATTTCTCATTTGAGGAACTTTGTGACAAACCTCTCGGGGCTGCAGACTACTTTGGATTGTTCAGTAAGTGATATTCAAGTAATGTTGACATCTACGCTGTTTTTCTTGTTTCGAGTCTCAACTTGTTAGGATAAGGATATATTGAATATGAGTTTGGGAGTTTAGATTAGAATAATAATTTATACTGATTTCTACAATAACCGAGCATTCATTGTCAAAAAATGGACAACAAAGTGTTATATGTTACCTTAACCGTGTTTTTCCAGCATAAACTCAAGAAATGAGAAGTTACTTTAAAAAGTAGGTCTGGTTTATGCAATTCACTTATCACTTTGTCGTAGGGAGGTTACCTTGGTTGGAGCTGCTGAATATGGATTTTTTTTTTTTTTTTAGTTGTTTTGGTGGAAAATGTATTAGTCATCTCCTTTCGCAAAAATCCTTTTCTTGGATAGATCCTTTGATGAAAATCTCAGGACATTATGTTTCAATTATATTTCTTATGTTATCTTCTTCTTGCAGAGAACTTTCATACCCTAGCTTTGGAAGGTGTTCCAAAATTTGGGCTCCACAACAGGACAGCAGCATATCGGTTTGTCACTTTAGTTGATGTATGCTTCATTGCTTCTTGTAGCTTTGACTGTTTTTGTATCTCTCAAGACTAAATTTAACTTGTCTTTCGTGGACCTGAAAAAGTTTTAATCACATTTATTTCTTTGTTCATTTAGCATATGCATTGTTTTGGTCGTATATCTAATTATGATTGGCATTAGCAGTCTTTTTTTCTTAAGTTGGTTCCATTCATATTCTAAATACGCGTGAACAGAAGCATTTCGTGTACATGAATGATCCCGTTTATCTTGCATGAATTGCTAACCTGCAGTCATGTTGGGAGCATAAGCAAAGCTTTTAATGATGAATGAAGTATATACATAGATTTGTTAGCCTTATTCTTGATTTTTTCACTTTTATAAAGCATATTGTTTGCTCCAATAATGCCACAGGAGCACCATTCATGAACTCATAATGGGAAATGCTCTTTTCATTTTTATTTGTTTTGATGAAAAACTATATCCATTTCCCTTACATTATTTTCTTTGTTGCAGGTAATGTATGAGAACAGGTCCAGACTGTTGTGTACTGCTGAGGGTAGCCCACAAGAACTTTTTGAAAACGTCGTGACAGTTTCAGATGCCCAGCAAATGGCCCCTAGAACCTCCTCCAGGTCAAGGAGAAATGATGATTCCGATCTCTGTGTGGATAATGAATTGGGATTTGCAAAGGACCGCACCATTAGCAGGTACAAATGTTACCTTTCATTAGCTTTCACAGCATACCAAACACCAATCGATGCACATACGATCACATTTCCCATTTCCCATTTCCCCTGCTATGATCTTTCGATTTGTGCATTCTTTAACATATTTCCCTATCATTTATTTTCTCAAATACTGAATGTATTAAGAAACTAATTGATGCAATGCAGACTAACAGAAATGAACAGCAAAGAATACCTTGAACAGCATGCGGAGGAGAGGAAGCTGCTTTCTCAAGAACTTGTGAATGCAGATGCCGTCGTACAAGCATAAACAAAGGATTCATAATCTTTTAAACCCATGCTGTTGTAATTCCTACAACGATATACTTGCATGTATTCAACCCAATGTGGTTTCGGTGACAGCTTTAATCAGAGTACCAAATTGTTCTTAATAATCATGTAGAAGATTGTTACTATAGAAATACCAAATTGTTATTAAATAATCATGTAGAAATATCAATAACAAAGCCATCCAAAGAGCCATACAGGCAAGAATATCTGAATATTTCTTCTTCTTGTCTGCTTTCTTTGGTAACCTTTTTAAATGATGTCCTGATTCTTGTGGGGATGGATCAGATATGAAAGGGACATTTCATGTCATTCTTATTAATTTGCCCTTTAAGAACCATTTTTTTCCTTTTTTATATTTTACCAAATTAATCCACTCATCCTTATCACTCATATTTATTAGATTAGTCATAAATTGTTAAATCCTCGAGTTATATCAACAGATAAACAAAATAATAATAATAATAATAATAATAATAAAATAAATAAAATAAAAATAAAAAAATCTATCCAATGAAATTTAAATAAACAATATTGATAAAAAAGGATAATGCAAGAAGGGGTTTGGTCATAATTTATGGATCTTAGAAATTTTTTTTGTTTATCTCCTGTAATTACTATGTCTTTATATGGATGCTTGGCTGCTAAGGCAAAAATCAATTAATTTGAGCCAAATTTTCAATTAAAAAAATAAAGATAAGGACTTTGAGTTATAAAATAGGTGATAACTCCTTCTATTTTTCTATAAATCTAAATTTAATCATTCAATGTACCGAAAAAAATCAAAAAACAAAAAAAAAAAATTGTGATATTGAGAGAAAATTAAAAAAAAAAAAAAGGAAAAAGAGTACTAAAATTAGAAGGGATAAATCCAGCAAAGAGAGACGTCATGCAACTAGATTTATTTATGGGCATATGAAAACTATGGGGCTTCAATAAAGGCATCTTCTGGCGCTTATCTTCAGCTCTTTTGGGGTTCTCCTGCCGGCCATTTCCGCCTTCCAACGTAAACAATCTTCCATACACAATAATATATGCATAGCGTATATGTATGCACCTATAGAAGGGCATATTTATGTTATCAACGTACATTAATACCCATGCATATACATATAAATGCCTCCTGCTTTATTCCCTTCTGATAATGTTTTTGATTTCACCTCATAACTGTTGCATTCAGCATAATTCCCATTTACTTTCATTAATAATATGTGTGTATGTGAGATTTTGTTCTTTGTTGTTTAGGCACCATTTTTTTGGTTGATGGAAGGGTAAATTTTATGGGAAATTGAAAAGAGATTGATCATCTGAAAATTAAATAGGGATCATTCTTTCTGACAGAATAAATCTGACTTCTTTTATTGCATAATAGTACTCTCTGAACATCAACTATATCTTTATCCCTCAAACTAGTTTTCAGCATCAACAGTTATCATCATTTACTTCAAGAAAACCCCCAGTTGTATTACAATCTTGAAGAGAAAAAGAATAATTGACAACAAGGTTTTTAGGAAGGTTGGGACTTGGTAGAAATAGGGGACAGATATGAAATTAGTACAAATGATGAAAGGAATTGAGACAGAGAGAGAGAGAAATTGGAATTTTTCTTTATCCAATAGCTGTTGATCAATGGAACATGTTTTGTTGGAATAGAATGGGAACCAGCAGTCAGCATGGCTTAAGAAAAGCTATTGGGGCTCTGAAGGACACCACAAAAGTTGGATTGGCAAGAGTAAATGCTGATGACAAGGTGAGTTTGGCACTGGAAAACTTGATCTACCATTGTTTTGATTAATATCGAATTAAAAAGTTATAGTCATGCGCTACAGATGCATCTAGATGTTGCAATTGTCAAGGCCACAAACCATGAGGAAGTAGTGCCAAAGGAGAAACATGTCAGGAGTGAGTGAAAATTTCTTCTGACAAATGATGTTAAATCTGTTATATTTTCAATCAATTTTATGGATCCTCATTTTGAATGATGAACTTTCACCTGTAATTTGAAGCTCTAGAAGTTTCAATCAATGAGAGTATTGCCAAACTTTTATGAAAAACTGTATAAGTGTGTACAAAATGATAACTCTAGTTCTTGTCATCAGCTCTCTTGAATGCAGTTTCAGCTTCAAGTCGCTCTGATGTTGCTTTCTGCATACATGCTCTGCTTAAGCGTCTTGCTAAAACACATACTTGGACGGTACCTCCTGATCACCTATCCAACCTCAGTTATTTTGCATTTATCACAGTGCAAGTCTGGCTAGGATATCATTTATTTCTCTAGCTATCCGAGAAGATTATAGGAAACTTATTATCTGCAAATGAAAAATGAAAGACTAAAGAGGGAACTTAAAGGGAATGCAGATGGAAATATAGCCTATAATTGTTGTAAAGATTTTGTCCTTAATGGAATAGAAAGACAGACTATGGAATCAAAACCCCCATATATTTTCGAATGATGCAGCCATGATACTGGGATCTCAACAGATGTAAATCATTTGATTATTTTTGTTATAGGTTGGTTATTTTCAGTCACTGTGATGCTTTCATTTGCATTCAGGTTGCATTGAAAACCTTGATCATTGTACACCGTGCACTGAGAGCTGACCCTTCTTTTAACCAAGAGTTAATTGTTCTTGGCCGGGATAGAGGTCTCATGCTGAACGCAGCACATTTCACAGATGATTCTAGTCCACAAGGTATCTATGTTACCATTTAGTAGCTTTACTTTTTTTTTCTTCATTCAATACTATGATTTTAAAGCATACAAACTGACTGTTGAGAGGTTTTCTGGCGTCAAGCATGGAATTATTCGGTTTGGATTCGAGCATATGCTTTATATCTGGAAGAGCGTATAGAATGCTTCCATGTATTGAAATATGATGTTGATAAAGATCAGTCGGTATGCTGTTGGAACTCAAAACTTGATCCTTTTCTCCCTAATTCTTATTCTCAGTGTCCTAGCATTGAGCTTGTATTTTCTTCACGACCAAATAATAATAATAATAATAATTTCTGTTTCTTGCAAACAGACATGCTTGCTTTCTTTATAGTTTTATGGGATCTGGATCAACTTTTCATATGATGCATTCTCTGCAGAGAAACAGAAGGCTTGACACCCCGCATCTGCTAGAGCAGCTACCTGTCTTGCAAGAGCTTCTCCATCGCCTTCTCAGTTGCAAGGTATACATTCTTCATTTTAGATACATTATTAACGTTGCATCTTTTCCCTCCTCCACTCACTGTGTCAATTCTGCAGCCTGAGGGGGCAGCTTTATACAACCACTTGATTCATTATGCTCTATCAATTGTAAGTAACTCTATCGAAAAAGAATTAATATATTTTGCTTGTCTTCTATGTTCTTATGGATTTGTTTTTTTAGATTGTAGGTGAAAGTGTTAGGCTATACATTGCAATTACAGATGGAATTCTAAATCTGGTTGACAAGGTGAGCTTTAGTTAATGTCTTCTGATGGAAACTGATGTTTCTCCACCTACAAAGATGCAAGTTTGAAGGAAATGGTTTCTATTTTTTCACAGTATTTTGAGATGAAGCACCGCCATGCTGTTAAGGCACTTCAGATTTATCGGAAGGCAGGAAATCAGGCACAATTCTGTGTTGCACAAAGATCTTTTAGTCTGTTTCATATAGTTTTCAAATGTTTCATCATTGGACCTCTTTTGTGCTCGTTACAAACATAATTTTTCTTAAAGAAAACTTGAATGTTGCTGCAGGCATCACAGTTATCAGAGTTCTTTGAGATCTGCAGGGGCCTTCACCATGGGCAAGGGCAAAAGTACCTTAGAATAAAACCGGTATTGGACCTTAAAATGACTTGGCAAGCTTCCGCTTTCATTGGATTTTCAATACTTTGTTTAACATCCATTACATGTTCATGTTCAGCTCCCGGAATCATTCCTGACTGCTATGGAGGATTATGTGAAGGAGGCTCCTGAAGTTTTGGCACTTCCATATACAGCAGTATGATGCCTAAACGCTTTCATTCTACCGAATAGCTATCATATTCTGCTATTACTTTGAAAAAAATTCATCTTAGTGAAGAAACGTACAAAATTTGCAGATTTTCAATGTATACAATTATTCAATTAGACACTTCAAAGAAAGAAAGAAGCAAACAAATTTGGTATATGTGATAAGGATAAATATCTTTTCATCAGATAGACCTACCTTCTATAAAGGTTTTCAGGTTCACATGATTATCATTCAGGGTAAAAGCATGGGAAAGATCAAGCTCTGAAGAGGTCTTATGAGAAACCATGTTTAGAAAAGAGTAGTAACTTAAGGCCCAAAATATTGCAGGAGATTTCCTTTTTGATTAGTCTGGAGAATTGAAATCCCCAGGTCCAAAAAATTGGAAAATGTTTTACATTTAAGACACTTCTAAGATAAATTCACAAAAATGATTAGTATAATATTCCTGCTATGAGTATTCAAATTCTTGCATTGTGCTGCATGAAAAAATCACCCTGCCGGAAGTCATATACTTGTAGATGTGCCATGACTACTTTCATTCAATGGAACCAAATGCATCAGCTACACTATGAATTTAATTATTTGCTAGACTTTTTCTTTTATCAGATAAAAGATGATCAAGATGCTGCTCCCAATGAAACCCCTACTCCGGAATCTGATTTGTTAATAGATTATAACCAAGACACTGATGTTCAAGAAAAATCAAGCCCATCTGTTACATCTTCGGACCAACCCCAGAATGGTTCAAAGCAGGCTGTTGCAAAGCTAGAGATTGCTGATCTTCTGGTAAGACTTTTCTTGAGCTGATACTTGTTAACAATAGGTTATTGTTCTTATGTTTATTCTTGACTTGACTGCCAGTGCTTTGACGACCCAACCGAGGATGAGAAAAGTTCCCTTGCTCTAGCAATTGTTGAATCTGGTGAATTATTCGTCTTCATGGAGCTTTCAACTGATTTTCCTTCATAATGATCAATTAATAAGTTTTCCCATTTTAAATTTTAACAGAGAATCCTTCAATTGCTGGAAATGATGTCAGCTTGGCTCCTGCAGCTACAGGTTGGGAGCTTGCACTTTTTTGTGCACCAAGCTCCAATGGAGCTGCCATTGCTGAGAACAACTTGGTTAGTTGTTTTAAACGGTAGTTCTTTAATAAGATTTGCCATTCTGCTTTTTGTTCATCTTGGTGGATGCAGTTAGCCCATCAGAAAGGTTTTGGTTTTCCTTCGTACAGTGGGAATGTTAGATCCCAGAGATAGAGCTAGTTTTGGATTTTCACTGATATATCTTCAAATGCAGATTGGAGAATTGGACAGAGTAACACTAGACAGTTTATACGATCAAGCAATGGCGACGACAACAACAAATCAGGAAAGGGCCTACAACTTCGGTCAGGTTTCCATGAACCCTTTTGAGGATGATTACAACCAGGATATTTTTTGTGGAAGCAGTAATGTCACACCCCGAACTGATGTGCAAATGGCAGCTATGACTCAACAGCTAACTTACATCATGCAGCAGCAGCAGCAGCAGCAGCAGTCTCCCATGGCCATGGTTGGCTACGACTCAACCAACCCTTTTGGGAACCCCTTTGTTGAGCAGAGTGTGCCATCTCATCCACCCGACACCCACGCTGGCTTAATTTAGGTGGGTCTTGAGGCTGTTCCAGAATACATTGACTTTGAAACATGGACTTTTAAGCGGAGATACGCCATGGAAGGTTCATGCTTGTACGCCCCAATCTTTGACCAATAGAGAACACAGATTTTATCTTTTAATGGGTTTTCTTTTGTAGCCAAAAGCCGCCACCCAATGATAGAAACTCAACTTGACATGGAAGCAGATTGATGTAATAAGTAATTTATAACACACAGGCAAGAAACGTTCAGACAGTTGATTTACAACTCACTATAAAGCGAAGGAACATTTAAAGACCAACCACAATGCGACTCTTGCATTAAGTAAAAAAAAATTGTTCTTTCAGAACTAGGACACTTCAAGTGCTCCAGTTTTACTTGCAAAACAGTATCATGCATAGAAAACAAACTTTCCAAGATTTTATCTTTTATCGTTCTAAAGGTTTGCCTTCACTTTTTCTCACTGCATATACCATCAAAGAAAATATTGCTTGTGACTAGTGACCATATCAACGTTGGAATGATATGGAATACGAGCCAGTGTTTGGATCTTTGACAGCTTTGAAGTTGTCGGTGCTCATCCCAAATCGACCCAGAACAGAGTTGCCCAATTCTTTTAGCTTTCCTGCTCACAGTACATATATTTATATATGGTTAGTGAAGCATAAATGAAAGATGCAAAAGAAAGATAAAGAGTAAAATATGGTTTGGTGTGATATTGTCAACAATTCCTCAGAGGATCTAAATCGTTAGTTCAACATACATAATTTTACCACGAATATACAGCATCATCAAGTAAAATTTAAGCTCAATATTCTCCCCATTTCAATGATACCGACATTAATTGATGAAAAAAAAGGAACATGAGTGGCAAGAAAATATCAAGTTCTCTTTGGCAAGAAACAATGCTCAGAAAAAAAATCAGTGACTAAAATTTAGTACCAAACTGTTTCCATTTTCCAAAAGGTTTCAAAGCCTACAATGAAATGCAAGATCTGAAAAGTACTCAATGAGCAGTATACATTAAATGCAGATTGCACGCAACTAAAGTCAATCATTTGACATGGGCACTCCAAGTCCATACTATGCCCTTAGGGATGGAAAACAAACCAATAAACTGGATGCTTATTACCATTTCCATTTTGTAGTAAAAGATAAATCATCTTAATTTCTTTATACAGTGCTTGGAAACATGAAGTTCATATAGTATACTGAAGTTGGTTTATTAGATAAAAGAGCTAAAGGAAGTAGCCAATAAATAGAGTCAATAAGATTCAAATATCTAGGAATTTGATATGTGATACATGGATCATGAGCTTGAAAACCTCATTCTCATCTAAAATTTTCAAATAAACCTTCAAATACTACATACTAAATACACAGGAATTTGACAGTAAATATTTTTGCACACCGTAACTACATCCATCAGCATAATAATCCGATGTATGAAATTCAACTACACCCCAAAAAATTCATAATTTTATCACAACTGTGAATAATGGAATGATAAGAACTTTCGTAAAATGCCTAAGTCTCCCCTCCCTCTTCTCTTCAAAATACTTTTCAAGATAAAATAATGTAAAGCAATAAAGCATCCATAACGCAGTCAAGGCAATATGAAGATTATGATCCAATATGGTAAATAACAAGAAACAGGATTTACTTTGTTCAAGAATGCAATTCATGAGACTGATCTTTGACATGAAAACCAAAAATGGAAAGAAAAAAAAAAAAGAGCAAAGGAAAACAAAATGCAGATTTCAAGCTTACCAATCATCTCCTCTTTCATCTTTTCTCTTTTCTCTGCAGCCAGTGGTTCCAAGCGACGAATGGACTTCCTAGCCTGGTCATTAGAAGGGTCCAATTCCAATATCTTCTTCATATCTGCAATTTTTTTTTTGGAACAATAATGTCAGGATAAAAATAATTAAAAACATATATAATGCTGACACATAAATCCAATCATCAAGATAGAGAAATGGATGAATTTCCATAAACGCTGCAAAATGAATAAATATGTTTAAACTTTAGAACAAAAAGGAAACAAACAATCAAATCAAATCAACTCGAACTCACCAGCAATAGCCTCTTCAAAGTGTTCAAGCTTTTCATGAGCTTCTCCCCTTCTAACAAGAGCTTTTATATAAGAAGGATTAAGTTCCAATGCTTTTGTACATTCCTTGATGGTTTCCTCATATTTCCCCTAAAAATTTACATTTTTTTAACATTATATAAAAAATTTCAAAGAAAAACAACAAATTAACTGTTATTCAACTTTAATAATTAAAAGAAAAAAAATACCAGCTTCAAAAAGCAAACAGCGCGATTCGAATAACAAATGGAACGAATTTCAACAGAAGAAGGAATCTCCGCCGTAACTTGCAAAGCAATCTCATACTGTAACAATGCCTCCTCGTATTGGCCGTTTCCAAACAACTTATTTCCTTCCATTTTCGCATCGTTTGCTTGCGCCAAAGCTTTCTACAAACAGAATTAAAAGAGAGAGAGAGAGAGAGAGAGAGAGGATTAGCTATTTTATTTCACTTTAATTATTAATTAAGCAAAAAAGCCCCGGAAATAAGAGAAAACCTCTTTCAATTCTTCATCGTTTAAGGCATCTTGATAAGAATCGGGACCTTTCTGTTCCGGTGGTTGTTGATCGTGGGCGTGGTCATCTTCTTCGTTGTCGCTGACGTCACGTTCGCTCGCTGTTTCGAATCCATCAGAGGCAGCATCTCCATCGTTCACATCTGTTGATGCGGCGGCGGCTGTTGAATCCGACGTCGTTTTGGATGATTGAGTGGCTTTCGTGGCCTCTTCTTGTTCATCAGTGTGGTGGGGTTCAATCAAAACCATTTTTAGGTTTAGGATCAAAGAATCTAAAACAGCCTTACACTTCAAGCAAACGAACTGTTGCTGATTTTATATAATGCCACAAAGCGAAGAAGGAAGACGAAAGAAGATCAATTCTTATAGACAAGTAAAAACAGAAAAATCAGCTTCCAGAAAGCTCCCTAACGGCACCGTTTCCTTTGGAATGAGTTTTTCTAATGTAATAATAACGAAAGGAAAATAATAAATAAATAAAATGGACTGGGCTTTTAAAGTGTTATGACATGGGTTTGAAAAAACTTGACCCTGAGAACACAATCTCTTATTATTATAATGTATTTAAATTTGATCATTCGTATATTTATATCATATAAAATATTAAAATTTATATATTTATATTATATTTTACATAAAATTATATATTACAATTTGTATCGATATAAAAATATTAAATACATTTTTTTTACTTTTGTTAAACACAATTATTACTAAAATCTTAAATCATATCATCTTAATATTTTTTTATATCATATTCATATTGTATCATTATATCATATTTTAAATTATCAGATCTAATAATATCAAAAAGTACATTTTGGAATTTCAGTGGGAACAACCGCTACCCTAAATCCGTCTCTCCCTACTTACACTAGATAATTTATAATAAAGACAACGATAGGAAAACGGGAAGAGAAAAAATAAAAGAAAATGAAAAATATGCTTAGCTACTGTTATGATTATCCTGTAGGAAAAAAATTAATTGTCATTTGTTTGAGGCATTAGAAATTGAACAATGAGCTCTTTAGAACTAAACATGCCACAAATCAACTGAAAGCAGAACAACACTTATCAAGCTTTTCAAGTACAAGTTAATGTTGCTTTCTTCTTGATGCTATTTCTGAGGCCCAAGCTTTGCCAACTTCAGTCTGGAACTTCCCTGCAAATAATTTAATTAGCAGCAGCTGCAATCAAGTTGTTCGTGAATAATGGATGCTCAATGTATATTTTTCTTCTAGATCAAGTTATTTGTTTAGGTTCAATAGTATCGACACTAATTTATCCAATCTCCTTACGCTAAGGTAACAAACTGGTGGAAAAAACTTTGTTATTAACCAAGCATTTCCCAGTTTCAAGGTTGACATTTCACTAACAAAGGAGAGGTTGGATATAAAAATTTTAAGACTTAGAAGTTCAAACTCACCCATTAAAAATTGGAGGGCTGAATTAAACATTTAATACAACTAGAAGGGGAAAAATTAAGCACAAAACTGGTCTTTTAGCATTTTTAATGTGTTAAAACTTATCAAAATCTATTATAGAAGAAAAACAAAAAAAAGGCAAGCAAAGGGAAGGCTTAAATTACACACCCGCAGTTGACTGGAAAAACTCATCCAAATCCACCCCTTGTTCTGCATAAATCCAGAAGGAACTTCAGTTTCCATGGAACATTATTACAATGACTAATGACTACAGAGATTAGTTACTGCTAAGTTGAAAAGATGAAGGTGAAAATTTTGAAACATAAATGAGAGGATATATCATATATGTTAACTTAATTCCTAAGCTTACCAGATGCATTCCACTGCATTCGAAATGCATGCACCAAATAAGCCCATCGATTAAGTTATTTGCACTCAAGAACTAGTGAGACACTGCAGTTGCATATATCAACCAGCCATAAAGCCAGTGTAATGTATGAAAGCAGGATTACTTGAAATTTAAGCAGAAACACATAAAGCTAAAAAAACTGGAAACTGAAATTTTACTATCTGTAAAATGCTCATAAACTTGTTGATCAAACATAAATGAGCACATAAAGACCAAGATTCAGGGGCAGACAAAAATATAAATAACAAAAAGCCTTCTCAGCAGCATATAAGAGTACTATTTATTTAATCTCAGCAGCGTAAAAATAATGAACAAGATGCAGAGGCACATGATGACTGAATGTTTTGAGAGTGTTAGTTTGTAGTGATAGTGTTAATATGTAAAACTGATTCATTTCATCTTACTAAACAAATCAGCAATGATTATTCCAATGTTCAGGTTTCAATAGTTCCATTAAAACTAGCCTTTTCCCCATACTGCCCCTTAGTTGTCCACTCTTTTTTTTTTCTTTTTTTTTCCCTAGTTTTGTTCTCATTCTTAGAAAGTTAATGGCATATTCTCAAGATATAGTTGAAAATAGTTTATGTTCTAGTGACCATATCCATATGCATGATGTGATTTAACATTGAGATCAGATCTTCACTTTTTTTTTTTTTTGCCATCACTACTGATGTTTATGTGCATATGCAATGATACAAAATGATGAAGGAAAAAAGCCAAGAATAAGAAGCCCTACCATTCTCATATTCTAAAGCTTGAAGTATCATCTCCACCTGCATGAAACAGGAAATGCCAACATCAGATTATACAGAATTTATCAGCCTTCGAAAATTAATTTTACAGAACTGAAAATTTTGATTTATAGGTGGCCAGTGATAAAAAACAAATGTGTTAACTTACATAAGTTCAGGACTCATTGCTATACTCAAAGGAGAACTAAGCTAAATTTTGGGTAGAAATGGGTGAATTAAAGGTTAATTCATCATACCCACTGAAGAAGATATAAAGTCATCAAAAGAAATTAGCAGAATCTCAAATGAAAATAGAAAAACTTACAACCATACATCAGAAACCAAACTATTGCATTGCTTTTATATCATACAAGTAACTAAACATACTATTAAGTCATTTATGTTTCTATTCTAGGCATAATATAAGTGCAAAACGAGAATATCAGTAAGTCAATTTACATCTGATCAGTGGATAAATCATGAAAAAAGGAAATATACATACACGACATACCTTGTCGAAGTCTTTGACAATTTTGGCTTCTGAGGAAGAATTTTCTTCATACTCCATCCATAATTCCCCTATTTCTTTTGCTGCAATCAATTAAGCGGACAATTATGTGAAATTATATATCATTATGAGATTTAAGTCCCTCCCCCTCAATTTTGTTTCCCTTTATAGATGAATTGGGTGAAAAGATAGAGCATGAAGTTAACCTCTTGACTCTACACATGAAGTTAACCTCTTGACTCTACGCATTAAGTTAACCTCTTGACTCTACACCAAGTCATTTACATGAATTATAAATCATTTGAGATTTTAAGCCCCCCCCCCCCCCCCCCGGCCCTCATATTGTTTTACTTTATAAACAAATGGAGCAAAAACAGAGAGCAATTAGTTAACCTCTTGACCCTCCACCGAGTAATTTGCACATATGGTCTAAGGCTTCCCGCTCTCTTCGACTCTTCTCAGCCTTAGAAATGCCATCGGAAGGTGTAATATCGCCAACAATGGCTGTTCAAACAGATAGATACCTAGAGCATTATGACCATAGTATGTTTGAATCACATAAATCAAGAAATCAAAATTCAATTCGTTCAAAATTAAGCTAACGAGACAAAATTTTGTCTAACCTTCAGCGATATCATGAACAATTGCCATTTTAACACACCTAAAAACAAAATTAAGAAAAAACATCTTAGTCAATGCAGCACTGAAATTTGTTCACCAAACACTAAAGAAAAAAAAAAAAGAGTACTAACTTGTCTCGATCAATTCCGGGGATATCAGAAGCAATTAAAGCCATTATTCCCATTCGATACATATGATCAGCTATTGATTCCGGATTCTGTACATCTCTCCGCACCCAACCCTCTCTCTTCGTCGTCTATAATAATAATAATAATGATAATAATTCACCATTTTATTTATTCGCAACAAAACTATACAATTAAAAAAAAAAGAAATAAATTGTTTTTTTTTTTGGAATAATTAAATAAATACCTTGAGGCGGTGGCAGAGAGTGAGAAAATCGATAGCAGAGGAAGCAGAGGGAGGAGGAGCCGCAGCTGCAGCCGCAGCCACGTCATTGGACGAGGAGGGAGTTGGAGGGACGATATTGTTACCGTTGGTGACGGAAGAGGGAGATGAAGAAGCCATCCAGTGAAACGTAAAGGCAGTCGGTCAGAGAGAGGTGCGGGTGCGGGTGAGGAAGGATTTGAAGCTGAGTTGTTGAGGAAGCGAAAGAAGGGACTAGGAACGCCAGTGAGCAGGCTCTACACGGAAATACTCGGCTCCCGCTCCCCAATTTTTTTTTTTATTTCTTTAATTAATTTGAGGGGAAAAAAAGGTGTTGATTCAAAAGTTGGATCTGACCATCCACGTCACAATCTGACCGGCAATGAACGGTCAAGCTGACCTCGCGCTCTATTTTTTTGGATTGGGATTTGAGGGCTTTCATAGATTTTGCTGTGCAATGTTTTTTTTTTAATCTTAACAATTACTAGTCTTAATTTGACAACGATAATCAATTGTCATTTTTAAAGGAAATTTCAAAAATTTTAACTTATTAAAATATATAGTAATTAATTTTAACGATGGAGTTTTTAGATTTTAAAAAAATTATTTTTTTAATTTACGGTTAACTCGACTTATAAACAATTAAAGTTTGCACGTGTTACGTGTTTTTGTGAAAGTGATGAATTTGGGCCTGGAGGATCTTAGAGGGAGAGGGAATGCTGAACCTGAGCTTGAGGTTTAGGCTTTAATCACGGCCCAAAATGAGCAAAAAATCAAGTAAAAATGAAAAAAAATTTGAAATTTGATTTAAAATTTTAATGTTTGATTTGATTTTAATTATTTTTTTATTTAATTCATATCAAAGTAAAATATTATATATATATATATATATATTAGATTCGAATTGAAAAATAAAAAAATTAAATCAAATTATATATATTTTTTAGTTTTTATATATTTTTTAAATTTTTATAAAATAAAAATAATAATTTCATATCAAAATTTATTTAAATATATTAAAATTTTATATTAAAATAAAATTTAAATAATTAAAAATTAAAAAACTAATAAATCGTACTAAACTTATAACATTTGATTTAATTTAATTTAAATTAAATTATTTAAAATTTTAAAATTTTATAATATTATATAATATTTTTAAAAAATCAAAACAAATTTGATTGAATCCAAATCATTATCATTATCCAATGACAATAGCTAACAGTCAGGCAAAGAGCTTGTTAACAATTTTGCCCATGGACTTTATCCATACATATATATATATATATATATATATATATAAATGTTATAGATTCCATTGGTAAAAACTTTATCCATTGGACATGGATTTTAACAAAATGACCAACCATCACCTCAACATCAATCTGATCGCTGTCTTTGATTTACTAAAAAAGAGCCTGCCATACATGTCCGAGCCATTCCATGCCAAGCTAGTAGTCACTCTCATTATCTATCAAGCAGGTGAAGATCGTCTCACTCACTCACTCAATAACATAAAGCCAAAACATGTTTTGTCTTTTGTCTTGGGATCCATCCAAGCGCCAACATTAAAAACGTAGAACACCCCTCTTCAATCGAACATGGCAAGAAACCGTTTTGATAATCATTGATTAAAGTGATATTCATAAAAAATTACTATTTAATATTGTTCCTTAATTTTTTTAAAACAAGTAAAAATATATTTTAAAATTAAGAAGACAAAAAATAATGGCACATTTTACAGCTGATTGTCGGCAAGCAAAAGACCGAAAACTCAATGCGACATGACGTGTGCAGTCTTTACAGCTGGAAGAGAGCGTGGTTCAAACTCAGACCTAAGTTTTAGCCGAATCGACCGATGCCGTACAATTCGATTTGCCAATTTTTTAAAATTATTGTAATTAAATATATAAATAATATATTAATATTTATAAATTATTAAATTTTATTTTATTATTAATTTAAATTCAAATAATTTAATTTATCGATTAAATTAAATTTAAATATTTTTATATTTAATTCAAAATTTTTATAAATTTAATTATATTTTTATATTTTAATATTTTTTTATTTTAATTAATAAAATATTTTAAATTCGAATTTAAATTTAAATAATAATGATAATTTTATCAAATATAAAAATTAAATTTATTTTTATTTATTAATTAAATTGAATCTAATAAATTTAAATAATTTAATTTTTATTTTAAATTAAATTTAAATTAAAAAATTTTAATCGAATTCAAATTAAATTTTAAATAAAATTTAAAATTAAATTTAATAATATATCAATTCAAATTTTATTGATTACACCTTTAATAATACTCTAGTCGCTCCTCCAACCGTCTCCTTTAATAATACCCTACTCGCTCCTCCAACCGTCTTTCACGGTTGCCCCACTTGTCCCTTTCTTTTTTAGATGTCTTTGTGTGTTTTTTATTTTTATCACTCTTCAAAATCCCCTTTCTATCTCATCTCTTAATCACAAAGAGATTAAAAATGAACCTTTCTATCTGTATGACTTCTCGTCAATTTCACATTACTAACTAATAATTCTTCAAAACCCGTAAAAAAATTGTCAAATTTTGCAGAAAAGTAGATTTTTGATTAACAAAAAAACACAAATAAAGCTCCCAAATTGAAAGGTTTCCATTGCCAAAAAAAAAAAATCCAATCACAAAATGCATTTTTTTTTAATTCAATGAAAATTTTTTAATTGAGTTCTCAAATGGACTAGAATCTCACTTACAATAGCATGTCCTTATAATTAAGAAAAAAAGATAAAAACGTACTAGTACTCTTATACCCAAAAAAACAAAACTCAATTAATTAGCAATAAACAGTTGAACTTATACAATTCCTCCCATTATAAGCAAAAATAAAGAAAAATTTTAAAAATAGAAAAAAAACTAGTTACAGTGAATTGCAAAATGCAACTAACGATGAAATGGTTATCATGCGAAGGCAACGAAACAATAAATATGAAAGAAGCCAAGATATTAGGGGAAAATACAACCTTTAAACTTTACTTAAAAAAGGAAGACACAACAACAAAACTATGGGGCTGAAAAGTTTATCCACCGCTCCCCTAAGGAAAGAATATGTCATCCTCGTCCTTTTTCCTATATGGGGTTTCCTTTTGTTTTCCCATTGCATTTTTTTTTCTTTTTAATGGGTAAAATAAAAAGAAAATCCCAACATTATAAAAAAGATTAAAAAAAAATGTTTATTGTACAGCTTTGCGATTATTATAACCATAATAAGATAGATACCATCTAACAAATTTCTTCAACCCGGTTTGCAAATCGGTTGTAGGCTTATACCCGAATTCTCTTTGGGCGGAACTGATATTCGCATGAGTGAATGGAACGTCACCGTTTCCAGGCATATCCACGATGTTCCTTTTTGCTTTCACCTTCAAATGCCTCTCCAAAATATTCACCAACTCCGGAACCTTTACCGGCGACGTATTGCCCAAATTTAAAATTCTATAAGGAGCGGGCCCCCGCTTCTTGCCACCCGACCCGGTACTTTTCCCGGATGTATCCAACGATCCCAAACAACCTTTCACAATATCGTCAATGTAGGTAAAATCTCGTGCCAAATCTGCCCGATTCTTTCCCCGATATATGGTGATCGGTTTCCCTTGTAAAATATTTTTTGTAAACGAAAAATACGCCATATCGGGTCTTCCCCATGGACCGTACACGGTAAAAAATCTTAACCCAGTAATTGACAGGCCGTAAATATGATTATAAGTGTGGGTAATTTCTTCACCGGCCTTTTTTGTGGCCGCGTATAAACTAGCCGGCTGGTCGGTCAGGTCCGCTTCAGAGAAAGGAACTTTTTCGTTTAAACCGTAAACGGAACTGGATGAGGCCCACACAATAGCCGGCTGTGGATTAGCGGACTTGCAAGTTTCGAGAAGTGTGACGAGCCCGGCTATGTTGCTGTGAACGTAAGAGTTAGGGTTTTCCATGGCGTACCTGACTCCGGCTTGAGCCGCCAAATGCATCACGTGAGTAAAAGCCACCACGTCGAAAAGCTTAGCCAATAGCTTGGCGTCGTTCAAATCACCTTCAATGACCAAAATGCCGCGGCTGTTAAGCAGCGATTTCCTGGCTTTTTTCAACGAAGGATCGTAATAGTTATTTAAGTTGTCAAGCCCCACGACTCCGTCTCCGCGCTTTTTGAGGGCAATAGAAACGTGTGTACCAACGAAACCAGCCGCTCCAGTTACCAGAACGGACATACCACCGGAACGGTGGATCTGAGCGGAGTTACGGACTTGTTTTTCCCACTGGATACCACCCCAGGAAGCAGTGAAATACCGGCTACCGGAATCAACGAAACTCTGAAAACTCAAATACGACGCCGTCAATGCGATCAGGAAAAGAGCCCATAAAAACATGGTGCTGGTTGAAGCGAAGCAACGGAGGAACTGACGATTCATATTGTGGGCTCTGTCGATCTTGAACTTCCCAGGCGTCGAAGGGAACAGCTCATCCTCCAAGGACGGCATTTTCATACCACTCTCTATTTTTAATTTTTTTTCCTTTTCCAAAAAAATAAATTGGAATTACTTGATTATCAAGAAAAGAGATAAGGAAAAAAAAAGTTTTTTGAATTTATTAATTTTGTTTTGTGAAAAAATAAATAACAGATGCAGAAAATAAAAAAGAAAAAGGTCCCATTAATTTTTCCTGCACCTGCTAATAGAGGGATGGTGAGGACGGCTTATATATAGCGGTCACCCGTAAAGAAGCGACAAGTAAACGCGTGAACGCGTTAAAAATCGGCCAGATTGGATGAAAGAGAAACATAAATTCTAAATTTTACTTACCATTTACTATTAACTATATAACAAAAAAAATTACTTTTTTTCTTTTTTTTTATTAATTTTGACTTTTCGCATTGTTATTGCTTTAAAATACTAACAGCTGAATATAATAATTTTGTTTAATTAATTAATCAAGGATAAAAGAGATATAAAGGTTATTTAGTGGGGGTAGTTTGGGAATTTCGTAGGGAGAACATGGGGACCATAACAAACTACTACCATTTGCTGTTTAAATAATTATAATTAGTTTTTTTTTAATGTGGGCAAAGTACCAAAAATAACTGGAAAAAGTTGAATTTGAGAGATTAGTACCGGTTACCGAAAGAGGCGGTCGTGACTGGATACGTTAGATAGGTGAGAGAAAAGAGACTAAAGAAAGGGGTGGGGGGAAAAAAATAACAGCGGCGAACTGGCGAATCCGGTGGATTCGGCTGTCTGGTCTTCTTTGGTCATGTGGGAATTGGGCGGTGCCCCTTCTTTTCAACCTATTTTCAGTTTCTTTAATTTTTTTCTTTTGACTAAATAAATCTGTAATTTTCCTTTATTTTCAGTATTTCTTTTATTTATCGAATTGAATTTCCAGATTCTTTGTTTCGGTGGTGGGTGTCCACTTCGAAAAGAAAAGTTGTATCGCAAGAGATGAGATGAGCTGATGAGGTATGTATATGATATTATTTAGTTATATAATGTTAAATATGTTTACATTATATTATATTATTAAATGCGTTTTTTAATATTAATTAGAGTGATTAATTTAAGAATATAATATATTTAAAAGCAATTAAGATGTATTTTATATTAAAAGATAAAATTACATTAAATTCATATTAATCAAATTAAAAATATAATAACAAAATCATCGCATCCATTCAAAAATAAAAGTGTTAAATATAATCTATCATTTTAAGTAAAATAATAAATTTGAATCTTATCCTAATTTTAATACGTAGGAAATCCATTGGAATATTGAATTTTTTGTATATATATTTTTTCATTGCTGATTTTATTTATAAGGAAATTAAATCAACAGTAAATCTTATCATATTATAAATGATATCCTCCGTTATATTATGTACTAATCAACAGCTAACTTTTTTTTTTTAAGATACCAAAAACAAAATGAAGAGTGACTAGTACTTTTACATACATATAAATTTTTGTCAGTATAAATTATAAAATACCTTTGAAGGGTTTTTTTTTTATCTTTTAAATTTTATTTAAATTAATTTATATAATTATTTTATAAATAATATTTAATAAATTTAAAATTTGACATTGATTTTTTTATTTAAAGTTTACTTTTGCAATTATGAAAAAAAATATGATTTAATTTTTTTTTTCAAAACTACAGCAAATCCGATGATATATGATGGTGTTTAGCCACCAAAACCAAAATTTTTTAATTTAAAACATGAAACATAATTAAAATATTAAACGAAATCGATCAAATAATTTTCTATTTATCTATGCTATGTAATTTTTTATGTTATACCTATTTATATTATTAAAAAAATTTATAAATTACTATTCAAAGGAATTATAATTTCTTTCCTTTTTCTTTCAAGTAGAAAAATGATTTTTTTTTTTTAAATTTTCCTTCCCTCTCTCTCGGAAGTATGATATAGCTGGACAATCTATTACTTGCGTCAAGGCCTATCAAACTTATTCCTGGGCTCACTTCTACGAGCCCAATAATATTCCTCTAGGCCTTTTTTGTGCTGGAAATATGTTCTAAATATTTTATTGCTTGACTGTTTCGATCATATGAAATGAAAACCTATTACTAGTTGTTTTTTTTTTTTTTTTAAATAAAACAATGAAACCGATTAGTTTTTTTCTGGAAATTTTATGATAGTTTTTATATAAATATATATATGATGTGGCACATTAGAAGAAATTATTTATTTTTTATAAAATTTTATCTAAAAAAAATACTTTAATGTTTAATTTGAGATATATATGAGTATGTTGAACGTTTATTTTTTATATATGTTTTAATATATTTAATATATAAATAAATGATAAAAAATATAATTTAATATCAATATTTATAATTTTAGTTAAACTTTAATAATTCATATAATAAATCAAAATCGAACATAAAAAGTGAAGTTAAGGTGAATTTCAAAATTTAAGGTTTTGATTCGAAGCTAATAATATATAATCAAGACTTTTATTTGATTACAATCCACTATTATAATCAAAGGATCTAAAATTTTTCAATCTAAATTAAAATTGATTTATGTTATAAAGAGTTATTTTCATCCCATAACTTATAAAATAAAAATTATTAGTTCTTGAACCATATTTCATTATTACCACTTGTCACGACTTGTTAAGAGTAACGATTTTTGGCATGCAATTATATTGAAGTAAAAAACATTAAAAGGAAAGTTTCAAATGAAAAAAAATCAATTGGCCTATTAGCTCAGTTGGTTAGAGCGTCGTGCTAATAACGCGAAGGTCGCAGGTTCGAGACCTGCATGGGCCAAATATATTTGAAAATTTGAAATTGATAGTTTTAGACACATGGGCTAGAACTATAGCTGGAACGAGAACCTGGTATGGGCCAAACATAATTTAAAGTTGACAGTTTTTGACACATGAGCTAGAACTTTAACTGAAACGAGAACCTGAGCCGGAACCATTTCCACCTTGACCAACCCCAATCCCTCCCTGGTCTAGGCCGAGATCTTTTCGTGCCACTTGGCTTGCAGGAACACTGACACAGGTTGAAACTAGCAATGTAACAAGTGCTAAACACTTCAATATTTAGCCATTGTTTGAAACCGGTCGGTCAACCTTATAGATATCCAAAACTGATCAAACAAGAAACTAGATCATGCAAGAGGAAGAATGAAGGTACCGCTGGGTGAGGCAGCTATTTATATCAGTCAATGTGGTGAAGTTGGTAATAGAGGATATATAGTGCATGTAAAAGTAGCGTTGCTTTCCATTGTTGTTGAGATTCTGAAATCTGGTTGAACCAAAATTTCTCGTCGCTGAAAAGGCTGATAACAGTCAGAGTAGTGGCGATTAATCCTTTTAGAGACGTTATCATGAAGAAGGTGGCTACCCATAAAAGCCATCCCCCACTAACTCAATTGGAGAATGATTCTTACTAATATAATAACTTTGTTGCTTAAACATATGCTATACGTACTTGCTAGCTAGGATTAACCATGTTCATAGTAAAACTCAAAATGAAGAAGCCTTGTAAAAGAAAGAAGCTTAATTCGGATGTCAATGCGAGTGCAGTTCAATTCTCAGCATGATCAATTTCAGGAATCAACCTAACTTGAACAAAAAAGTTGAGTTCAGGTATATGATCGCATTATATACATCGCCACCAAAACTTACTTGTATCCAGTATCGCTATTGCTATATATTTCTTCATATATATATATGAGGAAGGGTCCATTTTATATTAGTATAAAAGTTACACATTTTTTGAAGGATTAATTTTAAAAAATTAATTTCATTGAGTGTTTATATTTATTTTACTGTATAATTTCTTTGGAAGATTAATGTATAACCCCCACAAAATGATTTCAAATTTATTTTTTCTGCTTTGATAAATGATTCTGAACTGTTATAATTGAAAATTTTCACTTTGAACTGATAAGTAACAAATTCACATCAAGTTATCATCCATTAGTTCTCACATTTCTTTTGCATTATCTTTTTTCCTTTTATAGTCTCAGATTGAACTGAAAACGGCCTCAGCTGACTTTCGTTTCCCTACAACAAATCAAACTAGACATTGTCTCATCCATTACATTGAGTTTCATAGGTACATTCCTTGTTAATTTTCAATTTCTTCTTGTTAGGAAACTATGAAATGTAATTTGTTTAAAATCAACAAGTGCTTAGTAGCAAAGGGTGAAGAATCTAATAAATATGAGAAATTTGTCAAATATTATCGATCTCTTTGCCTTGATGAATGGGTGAGTATGCCTAGTTTTTATATCATTGTAAGTAAACGAAAATTTATCTTATTGCAATGGAATTTATGCTGTATATAAATATATTTTTTTTAAAAAATTATTATGATGTGCTTTCTAATAACAAGTTCTGTTTTTCATAAGCTTAAGTATTTCTTATATATGTCATGGCATCATTCATAAGACTTGTGACATAATCCGTGGTTTTATATGCTAAGTGATGCATAACAAATAATTGTAAATAAAAAATAAATTATCCTATGGCATTAAGAGCATAAATAAATTACAGGTGCTTCTTTTTTTACATCAAATGTTTTATATTGTTTTATGTTGAGAATTATAGACTTTTGCATCTATACTTTTTTCTATTGATCAGCAGACTCATGTTTAATATTGGGTGTTGCTTCAATTACTACAGATTGAGAGATGGAATGAGCAGAGGGAGAATGGTACTTTCTCGGGTCCTCTGTGATCACACATAGGAAATGAGGTGAATGCATGGAGAATTCATATTGCTCTCTTGATATAGTCTTTAGCTAGTTTCAATATTTATCCTTGAATTTTTCCAATTAATAAGCGATAAATGAAGATTTGCTATATTTATCAAGCATTGATGTACAATGAAGATGCACTAATTCATGAACCTGCCTTTTTCATCAGATTGTTTCATCTTCATTTACAGTTTAGTGGCGTGCCATACTGCCACTTTCCTTGAGCAGCCAAGTTAAGGTAACACCATTTAATCCAAGCTCGTTTGGGCTTTTGTTCTTTAAATCAAATTCAAATTTATGCTTAAGCTTGTGTATTTAGATTTCTCTTGCTCATTGACCTTGTAACATTTGACATTTGACATTTGACATTTCAATTTGAAAATAAATTTTAGTAATCATTTGAGTATTTGACTCATATGACAAGGAGGTTAATAAATTTTAAAAAAAATTATTCAAGTGGTAAGAGGTTTTTTTTTTTTTTTTAGTAAAAAAAGATTGATTTGTTTTGAAGAGACTATCATAGGGGAAAAATGGAAAAAATTGCTCTTGGTGAATACTTGGATAAATTGCATCAAAGGAAGCGGAAAATACAAGTGATTACCTCAGTTGAGTTGTTCCTTAATTTGTTAAATGATGATTGGGATACAAATTCAAAAGACTTAACCTTGAAACCTGGAATTCAATGCCAGCTAAACTCATGCTTCTAATTATAGTCTTAACACAATAGAATCTTTTAGCCCCAATTATTAAGCGGTTATCTCTCTCTCTCTCTTTTGCACTTAGTTTAAGCTATTTAAAAATTTACATAGTGTAAAATATTAAAATTTATATATTTTATTTATGTTTTACATTATAATTATGTGACACAATTTGTATCAATTTAAAATTTTAAATATATATTTTTTATTTTATTAAATTCATATATAATTATTATTAAAATTTTAAATCGTCTCATTTTAATATTATTTTTTACATCATATTCGTATGATATTTTACATTGTCCAATCTATTTGCATAATTCCACATTAATTATTACATAGTCCTAGGCACATCTACTATGGATAAAATATTTAAATATTTAAATATCTATAAAAAAATTAATCATTTTAAATATAAAAAGTATGAAGAAACTTAGTTGCATGTATAATTTTCCTAAAATGAAAAAAAAAGTTAATTATTCAAAAATATAATTATAGCTCTGTTTAAAAAAAAGTTAAATCACTAAAATAATCTTATGAATATATATTATTTATTTATAATTTAGTTTTTTTTAATTTATATTTTTTAAGATTTAATATCATTTGATTTATAACACCAACACCAACTCAATCAAAGTTTTTATAGTAATATGGATTATTAAAAAATTATTAGGATTATCAAAATTTAAAATCATATCACTATTTTTTCCCATTTAATTGGTAAAATAATATAAGTTCTTCAATTTGTTAATAATAGTAATTGTTTAATTTATTGGCATGTGTAATTGTTGGAGCTGCTGGCCTAAATTTCAATCAACTTCTAAGGTATTTCAATTTCAGATAATCCAGATTAATTAATTTAAAACAAAAGGGAAACGAAATTATGAATTGAACCTTGTTGATTAAATTTTGGTTAAGGGTAAAAAATTCTTAAATAAAAATTTAGTGATTACTTAAATTTTTAATATTTTATTACAATCAATTAAATTCTAATTTTTTACTTTAAATCAATTAAATTTTTAAATTTTTATTTTCATTCAATTAAATTTTTAATTGAAAGAAAATAATTAACAATTTTTTTGTAAAGGCTGAAAATAAATATTTAAAAATTTAATTAATTATTAAATGTTAGTTTAAGAAAAAAATTTTACCCTTTTACCCTAATTGCAAATTAAGAAATTTTTTGAGAGACCAAAATTGCAAATTTCGTTTTTGGGAGGAAAACGCGTGCAAGGAAAGAGGTTGACTTGATCAAACACCAACGGCATCAGTAAGCCGCATCAACGTGACGCGTGGTTTGGTGCCGTCTTGCTATTTGACTTGCGGTGCAGCCGATCACTTCTGTCAAAGACGTAAGACTGATGAACAAGTAAAAGGCAGGCAGGCTGGCTTAGCTTTAAGTAACGGTTGCTGTGCTGTTGTTGGGAAATGCTACAGTCTTTAAGACATGTAAAATAATGTGGTGACAGATTTTGACCGAATCGTCGCCAATAAACAAACAATTACACTCTGTCCGGCTAATGCTATTTGTCCACCGTTGATTTAAGCATTTTTTAAATTAATAATAATTAATTCTTCAAATTATTTACATTTTTTTAAAGCCCAAAATGGTCACATGTGGTGTAGCTTCCAATATCAGTGTCACTTTTAATAATTATAATTAAAAAATATAATATATAAAAAAATAATAAAAAATCAATTTATAAGAAATTAAATAAATTTAAAATAAAATTAAGCATTCAAGGCTTCCTAATTGTCGCTAAGGCAAAATCTCCTTGGTTATTATTGATAATATTTTTTTTATTCTCTTTATATGGTAAGAAAATTATTTCAATGTAAATTTTATCATTTAAAATTATATTTGAATGTAGAAATTACTATCAATTAGCCACGTGGCGTTAAATCCAAATGATGTCACATCCCACGCGTCTGCATGTAAAAAACGTATACAGCGCGTGACAATAATTTTGCCGTAACCTCCTATAAACCACAGAACTTTCTTTGCAAGTTCGATTTCTCTCGTATTTAAACCCACATCCAGTTTCCACTTTCTCTCCAATTTCTCTTTATCCAAACAAAGAACAAACCGGAGAACCAACCGAAAGCCTAAAACGATGGCGTTTCGTCTCAGTAACAACCTGGTCGGAATCCTCAACTTCATTACGTTCCTCCTCTCGATCCCCATCCTCGGCGCCGGCATCTGGCTGAGCCGAGAAGGCGTAACGGAATGCGAACGGTTTTTAGACAAGCCCGTGATCGTAATCGGAGTCTTCCTCATGGTGGTCTCACTGGCGGGACTAATCGGCGCGTGCTGTGGCGTGTCGTGGCTGCTCTGGCTTTACCTCGTCGTCATGTTCCTCCTCATCTTACTCGGCATCACCTTCACCATCTTTGCTTTCGTGGTGACGAATAAAGGGGCGGGAGAAGCGTTGTCTGGGAAAGGGTATAAGGAATACCGACTTGGTGATTACTCAAACTGGTTGCAGAAGAGAGTTACTAATCAGAAGAATTGGAATAAGATTAAGAGCTGTTTGGCTGATAGCAAAGTTTGTACTGATTTCCGTGAAAAATATCTCAATGATACTGTCGCTGAATTTTACCAGGAACACTTGTCCGCCGTTCAGGTATGTTATTTTTTTGTCTATTTGTTTCAAAGTTTAATTGGGATTTTGTTTTTGTTTTTCTCGCCTTGATTTTATCTATGGCATGGACTTGTTTCGGGATCTACTTTGAATTTTCATGTAGTTGTTAGAGATCGAAATCTTTTTTTATGTTAATTCAAGTTTAGGATAAAAAGGGTTCTCAACTTTTGTTATGGACATTTTCATGTACAAATATTTCTTTGTAAGATTACCATAACTTTCTAAGTTTATATATGTCTCCTGATATTATTAGATTCCCAACGTGTTTCTCACAAAAAGTAGTAGTTAGGTGATCATTTATCTCGAAGCTGAATCAATTAGATATGGGTTTTGACAAAATTTCGCAAATATGATTCTGTTTTGTGCATGTTTTGATATCTATGGACTGTAATTTGTTGTTGTTGGTTGCAGTCTGGTTGCTGTAAGCCATCAAACGACTGTCAATTCACCTATGTTGGGCCCACTAACTGGACTAAAGAGAATGGCGTCTATACCAATAGTGACTGCAACCTGTGGGATAATAACCCGAATACTCTGTGCTTCAACTGCCAAGCATGCAAGGCTGGATTCATAGACAACCTCAAGAGTTCTTGGAAGAAGGTGGCGGTTATCAACATCGTATTCCTCGTCTTCCTCATCGTTGTCTACTCTGTTGGCTGCTGTGCTTTCAGAAACAATAGGAGAGACAATGCTTTTCAGCAAGGGTGGAAGCCTTGAGCTTGTTTTCGTTCTTAGTTTCCGATTTCGGATGTCGGCACGTAGGGTTTAGTTTGTTGGATTTCCTATTATTTTCTGCACTGTATTTTAGCGTCTATGATTGCATTTGGATCTTCCATTGTATAGCTTTCGGTTCCCTGTCATTTGGATATATATGATCGTTTGTATGTTTATTTAAACGCTCTCACTCTCAAATTTGTTTTTAATTGTCATCGTTCTGTAAATTCAGTGCATCATTATTTATCACTGATGTTGATGTTTTCAAGTTTCTCTTCCTGAAATTTGCTCATAAATTAATGTTGAAAATTTCCTGTTTCCTTATGTTGAGTGTCGACAAAGCATTGGCTGTTGGGCAAGAAAAGCTAGGTCGGTGGTTCACCTAAACAAGAACCCCAATTACTGTGGGTTTAAGAATTATATCCTGTTCCTTTATTGCTCCCTTTACAAGGGTTGATGAACCTGAAATCTAAGGTCTTAAAACAAATGAAAATATCTGGGCTGAAGATGGATGTTGGGTATAGGATAGGAACAATAGGGTGGTAATGTAGGGTTTTTGCAAGTGGGCAGAACCAGTAAATGCCCCGGTCCCTTGTTTTCCAAATCCAAATGATGGTTGTCTGGTTGAAAGAAAAGAAAAGCTTTTAAAATATGGCAAAACATTGAAGTGTGAATTGAAGATTCAAAATGTAAACAAGTGGTCCAATTGCTCCTGAATAAAGTGATGCTATCGTGAGTGGAACAGTGTTATAATGTTAGGTTTGAAGATTAGATGAAAAGTTGATCTCATTTCTATTTAGACAAACTTTGTGATGCACTTGAAATTTTGATTTTGAGGCCTAATCTAAATTCTAACGTTTATATCCACTCTTGTGGGGTCCAAAATTTGACTCCGACAAATGTATATTTGTCATATTTTCAATCAGACAATCCATAGTGCCATCTTTTTCGAAAGCGTGCTCAATGTTACTTTGATAATTTTTTTTTCCTAGATTATCACTTTATGCATAACTTTGCAATTTTCTTTTCCTAGATAATTTTTTTTTTATTTCAGATGATATTTGTCGCATCCTATCCTCTTTGATTCCAAATGCCAGTTACAAATTTTGATTTAAAGGATAAATGCGAGTTACACACACCCTGATTTTTGAGCCTTTTTTTTTTCTTTTTTACCTAATAATTTTTACGCAGGTCAGTCATAATGAAACACAACATTGTGTGGACACATGAGATAAGACTAGAGATTTACATGTTTTGATTTCGAGATATAATACGATCATATTATTTTAAAATAAATTTTTAAAATAACATAAATTTTTTTATTTTTTTTATTTTTTTAATAAGTCTCTATATATCTAAATATAAAATTATTTTATAAAATCTAATTAACTATTATTGCCTTTAATAACTAAATAATTTTTTTCATTTTGATTTTTTAGCTTTTCATGTTTTATGAAAACTTCAATTTTAAATAATAGTAACCAACATTATATTTATGATAATGATGATTTTTAAATATTGATCAATAATTTAGTTTAATTATAATATTTGAATATCGACGTATTTTACAATGATTTGTAAATTGATCTATTTGATATTGATTTATAAATGTACGAAATGTTTAATAAAATAATGATTTTTAAAATATTTTAACATTATGATTTGATAAATATTTTGAATGATTTATATGGTATGTATGAAAATGATACTTAATCTAATACGGTGTGTGAACTTATACTTACAAAGCTATGGTTTGCTTATTCTTTTTTTATTTTTTCTTTACAAATAACTAAGTGATAATTTTTTTTTAGTCTTGTGAGAAACTAAAAGATCAAAACGAAAAAAATTACTTAATCGTCAGAGATAATATGGGCCAATAAAATCTTATGAGACAATTTTATATTTTTATTGGTTTATATTTGGATATATAGAGATTTATCATTAGTTATTGGAGAATTTTAGAATGAATAAGAAGGAAGGCTTCGTATTACTTTGAAATTTTACTTGAAGGTAATATGGTTGTATTGTATTTCGATCTTGGGATGTGATATAAAGTAGTATCAAAGAGGTAACTAGTTTGTCAGAACTAAGTGCTATGTCAAGAAAGTCACTAAATGCTACACAATGGGGAGTCACTTCTAAAATCTCAATATCTGATGTAATCTTAATCCTGTGATTGGATTCGACTTGATATGGACGTTAAGGTTTAAAAACGAAAAGATTGTGATACCTTCAATTTCATACTGGAAGAATATGTAAATATGGTATAATACATATATAATATAGGTGATAACGGTTTGATTCGAATTGGATTCGATTCAATTTTTTTGGATATTGCATAATATTATGAAATTTAAAATCTAATTTGAATTCGAATCGAACTTTCATTTTAATTTGACCCAAATTGAATCGAATTTTATCGATTTGATTCGGTTTATCGATTTTTAATCTTTAATTTTTATATATTATTTTAATATATTTAAGTAAATTTTGATATAAAATTATTGTTTTTATTTTATAAAAATTTAACAAATATATAAAAACTAAAAAAATATATAATTCGGTTCAATTTAGTTCTTTTTTATTTTTTATCTCTTAATTTGAAATCTGATTCGAACTTAATATATATATATATATATATATATATTTAATATTTTAATTTGATTTGAACCGAATAAAAAAAAATCAATTTAATCCTAACCGAATACTAAAATTTCAAATTAAAATTTAAAACCCGAATCTGAGGCACTTTTTTATGGGACATCGTAGTTTACAATAATAAATGTTGAATCCCCTTGAAAAATAGTTGAATCAGATATTGCCTTATTGGCATTTGTACTTCCCTGGAGATCCTTGATTGTTCAATCACTTTATCTTTTCCCACTTTGAGCTCCACCCTTAGTCCAATAGTGTAACAAAGGTGTTGGAGTAGCGTGGTAATTTCCTGTTGCATCAAATTGCCTGTTCTAATATCCTTATTTAATTACTCCATGGAGGATGTCCCTTCCCAAGAACAGCTGATTAGCTTCCTCGAGACCTGCATTAATGGCATAAACGCGCTTTCGGGTACTCAACTCTATACCCTTTGCCATATTCAACTTGGTTTTTTTTACTATTTCGATACTGGACAAGTAAAATGAACTTTAGGTATTTGAATGGTGGCTGTAAATTGTATCAAGACAGTCTTTTTCCCTGGTACAGACATGTTTGATACTCTGCTAAACCTCTATTAAGCTTATTTTGGTACATTTGGATACGGCTTGACCCTCAGGTATTGGCATATTATAAATTCCATATGCGCTCTCCTCAGGAGGGTGGTTAAACTTGGTTCTTCTCATCCTAATAGCGGCTGCAGCTTGTTTTACTGGACTCCTGATAAGGCGATGCATGGAGGCAAACCCTGATATCAGAAACTACATTGATATTGCGGGTCATGTTTTTGGTCGCAAAGGAAGAGTCATCGCCTCTCTTTTAATCTGCCTAGTGCTTTTCTTTGTTGCCACTGGCTTTTTTATCTTGGAAGGAGACAATTTGCACAAGCTGTCTCCAGATGGCAGGCTTTCTTTTGTTATTCTTTCAGGTATCTCTATACTGCCATCCACGTGGCTGAATGATTTGAGTGCCTTATCATATGTTTCGGATGGTGGGGGTTGCTTTCTTCCCTGGTTATTGTTTTCTGTGTTTTTTGTGTCGAGCTGATAAAGGGACTGGATTTCATAGCAAGGGAAGTCTTAAAACTTTAGTGGAATTCCAACAGCAGTTAATCGGTACACATTATGTTCCCTCCAATTTATGGTTCTATGAGGAGGAAAATCCAGTTTTCTAAGGTATGATTTGGTGTGTTCGGTGTTTATTTTGAATTAGTAAACTGAATCTATGGAAATTTTGATGATTTTAAACCTTATGATCAAATGTAAATAATTCTGGACTTCTTTTTTCTCTTTTGTGTTATTTACAGGTTTTACTCACAAGTTTTGTTATCTGCACCGTCACCTATATGTCCATGGAAGCATTTGGATACCTTACTTATGGGCAGAATGTTCAATCACAAGTAACACTGAATCGGCCAGCCAAATACAGAGGTAGAAAGGCAATAAATATCTTCTATCAGAGTGTGTATACTAATTAGCACTGTAGTTCTAGCTGTTGTATTTCCATCTTTTCAATCTGTGATGTCTCTCTCTCTGGAGCAGCTCTTGTTTTATGTGTTTCCCATCCTTGTCTCTGCTTCTTGAAGACCTTTGAAGTCCACAGCAGGTCTTGTCGTTGGATCGATGAGTACATAATCATCTATTAGTCAAACCGTAAAGCATGTCTGGAACTTGAAATGAATAGTTTCATTAATTCTTGCCTTAGTATTCTTCATACCACACAAGCTGTTATAAGTTTTGGGTTGTCAGTTGTGATAAAACAAAAAAATAATTGACTAACACAAAAGATACCATAATAAAAACAATCATAGCCTGCCAAAAAATCAATAATGTAATTGATCTGGTGATGCGGCGGGATAACAATGAAACTGTTCAAATTACAAAAAGACAAGGAATTTCAAAATTGACAGTTATGTATATTATCCTCCAAACAATTTCAATCAAGATGTATGGGGTTTTGAACCATAACATACAACATTTCACATAATTAATTTGAATCAACAGTGTGTTGAACCAAGGAAATACATTGTTGATTAACCAAATAAAAAGACTCCTCAATAAATCTATTATATGGTGTGGGTTGGGAGAAGAAATTCTACTTGAACTAGCTCTCTTTTTAAATGCTAGTGGCCACTGATCACCTTATTTCCATATTTGTATGTTATGGTTTATATTCATTTGTATTGGTAGATTTATCAGACAAAAGGGGTTCTTCCAAGTCATGTTTAGAACTTGTCTGCTGAGACTCATCTATCAGACTCGTCTTCATGGTTGATTTCTGATCATTTTGGGACTCTGGATCTGTTTCTTTATTGATCACTTGTAAGTCTTTGGCTTTTCCCCATAGCACAAGATATAAGCCACCAATAACACCAACTGCACCTATCAGACTGAAATGAAACAGAAACAAAAATGAACCATAAAATACTACATGAGAAAATAACAAATATAATAAGAAGAAACTTTGTGGAGAACTCTCGGATCCAGATCATCCATCTGGACTCTAAGAGAAATACCAAACTCATCTGATCATGTTCTTAAATCTAATTGCTTAAGCTTACTCTACCTGCCCGTATAAATTTCCTCGTGCAACAGCAAAGCGGCCAATATGGTCACAATGACTGTACATAAAGGATTGAACATGGCAGAGAAGAGGGGACCCCTTTGCGCAATGCACCAGGCTTGAACGAAGAATGAGAGCCCGGATCCGAAGATTCCCTATGGATATGCCAGTTCGCCTGGTTAGTTACTTAGGATGTAATTTGCATTGTATAACAGTAAGTGAACAGAATTCATTTTTCGGCTGCAAATTATCAAACTACATACTACAAAAAGACAACAAACAAGCTCAAAACTGGAATGGAGGGTCCAGGCTTCCAGGTCTGGCTCTAAAAACAGTGTAACTGCTGCTGACTGCAATGTTCCAAAGAAACACATCCAGGCGGTTAAAGAAACGTGGTCAGGATAGCTGGCTGAAGCAGGAACCTGTTAGAAAATTATAATAACATTAGTGATTGAAATGTCAGACAGGTGAAGGGAACTATTGGATCCAAATACCTGCAAAATCAGCCAAAGAGACCAGCAAGAAGCGCTTCCAAAGAGAAATAGACAACCCAGCAACCAGTGCTCACCTTCCGGTTCAAAAAAGGATTTTGCTGGTAAAATTTGTTCATTAAGTAGCTTGGGGCCCCTAAGCAATGTCATGAAAAAGGCTCCAGTGACACAGGTCACCGTGCCAGCTATTTTGGCAATACTTCTCAAGCTTCGAACATTAACCTTTTCTAATCTATGGAATTACAGAGCCAAGAAAAAATGGTAAATGATTTCTATATGATATTAGTTGAGAAGACAAACTATTTTCAGCAATCACGTACCCAGCAACGGATGCCATTACAAAAGTGATGGCAGGGACTAGATTTCCCATTGCACTTGCCATTGATGAAGTGGCCAAATATAGACCCTCATAGTAGATATTCTGATTGATTGTCACACTGTGCCAGGTCGGTGTAAAACAGAGAAAATCCATATCTGAAATTGGAAAATATATATATAGAAAAGAAGGAAAGGAAATAAATAGACAGAAAGAAAAACTACCCTATAAATGAGGCCAAAAATATCAAAGAAAAGCTCCTTAATCCCATAGAAGATCCACCTGATTTTCTCCTGTAGACAAAGGTGAGAGTGAGAGTGAGATATTCGTTAATATACATCAAATATACATGCATGTTTGAGAGAGAGATACATGTTGGAAATTGAAGCACCTCGAGAGATAAGCTATTGGTGCCACTGCCAAAGTTGCCACGGCTTGCCTGTAAACCACAAGGACTCTTGGACTCATTCCTTGCAACATAGCTGCTCTGGTGACCAGTGCAACCGCCGCGTAACCGAACTGCAATCCCACCATAGCCATAGCGGGCTTGTAATCTTCCCTCCAGTCACCCATATCCCTATCGCTTAATTTACAATGATTTTGTTTTCTCCAACACCAATAAAATTAACAGATGTGAGAGAGGGATCAGAGAAAGAGAATTAAGAGCTTGTTTTGTTCAAGCGTTGGCAAAAGTTGTGATGGTCCTAGGTATAAAAAGGCCTCCAGACAAGCCTGAGTTTGTAAATATAGAAATGAGTATAAATGCTTCTTAATTAATAGAAATGTCCAGGTAATAATGTTCTGTAATAAAATTAACTAGAGTGTTTTATAACAAAATTTAATTAATAATATTGAAGAAGTGAAAAATATGATTTACTAATAATAAAATCAATTATATTGTAGACATAAAAAAATTGGTAAAAATGTTTTAATCAATTAAATTAAATAATTAGTTAAATAAACTAATTGAAGATTCATCAAAATCATTTGTTTGATAAATTAAAATGAAAATTCATGATTTCATCTGTCAAATTTTAAGAATTCATGAATCATCCAATTAAATTCTATCTATAAATCTTCTTCATTATTTCCAATTAATTTAAAATTAAAGTGATTATATTCTTTTGAAACTCTCTCAGCATAGTCTTAGCATTATAAATAAAGAGTTTCTAAGTCATTTGGCACCAATTCGAAAGCGAAGAAACCTTAACCCCTCAGAAATTCGTAAGCAGATTTACGGTGTCTCTCCAAGTTGAACGCTATCAATCGCAAGAACAAACAAATTCAATCAATTTTAAAAATTTATGTGACCATTGCTTTGAATATTATTTAAATCATCTCATATTAAAAAAATCATATTCTTAAAAATGTTTATAAAAACGAACTCAATTAATTCATAAGTTTCAAATCACTATTGTTTTAATAATTTGGTCAGCCTACAAAAAAAGAATCATATCCTTAAAAGTATTTAAAAGAATGAACTCGATTAATTCATGAGTTTCAAATCAATATTGTTTTAACAATTTGGTCAGCGTACAAAGTAAAAAAAATTATCTTTAAGGATTGGGCTTGGCTTTGGATCAAAACCTGAAGACAGCAAGTGGCAAAAAGCTGATAATTAATATTGCAACTTGGCAAAGCAGACAAAGATGAAACGTGAATTTGCATGTGGTCTCTGTTGGCAGTGAGAGTGTGAGAGGGGGTCATTCTAGGTACTTCTGGTGCGGGGGTTTTGCTCATAGAAAAATTCAAGGAGATAGTAGAAAAGAAAGAAATATGTTCCTCCTCTCTGGAATCGGCAAATAGTTGTCACCATGTTCAGCAGGTACATGCATAGTCCGCTCCTTTGTGTTGTTTCAATTACAGCTTAATCACCATGTTTACACCTTGCAAAATATTCTCATTTGACCCACTTAAATAAACCAAAATGATACAAAAAAAAAAAAAAACCCCATATTCCCAAAATCTAAATAAGTTTTTATCTTTTTTTTTTTAATTCAATCCAAAATGATATAAAAAATGCTATAGTATTCTCATGAAATACTTTATATTAGATCTAGACCTGATCAACATTAAGCTATCTGTTGAAATCTGAAAATTAATTTGAAATTTGATAGGGTTTGAATATGAATAAATTTATTTAAGAGTAAGATTATCCGTTTAAATGCGAAAGTTCATTTAAGTTTTGAGAGTACTTAAATAAAAAATTAAAATCCGTTAAATGAGTTTGGGTATAATTTTTAAATTTATTTAAATTTTGAAACAAGTCTTAAACAAAAAAAAAAGTTCGAGTTTGACATAATTCAACTCAAATAAAATATATAATTAAAATATTATAATTATATGAGTATATATATTTAAATTTAAATTTTTATATTTTATTTAAAAAAAGATTTTCTTAATTTTTATTATATTAATTAGATTTAATTGATGAGTTTGAAAATTTTTTTTTTAATTTAGACCATATTCGAAAAAAATTTGAGATCCGAAATATTAGATCGAATTAAACCTAAATAAATATATAAATTATTAATATCAAATATGAATATAAGTCAAACCAAACTCAATTTAACTCATAAATACATCCATATGTGATTATTAAGTTAATAAATTAAAAATTCATTTAAATGAAGTAAAATTTTGGATATAACATTTAAGATCTAAACTTCATATTTAAAATTTTGGGTATAACATTTAAGATCTAGACTTCGTCTTTTAGAATAATTATTATATTATTATTAATTCACATTATTGCTATGAACAGATCTAGTCCAAATTAGCTGGTGGAGGAATATTGTAATTTAATTATACCATTAACTAGTGAAATTATTGTTTGGTTTGTGACCGTTACGAGACCTTTCTTACAAGAATACATACCAAGGTTTAAATTGAGAGAGTTTGTTCTTAATTCACAATCGCGACTTCATATTGTTTAATAACGGAATAAAGAACTATTGATATTCTCTTTCTCTTTTAAGTTGAAATGCAAGGAAATTAGAAAAAAATGTGTTTTTGTGTATATTTAGAATGTACAATGCATAACATTCTTTAAGCGATTTTTTATATTTTTTATTAAAAATAATTAAATTAAAAATTAAAATCGATAAATTTAAAGGTTTTATTACATAAATAAAGTGTATAAAATAAAAAAAAAATTTAATAAATTTTGATAAATGCATTACATAAGTATTTTTACTAAAAAAATTGATAGAATTTTTATAATTAAATAAATAAGAATCGATTTTCTATAAATGCTTTGAAAGGCAAGAGGTTAGGAACAATTTAACACGAAAGGCACCAGCAACTAATGGAAAGTGGTTGCCTGCTGGTTGTGACTTAAATTTTTGGTCACGGGCGATAGCTAGAATATATAAAAAAACTCAAACAAGCATACCAGAGTTTTGGTCAAACTAATGTTGCTTTGAAAAAATCTAGCAAACAAGCATTCAAACTTGGTGAGTGGTCCTTCCAAGGCAAAAACAACTGCAATTTGAGTACCATAGCCAGGGCTTTGGCTACAACATTTGGATTGCACTCAATGCTTACTGAATTATGTACGTACGTCGGTTCAGACCTAAAAAAATTAATTAATTTTTTTCCGTAAACTAAAAACATTTATTAATTTCATTTATAAATTTTAAATTTTCATTAATAATATAAAAAATAATTTTTTCATATAAATATTTGCAGCAAATTTTAGATATTTTCAATGTGTTTGGACGAGGGATTCCAATATTTATAGAGAGCATTTTAAAATTTTAGTAATAAGTTTATTTTATTTGATAAAATAAAAAATTATAATTTTCAACATTCTTAAAATTTCTCATTTTAAATTCATTCATGATCCATATTATATTATTGAGATAATTAACATGGTGGTTTGAGGCTAGATGGCCATCAACTCAAAGCTAGTTATGATAGATTTTGACATGAAAGCAACGAAAAAAAAAAGATTTATTTTTTTAACAAACGAAGTCCTAATATAAAAATAAAAAAAAATTACAAATGTAAAAATTTGAATTGAAAATTTATTAAATATTAAATTTTAAAAGTGATTACGTAAGATTCAATTGATCTAAACTTTGAGTTTAAAAATAAAAACAGACTTATTTTACCATCCGATCAATGATCATCTAGTGGACAACAACCAATGTTCGTGTGCTCATCTCAAGCCTAGCAGTATGCATCGTTATCTAGCATATACAATCGACTTCGACGGACTTCCACCATGATGGCCCCTTTTTCAGCCCCTTATTTGAATTGAAAATTTATTAAATATTAAATTTTAAAAGTGATTACGTGAGAATTTGAATTCAAAACTTATTAAATATTAAATTTTAAAGTGATTACGTGAGATTCGATTGATCTAAATTTTGAGTTCAAAAACAAAAACAGACCGTGTACTCATCTCAAGCCTAGCAGTATGCATCGTTATCTAGCATATACAATCGACTTCGACGGACTTCCACCATGATGGCCCCTTTTCCAGCCCCTTATTTGAATTGAAAATTTATTAAATATTAAATTTTAAAAGTGATTACGTGAGAATTTGAATTGAAAACTTATTAAATATTAAATTTTAAAAGTGATTACGTGAGATTCGATTGATCTAAATTTTGAGTTCAAAAACAAAAACAGACTTATTTTACCATCCGATCAATGATCATCTAGTGGACAACAACCAATGTTCGTGTACTCATCTCAAGCCTAGCAGTATGCATCGTTATCTAGCATACACAATCGACTTCGGCCGACCTCCACCATGATGGCCCCTTTTTCAGCCCCTTATTGTTGACAACCTTTGCTGATTTTTCTAGGTACGTCTCTTCACTAATTATTTTTGCGGTTGGAAGTTAGGATCGATGATATTAGGGTGATACCAAACTACATAACTTTGCTTCCCAATTTGTCACTGGCTCATGCCAGGCAAAACCTTATTAAATTTAGAAAAATTTTGAGTTATGGTATCATCCATCATTATCCCATACCGTATCAGAATAAAATTTCTAGAACATAATCTGTTGCACAATAAAAAAAAAAAAAATACCATAGTAACGTGATTTTTGGATTTTATCAATTGGAAAGTTTTTCATCCGTGATATATCATTAATTCTGAACATTTAAAAAAAAAAAGTCAAAGAGCATTAAATTTTGTTAGATTATTACTTATTCAACAAGGAAAAATTATGTCAAAAATTTTATCAGATTACTTATTAAAAAGTACATAAAATTTATTAAAATTTTTTTAAAAATTTTATATACTTAATTTATATAATAAAATATTTTAATTTATTGATTATAATTTTTAATTATAATTATAATTTAATAATTTTAATAAAAGATTTCATTAATTTCACTTAAAAAATTCATTTTAAAATTTTCCATTAAAATACAAGTGTTATATTATAAAGATGTTGATGTTGAGCCGTTAGGCAGCGAGCAATAAAAGCTTGTTGATTATCGATCAAGAATTGTTGGAGCCAGGATCGACTAAATTACTGTTTTAAATCCTCGAACAAGAAAATACCAAATCCTTCATATGGCACTTATCCTCCTTCTGTCTTTGAAGAGTAAGGCACTCGAATAGTTAGAATTTGAAAAAAAAAAAAAAAATTCCACCATTTGAATTAAAATTAAAAAAAAAAAAAGACAAATAATGCTGATTACTGAAAAAAGTATTGCTAACCAAACTACAAGTTATCGGAATCCGATCATCCTTGAATTATTTTCTTCTTTCTTGGGTTTTAAGCGAAGCAAGTTTTATTAGGCTAAGTCGTCCAAATTAAGAATTAGTGCAAGATGGTCCTCAATTTTAATTGTTTTAATTATTTTTATAAAAGAAACTTAAGTTGAAAAATAGGAAAAAATTATAATTATTGTAATTTTAATTTTAATTTAGATATTATTCTTTAAAAATAATTATATAAATTAACGAAAGAGATTCGGGTTCAATTTTAATTGTTTTATTATAGAACATGAGTTTTATGTAAAGCCTACCACCTGTTCGGGAGGAGATCACTGATTTTAATGAGCAGATGAGGAAGACCAATCTAGAATTAAACTGTGAACAAATAATTTAATGTAATTAAATTAAAACTAATTTTGTACAATTTGAATTTAGGTATTCTCAATCAACTCTACATCAGCATCATAATAATAATAATAATAATCATATTATTATTATTATTATTTTTAGAAGAAGCTGCTGTTGGTAAGGGGAGGCTCCAGTATGAACGGATTAGCAAACAGGTGCTCCTGTTGAGGTAGCATTTAATATGAGACATTGACAACGTTACCTATTATTAGGTGCAGAAATCAATCCAATAGTTTCGTTGATGTGAAGGGATTATGAACTAAATCACCAATTTTGTTTTTTTTCAAAATTTGATCTTGATGAGTTTGAATAGATTTTTTTTTTTGGTCGTAAAATCCTTATATAAAACAATAATAGATTAGAATTTATGTTCACATATTTTCTTAAAAAAATTTTTAATTATTAAATGAGATTTAAATGGATTATTATTTTTTAAAAAAATTAAATTTTTTTTTTATATTCTCACTTCTCTTAAAACAATATACTACACGATTTATTTTTATAACTAATATGTCACGCATATTGGATGCTCCAAAAAATTAAAAAATAAAATAAAATTCAAGTGCAAATTGAGTGTATACGTAAGTTGAATTCATTAAAAATCTCTATCATAGATCTCCTAATTATCTATGGCTTATCAATCTAATTTTTAATTAAAATCTTTGATAAATTCAAGAAAATGATTATTATGATATGATTCGTGATCATAATTGTCACAATCAAGGATTGATATGAGCACCTAATTTGAAAACTAATGGCTTAGAATTTGATTAATTGGATGCTAGTTGTATAGATCTCGTGTAACACGTGAGAATGAAATAGTTTCTCCATTGCACTTTACGAATTATTTTTATGGAGTACCCCTTAATATCACATTAAAATTATTATTAAAAGTAATAATATATCTATTTAAAATGATCAAATTGTCAATATTTTTTAAATATTATTTTTTAATAATAATTATAAAAATCGAAGTGATTTACCTGTCAATTCTTACATTTAATGTGAAAATATTTTTACAAATAGCATCTCAACAACTGGAGTTTGCGGTTGCACAAAAATCCATAAGAAGGATGAGAAAAATAAAATGTGAAGATTGAGTAAAATTACACGTCGGTCCTTAACAGGCGCCTTCACCCCCGCTATCCTCCTACTCCCAACCACACGAGCCATTAATTCTTCAGAGCATTAGACCATCATTACAGCTGTGCCCAGTCCGAACCATAGAAATGGGAACACGTTGAGAACATAGATTTATCGGGTCATGATTGACGACCGCCCCACCTTTCGTGGCAACTGCGGGTAGATAACTATCATCAGATAAGAGTCTTTAACTCTTTGCTGCATTTTTATTGTGTTGTTTTATCAGCGACAGCAGCATTCTGATTTTCTCTTGGAGCTATAAGTAGGACTTCCCAAGATCCAAAATTATAAGGAGTCTTGGTTGTTTTGAGTCCTGAAGCAAAGCCTCAAAGAGAGATAAGAGAACTTAGTTTGGCAGGCTCCAAGAAAACTATTCTCCTTCTCTCTGTCTTCAGGAATATCTAGTATTTGTCTTTCTTCAATTATTTGCCACCATATTGTTAGAATTTGATTGAGCTGAGAGGCAAGACCTCACAAGAGCAAAAGAATATAGTGGAAAGAGTTTCTTTTTTATTGGTTAAATTAGAAAGAACAGAGGAAAGCAAGGTAGCACTGTCAGGAAAATGGTTGCACCTCTGTCAACTTGGCCTTGGGAGAACTTGGGAATTTTCAAGGTACGAAAAACTGTAGCCTGGAAGAATGATCAACTTTCTATGGTTTAAATTTGGTCAAACTATATTCATATATCCATTTTGTTTTCAGATGTAATATGTTGCTTGACTGCTTCCACTTGATTTTTCACTCTCTCTTTCACTGCCTCTATTTGTACTATACTGATATCAGTTTTTCTACCTTCAATTTTTTCCTCGTGCGTGCCAAAGTATATGCTTTACGGCCCTATAGCTGCAAAAGTTTTGTATTCATGGATCTATGAGGATACCCTTAAGGATCTCTGGTGTCTTCATATACTCGTTATATGTGCTTTGAGAGGATTAATTCATCAGCTATGGAGCTCTTACAATAACATGCTTTTCCTAACTCGCAATCGTCGGATTAAGCAGCAAGGAATTGATTTCAAGCAGATCGACAGAGAATGGGACTGGTAACATAAAATATATCTTCTAGCCTATATGATCTTGTAAATTCTGCTTACAATAAATAATTCCAACAAATTCATCTGATTAATTGATTCTAGTTCTTTTTTTTTTTTTTTGTAACATTTCAGGGACAATTTCATAATTCTTCAAGCTCTGTTAGCTTCCATGGCCTGCATGATCTTCCCATCCTTGGATGGCCTTCCTCTCGTGAACCCAAAAGGATTTATTACTTTACTGTTACTGCATGTCACAATTTCGGAGCCCTTATATTATTGGGCTCATAGGTTTCTCCATGAAAGCTACCTTTTCACCCATTATCATTCACTTCACCATTCATCTCCGGTACCCCATCCCTTTACAGGTAAAATCACTGACCTCAAATCTATCCCTTTATTAAACATATATATGTGTTTTCTTCTTCATTTCAATTGATTAAATGCTTATAGTAAATTCAAGCAACTTTCAGACATCTCATTGTCTACTTCATTAATTCACTTTTAATTCTTGGTGCTGCAGCTGGACATGCAACACTTTTAGAGCACCTTATATTATGTATAGTGATCGGAATTCCGATGACGGGGTCTATTCTGATGGGTTATGGATCAACAAGCATGATTTATGGCTATGTTTTGGCATTTGATTTTCTCAGATGCCTTGGACATTCCAATGTTGAAGTTGTTCCCCATGAAATTTTCAACAAGTTACCTTTCCTTAGATATTTGGTTTATACCCCCACGTAAGTAATACCCCTTCTCTCGTACTCATGCAGTTAATGTGTACCGAACTTCCATTCCTGAGATCCAACAGAAAAAAAAAAGACTTTGAACCAGATTCATCAATGCTTCCCCAAAACTTTGGTTCCTGTCTAGTTTCTTATCGTCTATACCTAATTCTATTTTTAGACTTGGAAATTAGATGTTGATTAATTTAAGTGCGACCTTTCTCACTGATCATACCACTTTTAGCAGAAACAGGATTTTTATGGCTGACAGCTAGAAAGCACACGCAATTTAGGTGACAGCTCCAATAAATTGAGAAGGAAAGCTCATTCAGAGTTTTCTTCCGGGAAGTAGGTTTAGTTTTGGGAAACCAGGCAATGAGTTTAGATCATAGATATGTAAGGATAAATGTTAAAAGTTATCGTTAAGACACGTTAGTGCTTCTTGAATAAGGTGATTTTATTACATTAACTAAACTGTTACGCCCAAAATAGGAGCTTGTCCAGTATCCTCGATAAGTCCTTGTCTGGAACTGACATGTATTTTGTATTGATAAAATAGGTACCATTTTTAGTTGGCCCCATTAATTTCCGTATAGAAGAGGTAGCTAGCATAATTTTAACCCCAAAGTTTGTAACTTGCAATCCAATTTATATATTTTAAAAGCAAAAAAGAAATGGACTACAATTGTTTTGCTGTTGCACAAGGATATGGCTGCAAAATTCACTTTTAAAAAGAATGTATTGATGTTTTCTAATTTCTGGATGGTTTGCAATTCGTCAGGTACCATAGCCTGCACCACACAGACATGGAGACCAACTTCTGTCTATTCATGCCGCTGTTTGACGCAATGGGAAATACGCTTAACGGGAACTCGTGGCAGCTACACAAGAAAATCAGTTCAGGTTCAGGAGGTTGCAGTTCTTTGTTTTACTTTTCGCAAACCATGAAAATTTTTACCATAAATCCTTCTTTTAGCGACCATTGGACTTGAAAACTATACTGATTCAAGCGCATTCATCTGCATGACACTGAAAATGACAGTTTATCTGAACGGTGAATGCATGGTCCAATGATAAATGGACGGATTAATGATGATATGATGGAGAAATTAACTTGTAATTTGCGTTAATGCAGCGAAAGAAGGGAGGGTACCAGATTTTGTGTTCTTAGCACATGTGGTGGACGTAATCTCAGCGATGCATGTCCCATTTGTCTTCAGATCATTCGCATCGATACCATTTTCCACAAGGATCTTTCTACTGCCCATGTGGCCTGAAACTTTTATGGTTATGCTAATGATGTGGGCTTGGTCTAAGACCTTCCTCCTCACTTTCTACAATCTTAGAGGCCGTTTGCACCAGACATGGGTCGTTCCTAGATTCGGCTTCCAGGTTTGCTATTAACTCAAATTAAAAGTTTGGGCAAAATTATTATTGCAAAGTGTATCTATAGAGTAATTAGGAGCTGAGCAATTAATCATCTAGAATCCATTACAACTTAACTTTTTGCAGTATTTCTTACCATTTGCAACGGGGGGCATCAACAGGCGCATAGAGGAGGCCATTCTCAGGGCTGATAGGATAGGGGTCAAGGTCATTAGCCTTGCTGCATTAAATAAGGTCAGTATTGTTTTCTTTATTTTATGTTTTCCTTTTAAACTTTGGAGACATTTGGTCTGCCATCCAACATTAGAAAAAGAACATAATCAATATATAATATATATACGTGTATGTGTGTGTGTGTGTGTGTGATATGTTTTTAATTGGGCTCTGGAGTTATCCCATGATAGTAGTTGGGAGGAATAAATATCAGAAATGAATCTGCCCATCTCCTTCATTTAAAATCGGTATGGACTTTTCAATGCATTCTTAACTCCGGATCTGGCAGTGTACTATATATCTGTTTGGTATCTTTCAAAGCATTTCATTATCGAAGTTCAATTGATTCGTATAATCAAATGATATCTAACCTATAAAAAGTTGAAATTTTAATACTCACAACCATTTCTTATATGGAAATTGCAAGCTCTTATGTTAAAAAAAAAAAAAAACTCACTATCATTTGCGGTTTCAGTGGACGTGGAAAGATCAAACAGATAGATTAAAAGTTTGTGTCTATATATTTCAGAAATGGTACACCATAAATTCTACATCTTGCATTCATGAGCCAACGACCGTATCTGCTCAGTCTTTTACTCATTTCTTTAGCCGAGGACCATCCTTTTCGTGAGCCTGTCTCAACCAGAAATTCAGTGTCCTCTCTCCTATTTTAACCGTACAACCTTCTCCAAGATCCCTGTATATAATAATTTCTCCCCTTTTGCTACGGTTAAAACTTAAAAGGCCATTGAAATCTCTAGGAGAAGATTTGAACCCATGCAGAGACCAGAAAGTCCTCCCTTCTTAATGGTGAGGGTAACCAAACCACTTGGACCAAACCCCATAGATCTTTTTCCTTGTCCTTTTTGGATTTTAGTGCTAATTAGAAATGAGCACAATTGTAGTTATATGATCCAAGTTGTGAATTTGAAGAACTTGTAGAATATTATTCTATATAGGGATAATGAAAATTTTAAACTCCATTCAAATGTGTTTTTTAGGATTAATTACCACATATCCAGAAGAGTATAATTCAAGATTTAATAAATCAAATGCCCGAAGCAGGTCTTAATGCCTGAAATAAATGATAATCACTGTTAGGTTTAAATAGTACTAATGGCATCACCCCCTAAGACTGAGAAATACACAGTTTAAAGACTTAAAAAGGGCATTTAGCTATTACATGGATTTGTTATTGTTATTGTGGAACATTAATTTATTAGGTTTAAGAAAAGACAAATTTGGTTTAATGATTGTGCAGAATGAGGCTCTGAATGGTGGAGGAACACTCTTTGTTGACAAGCATCCAGACCTTAAAGTCAGAGTTGTCCATGGCAATACCTTGACAGCTGCAGTTATTCTGAATGAAATTCCTAAGGATGTGAAAGAAGTGTTTCTAACTGGAGCTACTTCCAAGCTCGGTAGAGCCATTGCTCTCTACCTCTGTCGAAAGAGAGTACGCGTTCTTGTAAGTCTTGTAACTCTCACCAACAAGCCAACCCTAATTGTCATATATATTTGAATAATCTTTTTCATTTTATGTTTCTTTAATTAATTTGATGCATGCATGACGGTGTATATTGCTGGATCTGACAAATATTGCGTACGTCCTTGATGATGGTGTGGCTAACGGGAGGTTAATGCGCTGTTGTTTTATTTATTTCTGATGGCTTAGGCATAATGTGCAGATGTTGACTTTATCGACTGAAAGGTTTCAAAAAATACAAAAGGAAGCCCCAGCAGATTGCCAAGACTACCTTGTCCAGGTGACCAAGTATCAAGCTGCTCAAAATTGTAAGGTATGATATCATGAGAATGGCTCTCTCATCAACTCTTGAATTATTAATTTCAGTATACATTTCCCTTAATTAAATGTATATAATATTGTATATTTTCCTCATGGAAACACCAAAATATTAAAAATATATAGAACATATATGGGTTTAGCAAAAGAAGAATAAATATTAAATACTAAACATGATTGAATTGTCGTTATGAAAAAGACATGGATCGTTGGCAAGTGGATAACACCAAGGGAGCAGAGTTGGGCACCATCTGGAACACATTTCCATCAATTCGTGGTCCCGCCCATTTTGGCCTTCAGAAGAGACTGCACCTACGGTGATCTCGCAGCCATGAGGTTGGCCGATGATGTTGAAGGCCTTGGATATTGTGAGGTACTGATCACCAATCTTCTCATCATCAACATTCATTTACACTTCGAACTTCATTTTTCTTCTCCACCCACATCACAGATGCAACGGATGTGACATGAAAACTAACAGTCTGATCATTTAATCTTTCTTTCATATACAAATATAATTGCCTAACTCTTGAGTTTGTGGTGGATGTTGGGGACAGTATACGATGGAGAGAGGAGTTGTGCATGCATGCCATGCAGGAGGCGTGGTTCATCAGCTGGAAGGCTGGACTCACCACGAAGTTGGGGCCATTGATGTCGATAGAATCGATCTAGTCTGGGAAGCTGCTCTCAAGCATGGTTTAAGGCCAGTGTCAAGTGTAAACAAGAAAGATTCATTGTGATAAATAAATACCATGAAAGAAGAAAAAAAATAAAAACGAAAAAGAAATTGAATTTGAAAATTGAAAATATATGGTTATAACAGGTCTCTTTTTTTCTTTAATGATTCAGCGTTTGAAGAAAACAACTATGGTCTAGCTACAACTGATCGTAACATGAAGTACTGCCATGTAATATGTACTTGATAAATTAAAATATTTATTTATACCTTGATTGAGCAAAGGTGTAATTTAATGGTTGATTTGCAAATTGCAATTTTTCATCTTATTTTTGCAAGGAATTTGGTTCTTTTTAAAATTCATAATTGAAAATTAAATACTCTAATGGCTATATGGCATACTGGAAATGGAGTTTTTTTTTTTTTCATGGGATTGGGTATATGACCACTTTTCCTGTAACCCTTCCCGTTTCTATATAATTAAGTGCTTCCATAGTTCGAGAGAAAGGAAAAATGCCTTTGGGTTCAATAATTGGCTTCACTTTCCCACTCTCCAGGAAAGGCTTCAGTTTATCTAGAACAGCGCCATTTGAAGTGACTATGAACTTGAATGCGGGTACAGTAACAGCCCCTGCTATTGTCACAACACGACCACTTCCTTTCACTGCTTTCACTGCCCTTTGACATTGCCCTTTTTTGTTTTATTTAACCATGAATAGTGTTAATTCTTAGTCTAAGAACAAGAAACTTTGTTAAGAAAGGCTACTTTCAAGATTATAATATAAACAAAAGTATTTCGATGGATATTGCCATGAGTCACATCACATATTTCATTTTTAGGAAGCAACAATAATTCCATATTCTTACCAATGCAATCATATACTAAATCAAATTTCTCTGGAAGATCTTCAAAGTTTTCCTTGGTGTAATCAATTGCCAAATCAGCACCCAAGCTCTTCAACAATTCCAGTTTTCCTGTGCTTGAGGTAGCAGCTACTTTGGATGCTCCAAAAACATGCTTGGCTAGCTGATAAGGAGGGACAATTAGAGAAATACGAATAATCTAAGTTCCAATCTTTCAAAATAAACCAAGTTTTGCTTAGAGAAATATACCCGAATAACCATGGTGCCAACCCCACCAGCACCTCCTAAGACAAGAATAGATTTACCAGAAGAATACCCAGATCGTTCAAGTCCTTCATATGCAGTTTCAATGGCAACAGGCAGTGCAGCAGCTTCATGAAAACTCAGGTTTTTTGGTTTGAGAGCCAACAGCATCTCTTCAACGGCTGTGTACTCAGCTAAAGTGTCATATTGTTTTGGGTGATCCAAGGCTTTCTCATGAATGTTCCCATATACTTCATCTTCTACCTTCAAATTCTTAACTTGGCTTCCCACTTTCACCACCACAACAGCAACATCATATCCTGGAACAGTCTGAAAAAGATAAGAGTAAGAAAAGAATAAAGAAATAAATATACCAGGAAAAAAAATGCAATTCTGAAATGCTAAATTTCCCCTTAACAGAAAAAACAAACTGAAGAAAAGAAATCAAAGATTGTCAAAGAAAGTGAAAAACTTACAGGAAAGGGAGAATCGGCATGTATGAATATCCCAAGCATCCTCTTGGCATCAACTGGATTCAGCCCTGACGCAACAACCTTGATAAGAACTTGGTCTTCATAAAGTTGGGGTGTTGCAACATTTGAGTCCAGTTTCAGAACATCCTCAGGTTTTCCATGTTGACCATAAATCCAAGCCTTCATTGTAGAAGCAAGAGAAGCACCTGAAACATTATCCATCACAATTTTTTATTGCTCTATCAATTGCAGAATGCAGATATAGGGAGTTTAATACTATATCTATCCTTTTTTCTTAGTTGTTTGATAAGACTTTGTGCAAGAATTTATACGAAGATAAATGTGCCTAATCATCATGTCTGCTTTAGTAATTGAATGAGTCAAATTATCAAAGAAAACAGAAGAAAATTGATAATTGGACACGCAATAAAATAAAACAATAATATAAAGTTCTTGAATATTATGGCTAACGCAAGCGCTGATGCAACAAGGATAGAATAACTTTTCATTAAAATAATGTATAGGCAGTAATTTTATGTCTAAATTCATTTTGCAGCCAAGCATACCAGGTTTCTTCATCCTACGAATATTCCTATCTTTCGAACCTAAGCTGGAACTGTAATTTATTAAAAGGTTAAAAATGCTTTTGAATTATAATTTAATAATTATTTAAAAATTTATTATAATTAATTAATTTTTTTATTCTAACTCAATTGAATTTAGACTAAATCTAATTAAATGACAAAATTTAATCAATTAATTCTCGAATTATAATTGATTAAATTTTTAGAAAAATCTTAAAGAGAGATGGATAAAAAATATAAAAAATTTTATTTTATTTATTTTTCATATATGAAAAATTTTGATCTATTTATTAATATTATATGAAATTTTATTTTAATTGAAAAAATAACAATATTATTTTTTTCATTCAAATAAAAATTTAATTAAATATAAATAAATATTAAAATATTAATTAATTATAGAATATTAAAAATTAAATAATTTTTAATTATAATTAAGAGCTTTTTGTACCCTTTGACCATTTTAATTTGAAGATCATGTTTTTAACTTCCTAGGTTCCTTGTTTCGATTGAAGTCCTCCATTTACCAAAACATCAGCTTTACCTTTTGCCACGTGTCAGAAACTGAAAGTTAGAGGGCATACTGCATCTTTAGAAGTCGACAGCTGTCCGGACTCCAACCGCATGACATTCATCGGTAAAACTCTCCAACTTCAACTAAAGAAAGGAAGTGCTTCTTGAAAAACCCTTGCTCTGTTTACCATTTCCTTTACAGCTGCTAAATCCAACAAAAGAAATGGAGAAAACAAAGAGAATGTCGTTGGGAGTTCAAAAGAAGACCAAACCCACCAAGCAAAACAAGAAGAAATTCCTCAACAATGTTTTAGACTGCCTCAACTCCGACTGTCACATGTTTGCTCGTCTCATTTCTCCTCCACTCTCGGGTAACCACTTTTTCTCTTTAGTAATGTACTAGTTTCTTTTTCAATTAGTTTTCTACTTGTTTTGCATCAATGGGTTCTTTATTTTTGTTGTCAGGAGTGAAAATGAAAGAACCCATTGAAGGAAACAAGAAGAGTTGTTAAAGACGGTTGGCAAATATATGAAATCTAACGCTTACATGTACGCACCATTGGTTTCTTCTCAGCTAATGGGTTCCCTTCCTTCTGGTACTATTTTCTTATTTATTCTTTGTTGATTATTTTAATTAGATGGTTTTTTTCTTAGAATGTTTTGCTCTGAACTGTTTTCAGATGCACAAGTTCTGGTTCCATGTTACTTAAAAAAATCCATTTTTTTTTTTTATGTAGTATAACAATGTATACAACAGCTGTGTATTTAATTAGCAAATTGCTTGCCAGTGGGGAAGACATAATAAATTGAGTCATCTACAAGGAGTTTTCTTTTCATGTTCCACTAATTCTCCTGTTTTTATATATTTCTCCTCTCTGGTCAGGCCAAGTTCAGCTTTTTGTGTAAGCCATTCTCAGTTAGTTATGTGACTTGTGGCCTCATGTCTCATACGGATTAGTGAAAACAACTAACAAAACCATCAAGGGCCAAGGCTTGTTATAGGTGAATTGCATACCTGGTTAAGGTAACAGAACCTTAATCCCTTAAACAATCAGGGCCCTCTTGGGGAAGTACATCAGTACTGAAGAAGAGTTTGTGCCGAAGTTGAGCAACAATAGGCTTATAAATAGGATTCTTTAGATATTTCAAATGGAGATAGGATAGGCAATTTTTATATCACTCTGCTGTCAACAGAGTATAGAAGCCAACGTCGGCAGGGGCTACGAAATTCTTGTCAAATACTACAGAAAAGACTGTGACAAGTTATCGATGTCGGGGTGAGAATTGGGCTCCACACATCTTAACACTTAGGTCATCAAGTTGCCAGTTATCATAACAAAATGTTACTTCTTTTCACGAGGGAGGCCCTTAAGCTGATCGTGAGAGAATTATTTGGAAAGGTAATAAGCAAGTAAGCAACCTCTATTACAGATTTTGTGGGGAATTGTTCTACAATGCTAATTTAACAAATAGCAATGATCCAGTTGATTCCCTAATTTATAAGTTGCATTACATGCCAGATAAGACTGGAATGTGTATCTACTTTCTCATTATTTGAAGGGTTGTGGAAGCATTCGTACGTGATTCATTGGCAGTACAACGCAGCTGCACACAATCTCCTTTTATTCATCTATAGTGTTGATTGACCAAAGAGAAAAGATATTTTGCATTTTCTTGGCACTGCACTGCTCTCCTTAAAGTATCTTGATGCTATCTGGAGGCTTATCACTTTGAATATTATGTTTTCTTCCCTTATAAGATGGTCTTTTGCTATTAATATTATTATCATTTTTCCAGAACTCCCTAATCTCTTGTTGTATCTTTGTTTCAGGACAAATCCGGTGCAATAGAAAGGTCACCCTAGAAGACTCAACAAGAATGTTAAATTTCAAGGAAAATCATCAAACTACTGAATCAGCTACTGCGATAGCAGTGAAGCAGCCGTGCAAAGACATTTGCCCTGGGATGAGCACTGCTGACCGTCAAACAGTAAGGCATGGAGAGACGGTGAAGCACATGGTTTACCAACACTGTTGCCCATCGTCCGTGTCTGTCAGGTCAGGTCACATTCTTCACCACATGAAATGCTTCATTACTTGCCATTTCATTCTTTAATTGTGGACTGTCCTGCTGGCGGTCCAGATGACATGGCTTTTGGGCCTTTCTTCTGGTTGACAAGGCTCCATTTGTTGCTTTTTGTAATAATGTATTTGTAAAGAGCATCAAGGGCCTCTATCCAACTGTTGATGATGGTGCTTATGTTACTATTCTCACTAAAAGTAACCCTTTCAAAGTGGACAAGACTGGTCAGAAGCATTATGTTCATGAATTCCTTCATCAATACTAGAAATCCGATTGAAACCTGCTTTCTTATTACTGGACCATGTGCTTAACATTAATGTTTTGTTATTCATCACAGGAAAGGCAATGGCGGATTTGCAGCAAAGGAAGCCTGTTGTTGAGTAAATCTACCATCATATATATCGTTGTAAAATGTTCATGGTATTTTGACATCTGTATAATACATATGAGTAGAATTTCTACTTGGTGTTTACTTATACATGTAGGAATTCTTTAATGGAGCTTGCAATGGATGATCCATTAACTTTTTTTTTAAATAAAAAAACAAGTTTTCTAAAATTATTAGAAACGTATTTTCATATTTTGGTTAGACCAATGCTAATGCTAACATGTAATAATGCAAGAATACCCGCAAATCACGGGGGTTGACCCCCTAACCCATTTTGGTTGGACCGGCTCAATACCCATTCTTCATGTCGTGTCCTTTCGTCTTTTTCTTCCTTTTTAACGTTTGAATGCTACGAAGTCTTGATTTGCTTTTCAAAATCATCTGTCCAAACTGATGATTCATGTTCCTCGTTGCTTGTTTACCCTGTATCTTATGATCTTCTCACATGGTCAGGATTAGAATGTGAATATATAATTATTTTATTTTTTGATGTTAAAAATCAAAATTTCAGTCAATTTTACTTGAACAATCGATCTTCGTGTGTTTGAAAAACTATCTCATTAAGAGAAATTATCTAAATTCATTGAATCAAAATTAACTCATTAATTTATTAATTTTTAATTAAAATTTCTTTTAAAAATCATGTTAGTGTTTAGGATAATTTTCAAAAGGAAAAACATATTGACCAAATAAATCAACTAAGACTAAACCAATGTAGGTGGTTGGCATATTTTCACACACAATTTTCTTCTCCCACTCAAATCAAATTCATCATATATATATATATTGACAATGGACTCCCATTCTCTCATATGATAACTGACATTATATGAGAAAAAATTTCAAACCATGCATGAAAACAGACTCATGCTTTATCAATTTCCTTTTGTTGGAATTCACAAACTTAACCTACATATGGTCATCAATTTGATTTTAGTTGATCTTCATCTTTTAAATTTAATTGATAACTTATGACGCCTCAATACCACATTCATAGAACGTGTGAATATGATATAATATATAATTTAAGATTTAAATCCACACTTATGAGGCTTTTTTTTTAGATAAAATTGTAAGACTTTTGTGTCGAAGCAAATAATACCGCCTAAGTTAGATGCAGATCTCTATAAATAATATTAGAGTGGTCAGTCGACAGGAATTAAGTGGTACACAATAAAGAATTCTAGCATTTGATGTGATCTTCATCTTATGGTTGGACTCGAATTCTGTTGTGATATTCATCCTATGATTGGACTTGACTTGACGAAGAGATTATTCATCTTATGGTTAAACTTGGATTGACGAAGACATCAAGGTTTAAAGATGAAAAAATTGTGACTTTTCAATTCAATATTGAAAGAATGTGTGGATATGATATAAAATATAAGTAAAAATTTAAACTCATACTTGTGAAATATTTTTTGTGAGATAAAATTATAAGAATTTTGAAATTAAAACTAATAATATTTCAAAAATTAGGTGCGGGTCTCCACGCAACAACACAAAGATATGTTTCAAATTGAAATTTTCTTGTGCTTAATCAACTATAGAAAAAACACTTGCAAATATTTAACATTTATTTTAAGTTTTTACTATGTTGTTTTTAATTCATTGAAAAATACTTAATATTCCTTATAATATTGTCTTGTGCGGACAGATTGGACTGTGACGAACACATGTTTTGTGACCTAATTCTGTGGAAAGAAAACATTCAAACAAGCAGAATCTTATATTATGTAAATGAGAAAGCAAAAGGAGAGAAATATGGCATAGAAAAGTGAAGGGAAGGGAAGGGCATGCATGCGCCACTAACATGTTTTTCTCTGAATTAATATCCATTGAAAAAGTAACCATTTATTCAACCTCATCCTACACCCTCCGAAATTTCGTGTACGAGTATTGATTTATGTTGAAAATTTATTTAGATACAATTTAAAAATTAAAATATTATTTAAATGTAAATTAAAAGTTAAAAACTTACTTAAATAAAGTGATAAATTTTAAAAAAAAATTTATTATTTTAACCATGAATATTTTATTATTATTCAAACACTTTCTCAGTTGAAATCATCATTTGTTGGTTTAAGATTTCGAATTTTAGTATGATAACATAAAGGAGATAATTATAACCAAAGGGATCGATTGCTATCATATATACTTTTATAATTAAGGTGATGATAAATCAAAATATATATTATAAATTCTTATAAAGTAAATTTTATACCCAAAAAAAAAAAAAAAAACGAAGCTTTCAATGAGTGTAAAAGATGTGTAATTTGAGCCTAAGAGGGAGAGAGGTAGAGACTCACAAAGGGCAAAGTTTTAAAACGCCCATGTGGAGACCATGTGGGAGGGACATTTTTTCTTCATGCTCAAACCCAAAGCCAAAAACCCGTGCCCTAGAATTTCTATTCTATGTAGGTCCTATTTGCCCTCTCAGCATCACCATGTTTTCTGGATCCTGCCAATCCCCCTTCTCTCTCCCTCCCTCTATCTCGCCAAATCAACATCCTTAAATAAACCCATCTTTCCATTTCTTTAAAATATCTTTAAAAAGGAAAAAAAATATCTTCGTTGGGCAAATTTCTATTACTCATAAGTCAAAGATATGTTTTGAGTATTTGAAGTCTATATACTAATATATATATTTTAAATATATTGAATGTTATATTTTAAAAATAATTATATTAATTAATTAAATTAAAATTAAAATTTAATTCTTTTAATAAAAATTTACGAGTAAAAAAAATTATCTAAGCTTTGAAAAAAAATGAAATTATCAACTAATAAGAGAATTTATAAATCTTTTAAAATTTTTAAACTTATAAATTGTCTACCAACAAAAAATCATGAAAATTAAAAAATTCGAATATAAATGTTTACGTCCAAACGTTAACCACCTTTTTTTTTTTTCTTGTTAAAGTGATCATCTGCAAAACTGTATAATGGGTCAGTGATCCACATTTCCAGGGTACACTTTATTCCCCACAAAATAAAAAGCCTCAAAAGGCAGTTCACTATGGTATTTAAGTTTGACCCAAGATTTATTAATTCTTATTTGGGGAAACTTCGATATGAAAAGTCCTTTTTCTTTTCACTTAATTAAAATTTTCAATCACAATTTTTGCAATCCAATTCTTGTTTGTAACTTAACCTTCAGTCTCATATCCATCAGCTTGGGTTATTTATTTGTTTATTATTTATAATTTTATTATTAAGTCTTTTTATTTTATTATTTATTATATTTATGCCTTTCAATCTAATACTAAAATTTTTTTTTAATATATCCCCTAGGGTTTGTGCGGTGGGCCACGTATGCCATGTGCTTGCATGTGCTGTGTCTTTCTCTCGTAGGGCCCCACCACTGCTTTTCCTTTGAGCAAATAAATGGAGTTTCTGCATATTCTTCTCTTTCTCATTCCCCTCTCTCTATCTCTACTGTTTCTGAACCTCTTTCTTGGATTCTGATACACTTTCTTGGATCTGTTGAACTGGTTCATTCTCTGCAACTTTGTTTCTCATATTTCTCTCAACATTGTTTTTTAATTCTTTCACTTTCCATAGCAAGAAGAAATTTTAGCAAGGTACGTATTGGTTTTAGTTTGCCTTACATTAACCTCACAACTTTTTCTTTGCTAAGTCAAAATTTTATTTAAGGGAATTAATCAAGTACAGCAAATGATCAACATAGGTGAAGACACAAGTACTATATAATATCCAACAGCTATACCAAGCTCAAGTAGTGTACTGATGGTAGTGATCTTGGTCTTTTGCACTTAGTTTTATGGTGTCTGCACTGCAGTTGTCTTCTTTGAAAACCTAGCTAGCTAGATCCTTCTCTTGCATCCTGTAATTTTACTTTAACTTTAATCTTCATGGGATTTATTTTCCTTTTTACTTGAATTTAAGCAGTGGGAGAATCTGAGAAAGGTAGCTGTTCGGATGATCATTGTTATTTGAAAGCTTTTTATATAATGAATTTTGTATATATAACAAAGATAATGATACCACATTGAAACTGATAATTTCTTTTGTTTGTGCAGGATGAGACCTCCTAGTTCACTCAAGCAAGAATTTCTAAAGAAATGGATAACGGGTCTCCAAAGATGTAGCTCTTCAAAGAGGAATATGAGCATCTTGGAGAGAACGAAGGCTATAAAGTTGTCAGCAGATGTAGCCATGGCTTCTGCAAGAAACAGTACAACTTGTTGGAGTCGAGCTCTCATTGCCAATGCTTCCAAAGACGGCAGTGATGGCAAACATCTAGTTGAGCAAATTTTGGGTCTGGAGTCTGAGAGGCTAATGATGAAGAAGGCTTCGACAGGAGCATTGGTGTGCAACAAGAGGATCAGAAGCAAGAAGATCCTGAAAAGGAGTTGCCGAATTCCAAGAACAAGAAAATGTGTACCCCAAGTGGCTTTAGCGACCTCTATTGCGAAAAGGATGGTTAGGAAAAGAACCCAAGTTTTGAAAAGTCTAATCCCAGGAGGAGAATTTATGAATGAAGTCTCTTTGATAGAGGAAACTCTAGATTATATCATATCTCTTCGTGTTCAGGTTGATGTAATGCGAGGTCTTGCCGGTGTTTCAGAGCTAGTGAATCATAATTAAGGGCATCAATGGTAAATTGCTCTTTAGTTATCTACTACTATATCTGTATTATTTCCTTTTTTTTTTTTTTTGGGCCCAATGCCTAGTCTGGCTAGATGAAGGAAAAGGGAAGCTGAAATGGAGGCATGCATGTACAGATGAACTATATATATATATATATATATGTTTGTATGTATGTAAGTCAATCAAGGCCTTAATTTCAATCTTCTACCAGTCATTGTATTGACTTGCATTAAGCTTTTAATCACAAGCATAAGTTTCTTATGTATCATAGTTGCTATACCTTAAATCTTGACTACTTTCAGAGACCAACTAATTATGCATCATTTTCTGCTAATTCTTTAATTTCTTTGGATTTCACCCTTTTTCTAATTATATACTGTTCCATATATAAGTCTTCAGCATGGGAGACAAATGATAATGAGATTGGCTTGATTATCAGCAACCACAGGAAACGATTTTTGGTGTAGTACTAATTCATTTTCATTTGCTTTAGTTAGCATCATGAACAAGTGTACACTAGAAAGAAGAGCATTTAGCTACTCGATCGAATGATGTTTGGCGTGCATGTGGCGAGAGAGAGAGAGGAGATACGGAAAATGTGAGGGCATAATCCGGTGCAAACAATGAATGCATGCGAATCAAATAGGCTTACCATTTGGAGTTTTTCTTAAACAGCTCTGTTATTTTTTTTCGTGCTTATTTTGGTTAAGAAAACGATCGGATGGCTTTGTATTATTGAGGTATATCTAAGCAAGAAAAAGAAAAACAAAGTTGCTGTTGAACATGTTTCAATGAAAGCTATAAAAACTGCACACCCGTGCAACATCTTCACTTCAATGCATGTTTAACATGATTGTAACAACAGCCAAAAAAAACATTGAAGCTGCTTTTAGAAAACCAAAGGATCATTTACATTTTCGAATAAGGTCAAGATTTGTTGAATTTAACTCGAAAGATATATGGGGGGTATACCCTCGGACTCGATGAGGAAAAGAAAATGAGAAGTCATGTTCTTTCATGTTCTTTTATGAAGTTAATGTATGCAACTCACATATGTAGCAACCGAAAAGAGTGCAGGACGATGATTTGCTTGAAATGGTCAAAATTGTGATTGATCTGTCAAACAATGTCCTCAGAATCTGTGCACCGAAAGCCAACTATGCGATGATTTGATTGATCTCAGCAATAATTTTACCTGGTCTCGAAGAGTCTGAAATCTTCAACGGAAATTGGTAAGGGCATTTACTTCCAATTTACTTAAAGAATTTGTGAACACTGAGAGACCACTTTTGACTAATCAAGTTGAAATTAAGCACTTGAAAAAGAATAATCTCATGTCCCTTACCACATACGTTGTTCCAACTTTACTTTAATCCAATGTCATGTATATAATTTCATTGATTTGCAAATTAAAATTTCCATCATCATGTCATGAACATTGATCTCATCTCAAGTATATACTTTCGCATTTGATTATTAGCTGATTCAAATGTCAACTATTATAGTTGAAAATAGAATTTAGTTTATTGGGATTGTGTTCTTTCAGTCCATTTGATTGGATGCCTCTATTCACAAATGATAACCATTTTACTTTTTTCTTATTCTCTGGCTTGGCCGGGTGACCAAGCCTCATTTGATCAAATTTCTTGCTTAATCTCGTATTATGCTCGCCAGCTAATTTTCTTCCATTCGTCTAAAGATAAAAAGCTCTTTAATTAATCATCCGTGTTGACTGAGCTCGCTGTTGCATTTCTTCCATAATTACCTCTTCCCCATTCGTCCCACTTCTTCGAACAGGTGTGTATATGTATATGGATATGCATATATTGGGCTCGAGACACATCAAATGGAGAATATTACGTAAAAAAAAAAATCACTCGAGGTATCGAACTGGGCATCTTTCGGAGAGAAATATGTTGATGGAGGAGACAATTTTGAGATGGCCCTCTAATATTTATCTTTGAAGGGTTTTCCTTGATATGGACTTTAGGGTCTAGAACAAGAAACCTTCTCTTCTGCCCCGTAAGGCAAAGCTTCATGCGGATATGTTCAACAATGACAAAGCTAAGTTTGATGACATCCCATATATTTGGTTAACAAAACAAAGAAAAATAACAGTCAGAGACAAAAGGAGCTCAATTTTAGTGACCCCATCTGGCACCCCCAGCCCCATGGTCATGATTTTATAAGACCCAAAAACCCTCATCTTTTCAGGCTGAACTCAACCCATTTTCTTATTACAACTTAGGCCCAGTCTTGGAGCTGAAAACGAATTTATTAAGTTTGCAACTCACTTTTGAGTTTTGAATTCGTGTGTAGATAAGCCCAATATTACTTATTGTTCAAGACAAGCCTGATTATATAGCGAGACTGATGCTGATTGTCAGGTGCATGAATTAGTTGATAAAATTTTTATTAGACCTACGTGCTTAGTTGTATAGAGATCCTGAAGCTGATGAGACTACTGATACAAGTTATGTATCTAATCGTCTTGACTTCCAATTTTAGGACGATTAAGCTATACATGGTTGATGATTACCAGCGTTATGAGACATGGGCTATGACCATTAATCACATGCTCATGCCTTCCGCTTCTTTTACCAAATTTGAACTTACAATTCTACAAAAACTGAAGTTAACTGTGTTTTCGGTGATGTGTTGCATCGATCTATTTCGGATATTTGTAGTAATATTGTATATTGATTTACATTGTAGTGAACTCTTGTTGGACGTAAATATATGGAATTTCTTGTTGAAAGAGGAGCACAATTTTATTAACACCAAGCACTGCCTCAAGTTTCGGGTTACTAACTACTGAGAGAAAAAGAAATTGAAACTTACAGTTGATGCAAATGGAGATAATACTAGGAATTTATCCAGTCATACACCATAGGAGTTTGCAAGACTTCTGAGAACATAAACCAGTGATTTTAATTTGATAATGTGCTCAATAGACCTCTGAAACAAGGTTTCCAAATCGGCCTCCTCGCACCCTGGAACGATCCTTTGCAGAGTTAAAAGATTTCTATGAACTGAAAATATTGCAAACTTCACCTTTTTTCTCAACACTGGACGGCGCATCCTTGTCCTTTAGCATCTTTGATTCATGGACAAGAAACAAGCTTTTCTCATGATAAAAGTGCAAGTAAAATTTTGGAGCTTGTATATTGGATGTTTGCCAAAGGAGTTTATAGATTTAGACGTTTTCACCTGCTTGGAGCCATTATATACTTCTACTTTTAAAGCTGAAGATCGGGGAGATATGGAGGAAATTGCTGTTGGAGGCCTTTTTCAGTACTTGTCAGTTGTCACCTAGTGAACATCACTACATCTACATATACACAGCTTTAATACTAAGCTCTAAATTTCAGTTCACTTGACAGTATGACGTTATAAAGTTATCTATAGTTAAAGAGAAGCAATTAAATCACGAGGAGCACGAGATGCTGGAAGAACTAGCCTCAGGATCTGTTTTTGGAAGTGAAATCAATAGACAACAAAGCATGGTGCACTACCTTAGGTCGGTTTAAATGTTTCCTTTCAGAAAACCCATTTTAATTCCCATCACTTTTGCAGGATGAGGGAATGATGGCAAACATGTATGGCCAGGGCCACATTATGTCTAGCTGGTGCCCTGGTGGGCATGCATGTTATGTATATTCCTTGTCTCCTCATCTCATTTCTCATATTCTGCAATGTACTTGAGATTCCTTTCTTCTGCAAAAAGGCCAGTTTAGCCTCATTTCAGCTATTTATCGACCAACCAACCACCTTATAAAGCTTTTTTCTTTTGCAGTTGGCCCATCCATCTGTATAAAGTCTGTGGACGTTCTCCGGGGGGACTGAATCTTGACACTTTCGGGTCCTGAATTGTGACAAGACCAGAGCATGTAGAATTTTATAGATTTTTTTTACCTGCAGTTCTAAATTTCTCTGTGCCAACTGATCAGCTTGTCTTTTCTCTCAATATACCACCGAAAACTGATATACAGAAATGGAGAATTTCATAAATCCATAATGTGCATGAATTTTTCTAGAAATGTGGTCCTTCCTTGCATACCTTTTCTACCATTTGGGGATCTAATGAAAGCTGCAAGTGGGACTAGCATATCCTACCCACCAACAAGAGATTGATTGAATGTAGATTTTCAGACTGTTACAGAGCAGCCATAAGCCCATAACTTCAACCGCAACTAGCAAATCAGCTAAACATATATGGCAGAGACTTTTTCCATTATGGGCAGGGTGGAATTCACCAGCAGGATGTCGGTGTGGTTGGGGTTCAAAGAATGAAGCTAGTTGAGCCAAGTAGGCCAACTTGCAAGAGGACAAGCTAGCATTTGATGTATAGTTCACTGCATCCAAGATCACCTCTGAAATATTTATATATTCATGCTAAACCCGTATTCATGATCTTAAATTAGAACTCCTCTAGTGGATATGCTAAATAGTGTATCAGTGTTGTTTTGGAGATGCAAGCAAATCTATTAACTGCAGTCTCAAAAAAAACTAATCCATGATGAAATATTTTTACTTCAACCGTAAATCTAACTCCATGAACCATGTCGGAAAATTTCTTCCCCCCCCCCCCCCCTCCCCCTGCCTTCCCATTCCCAATTAAACTCAATTTGTTCATTCCCGAGGCGGTTGCCAAGTAATCAGTTAGTCCATAAATAGGTCAAGTGTCATGATTTTTATGGAAGAGTCATAACTTGTAAGATAATTTCTGTGAAACAAAATTATGAAATCAAAAAGATCAAAGCAAATAATACTTTGTCAATACTTTAAGCTTCAATTGACGGAAACGGACAATGCCGTGCATGAACTGTGACGTATAACGTGTTGCTTGTGGGGAATGATCTTAATCTATTTCTCTAACACATCTGCAAATGTTCACTATATTTGGAGATGATCTGAACCTAGTCTAGTCCAAACTCGGTGAAGATCAAAATCTGTTTAAGATCAGATTATCTTCGAAATAAATAAAGGTTTAATTAATGCAAGTAATTGCTTTTTTTTTCTTTCGTTCTAAGACAACTTGCAGCGCACTGCACTCCTGACAACATAAGCATGTATTCCAGACAGGAAAAACATGATTCTTGATCAAGTTCAAATTTCCTTTTTTTTTTTAATTTCTAAAAAACCAATCAAGGCTAGATTACAAAACTGGTTGTGTTTGAAACAACTTTCATGTGCCAGTCATAGCATATACAACAACTGAAGCTTGAAGATCACGGTCCACCTTGAAGTGAGCGTGGAAAAACCTTCTAACCTGCAGTTATAAAGAATTAATTGCTTAATTGCAAGAACCACAAGTAGAAACAACAAGAATAGCTTGACAAATAGATAAAACAAACCAGAATGAGCATGTACCTCTCTAAAAGAATGTGAAACTAGAAAATTTCTTAATTGCTTCTCCTCTGAATCAAACAACACAATGTGACTAGGGTGAGACCAATTTTTTGTAAAATTTACTGCAAAACCAACTGGATCCATCATGAAACAGTCCGATTCATCAGGGATTCCCTTCTCTTCGCTGTAATACATGTGAGAATAACATAAGAATTACAAAGAAACCACAGCATAAAGACATCATGGAAAGAAAAAAACTGCCGGTGACTAACCCTGGTGAGCAATCCAAAAACCGCATGGGCAGGTTGCGATGTAGAGTTGAATAGTAGGGTGTGGCATGGCAGGGCATTAGGAAAATGATACTTTTCACTTGCTCTTTTACAGCTTCTTTAGATAGATAGTTCATCACATCCTCAGTTCCTCTCTGTAAAGCAAGTTTGAGATTAGAGCATCAAGTGAAAGAACCACGGGTAAAATAGAATGTCCAACAAAAAAACATAGTGAAGGATCTTTTCTGCTTCCATTACTTCATAGTTAGGACAATAATAAAGAAATGAAAAGGGTAATGATAAGAGAAATTTACTTAAAATAAAGAAAATATTAAAACAATACAGACAGGGTGGAAGTGATCAAGCAAATTAAGCTGTTGTAATAAAGAAGATAAGGCACAAGTTCAGCAACTTTGGTTGCATTGTCAAGGTAGTCAATATACCTGATGAACCAAACTCATATAGAGGGCCATTGGAATATTGGTTGCAAGCAAGAAGAAGATAGCAAGTTGCATTTTCAAAGGCCGTTTGTTGTAAATGCATGAAGATCTTTTAATTCCACCATTTGGAGAACCATGTTCTTCAAATGCAGCTAGTGAGTATCCAGAGAAAATCAAACTTATGGGAAGCACAGGAAGGACAAACCTACAGTCAACAGATTAATCAGAAGATAGCAGAACAAAAGGTAAATAAGGAATTCTCAACTGCATGTGAACTCAAAGTAAATGATATTATACTTTAAAGAAACTTGCCTGAATTCTTTGTGACCAAGTATACTGTAAAGTCCTAACACCCACAGAATAAGCCCAGAAAGCTTCCAATATCTAGACTTGATAATGCCAGCAACACAAAATGGTAGAAAACTGAATAGCATCACTGAAAATCCCTGAGAGAAGTACCAGTGCCACTTGTGAGTTCCATAATAATCACCTCCAGAGGAAAGAAAATTGAACTTGAGAAAATTAAGTGGTACTAAGACCCAGGAGCCATACATTAGACGATCCAACAAACACATAAGTCCAAGCACCACAGTCCTGATAAAATAAGGAAAAAAGATAAGACAATACACAAAGAAGACAGTAAAATAGGAAATGAACTCCAACTAATATCTAAAAACACATGCATTCATATAATCACTTTGAAGGCCAAATGAACACAGTGTATATATATATATATATATCCATTTTCTTGAGTTGCTCCATCCATGTACTGCAAGCCCAAGGTAGAACTGAATTTTAGCGAAGTATTGAGTGTTTTATCAAAGATCACATCTGCTCTAAGCACCAATGGTCTGCAATAAGGTTTAAAACATGGCATTCCCCATACACGACTTAAAATATTATATTTGGGAAACAAAACTAAATTATCTTTATTCAGAAAAAAAACTTTTAGATTACTCTATTTCAAGAAAAACCAAATGGCATCTGTAGCAAATGAATAAATGTAATTTCAATCAATACATATTCCAACTTCTATTATTTGTTTATTGTTCAATTTATTATTAATTAAAGTTTCTAGGCAACCTATGAACAGTATGGTATTATTATATTCTCCACTAAAAAAAACACCATTTAGTGCCAAAACTCAGCTTATGTGCTAAGGCATATAGTATCAGATGTTACACATTATCTCATCTTTTTTCTCCTATATGATATACGGACATGCCATCATCTATTGAAAATAATAAGGGATTTCATTTGGAAGCTCTATGCTTATGTGGAAGCCTATTGTAAAGGTGACTTTAAGATTTGTGTTATTCGCTTGTTGCACATCAGTCATAACTTCATATTGTACTTGGTGACAAGAATTTCAACCATGACTAAGCATAATTTTCTTTATTAACATTAAAAGAGATGGATAAGAGAAAAATAGCAGAAGCATTTTAAGCACAAACAGCTACAAAATTTTTAAGGGAAATAAGGGAGAAAATAATACCTACCCAATAGGAATCAACTCCAGAAAAATAAATCTCAGCCGCTCATGAGTCAAGTACAGCTCAAGTAGGCCAACATACACCCAAATGATAGCACTTGTTGGTCTAATGGCACAAGCTAATGCAGCTAGAGCCAAACCCCACTTTCTTGAATCTGAAGGAACTTTGTTCAAAGAACTTCTCATTGATGGCCAATAGTAAAGGCTCACAAGAGTGAGAACAGTCTCCAAACTATTTGATAATGTACGATTGAAACAGAAAAACATGAACCAGTTTGCCAATTGAGAAAATAGCTGAAAAAAAGGTTAAGGACATTATTATCTATCATAAAAAAGCTCCATAGACAATAGCTACCAGAAAAATAGCTTAATAGCAAAGGGTAGCACAAAATCTCTGAAGAACATATAGCAAAAGGATACAGCCCATTTTGCAACATCGGCACCAAACAGGACAAGGGAAAGCTTATACAAGTATAAATCGCCAACTGCAGAAAATATGGATTGCAGCAGTCTTGGGGCCTTCATCTAGAAATCAGAGAACAATTGATATAAGCAATATGTCTTTTTTTTAATATATATATATATATATAAGTAAATGATGAAAATATATTGATTAATGTCTAAATTTATGATTTTACAGAGCCTAATTGAACCAATTGAGCCAAGCTCAAGTTGCTTGAGTAAATTACAAGCTGAGCTCAAGTATGGAAAGGACACTTGATCGAGATCAAACCGTCCCAAGCTTGAGCCTATCACTGGATCAACTCGACTTAGCTCGATTACACCCATAATTTAGGTACTCCATTATGGCTATAAAACCATAAAAGCATCCTGGTATCAAATATTTAGTTATTTTCACTTCTCTAGCTGATATTATACTCCGAAGAAATCAAAAGCTAATAGTTACACAATTTCCTACAAAGATCAGCGAGTGCATGCAACTGTAGTAAGATTCCTCCCCATCACCATAAAGGTCAAACTTAATGATCTTTATACAAAAATTACTTAAGCCAAAATCTCTATTTCACTTTTAACAAGGTTGATTTTAGCAGTAAAAATTAAATTAACAACAGCATATTTAGTAAAAAGAATTTATTGCGCACATGCCAAATGGTAAAGACGAATGACACCGCAAAAATTAAAGTAACACCATAATAGAGGGGGGAACTCATTTTTAACTTAACCATTGCTGCACCTAGTATAATTCATAACATATCCTATTCTTCAAGTTGTGAGATATCTATGCTTAATTTGAATAAATCAAAACAAGCTTTCCGATAGCATATGCCCATCTTGATATACCAGGCAAAGGACTACGCAAACAACCATCACACATAGATTCATACAGATATCCTGCATATAGAAAAAGACATGAATGTGGGCGGAGATTGAACGAGAATTATATTTCGATTTACCATGAACCATGGTGTATCAAGACCCAATAACGCAAGAAGTTTGTAAAAGAGAGCGAACACCATCGGATGCAAGTAGCTTCGGATTCCCTTCTCCCACTCCCATGTCAAATGACCATACCTATTCATTTCACCAAACAATTCACAGGCATAAAAACCCATCATCACTTTAATACCTGATATCACTAAACCACCATTTCCAACACATTCCAATGCTTCAAACTATTTTTCAAGAAAAAAATAATAATAACTATGGTTTTAACAAGATATGGAAAATACCCAAAGGCGATGCGATGAGCAACTTCAAGGGCCTGCCAGTGTTCATCTGGATTGAAGTAAGTTTGAATCAACAACGCGTTCAGCATTCTAAATCCCAAACAAATCGCCAACACATTCTTCGAAGAATCTGGAAACTTCTTTTCTTCTTTTTCTTCTTCTTCAGATAGATCTGGGTGCTTATTTGTAGAATCGTTCTTTCTCCGTCTCATTCTTACGCTCGTCACCTGCGGCTGCGAGAGTTACACTCTTTCCTAAAATTAAGGGATTATTTTATATATATATATATATATATATATATTCAAAAGAAGAGAGAGATTATTATTTTTGTTATATTTTAAAAGATAAATATTTATTTAAATAACTTCTTTTTTTAAATTCGGATATATCACATTTAACGCGCAAGAGATATGAAGTAATTTGGCTGCTCTTATGATGGGCTGGTAGCCCATTTATTTTGACGGAAAAATTAGATATTTTGCTTTTCTAAAAAAATTTGCTATTTTTGTTAACAGGTTTTTTTATGTAATAACTATGGTTTCATAGATATCAAACTGTTAACTAAATTTATCTTTGGAGTTTTTTTTTTTTAATATTTCAATCAAAAAAATAAATTAATGTTACGAAAAACCGTATAAATTATATCCAAATTCAATCGATAATTGTAGTAAAATAGTAACTTGTATAAATCAGTACTTTGTTTTGATTAATAGCTATATATAGCTTCATATGGTCGATTATTGTTGAATAACTTTATTGATAGGACCGATCAATTGGCTAATAAAAAATTTTCTATCCCAGAAGAAGACAAATTTGTTGGAAAACATTACTAACCATTCGGAATTAACTATAATACTAAAGATTTATAGTTCAAGTGATTAGATTTCAGTTTGAAACAACAAGAATTTGTTAAACAAGATGCTGGTAAACTTGATAAGAAATAACCAAGAATAATAAAACTAAAAAACAAAAAAAAAAAAAGAAACTTGATATAAGTAGTGATTCTCAATCCCTTTCTCCATCAATTCAATCTCCTCTCTTGCTCTTTTCTTTTCGTGATGGCATTTAGTAATTCAAGCTTCTACACCACTGGAATGGAAGGTTTGAAAAGAGATGAAGAGATCTGTATTAAATTTCCTCCTAAAGTCAGCTCTCCAGGCTTGGTTAATCTGCTTCGGGAGAAAGGTAAGAACGGAAACCTCATGGACTTTGCTGGGCCAAGACTTCATCTCCAGATGGTCGTCACTTTTCTTCTCACTCAAACAATTCATAGTATGCTCAAACACTTGGGATTGCCAATGTTCATCTCCCAAGTTCTTGTACGTGCATGATCTCATATGATTACTTTAGTTTTTCTTTCTTTTTTTTTTCTCATTTTAATAGTTCATGCACCACCCAAGAGGAAATTCTGATCATCAATGGTTTTTAATATATTCTTAATGCAGGCAGGGATAATACTCGGTCCTATGGTTATCAAGGATCCCTATTCATTGATTATAATGTCAGAGGATAGTATTGTAGTTCTAGGTACCGTGGCATCCTTCGGATATGTGTTCTTTTTGTTTTTAAGTGGGGTGAAAATGGATGTCAGCATGATATATAAGTCTGGAAGGAAAGCTGTATGTATTGGTTTCCTTACAGTGGTGGTACCTTTGATAGTTTGTTTGATAACGGTTAAGGCTCTTCACACAGAAGGCGAATTGTTTACAAATAAAAGTTTCTTTCTTGCAGTAACATACTCCGGGACTTCATTTCCAGTAATACATTGCCTTCTCAGCGAGCTGAAAATCCTAAATTCTGAAATTGGCAGGCTAGGACTATCAGCAGCACTCATCGGGGACATCGTGTCGCTAGTTCTTATGAATATTAGCCAATGGGTGAGGATAGGGCTTGAAAAGGGAATAGAAGTGGTTCTGCCTCATTCTGGACTAGCTATAGGCTTTGTTTTAGTTGTGGTATTTGTGCTACGACCTGTGATGAAATGGATGGCAAAAAACACGCCTGAGGGTGGCCGGCTAAATGATATATTCCTTTATGCTGTTATTTGGGCGTTCATGATGTCACCTAAGCTTACCGAAGTATTTAGAATATTCCTTCTCTTTGGCCCATTTATTTTGGGATTGGCTGTCCCGGACGGACCCCCAATGGGATCTGCTCTTGTTGAAATGTTGGACCCTGTTATTTCAGGGTTGTTTTTGCCTTTGTTTGCTACAACATGTGGCATGAGGATTGATCTATCTTACCTCAAAAAGAGTAATCCGTTTGCAAAGCACCAAGCAATTGCAGCGGTAGTAACACTTATTGTCAAATTTTGGGTTTCTTTACTACTGCCTTTATTATGCAATATGTCCACGAGGGATTCTTTGGCACTTGCTTTTATAATGATAACCAAAGGTATCGTTGAGATGGGTTCCTATAGCTTCTTGAATGACACCCGGGTATGTATTGCGCCTTCTGTTTCTGGTTTTTTTTCTGTATATTAATGTAATCACTAGTTCACAAACCACGCACATGCATTTATGTTTAATTAACATTTCTTCAAAGATAGAGAAAACTAATGCTTTTATCGTTTGATTCGCTTGAAACAAATGCAGGCTATATCAGAAGATCTATTTGCTTTCATGAGTATTATCATCATTTTGGTCGCAAGCGTTGTGCCAATACTTGTGAAAAGATTCTATGATCCATCAAGAAAGTATGTATGCTACCAGAAAAGAAGCATCATGCATTCCAAGCTCAATGAGGAGCTGCGAATGATAGGTTGCATTCATATACCAGGAAATGTCAATTCTATCATTAACATGTTGAATGCCTCCTGTCCAACCAGAGAAAGCCCCGTTGCTCTTGATGTCCTTCACCTTGTTAAGCTCAGCGGACGAGCCACACCAGTTTTCATTGCTCATCAAAAGCAAAACAAAATTTTGTCTAACGAATCATACTCTGAGAATATCGTCCTCTCTTTTAACCAGTTTGAGCGGGACAATTGGGAAGCTATATCAGTGAATGTTTTCACCGCAGTCTCTCCACCAAATTTGATGTACGAGGATATATGCAATCTCGCCATGAACCGACTCACAGCCATCATAATACTTCCATTTCACCGAAGATGGTATATTGATGGGACCATTGAATCAGAAGACCAAACCATAAGGAGCTTGAATTGTGACATCTTGGAAATGGCGCCTTGCTCAGTCGGCATCCTTGTTGAAGGACGCCGCCATCTAAAACGCTCCAATTCTAGAGATAAATTATCATCAGATAACTCCTCATCATACAACGTTGCTGTGATCTTCTTGGGGGGTAAAGATGATAGGGAGGCTCTATCGTTAGCCAAACGTATGTCCCAAGATAAAAGGGTTAACCTAACTGTAATTCATCTGAAAGCTGCAAACTGCGTAGGCACCATCTTAGCTGAGCGAATCCTTGATGATGCAATGTTAAGGTATATTAAAGAAAGTGTATACATAACATACATTCAGAAGCAGGTAAATGATGGACCTGAAACTTCAACGTTTCTTCGATCCATTGTGGATGACTACCAGCTTATCATTGTTGGGAGACGATACAACCATGAAGATCCCCAAACTTTTGGCCTGCAGGAATGGAGTGAATTTCAAGAGATTGGGATTATTGGAGACCTACTTTCGTCAGCAGATTTTGGTGGCAATTATTCTGTGTTGATTGTGCAACATCAACAACAAAAGACTGCATAAGCCCTAGTACAAATGATCATATAAAGTTGCCAAATGCTTTCTTGCTCACTTGCTCATATCCCTTGGACGAGGTGTGCCTTTGTATTAACCAAACACTTGTGAATATAGGCCTTACCTTCGGGTGGTTCTAACATCTTAGTTGTAAAGGAAAAGAAAGTGGACTGCTTTTTCAAATTTTTATTCATTTATTTTTTAAATTTGTTTTTTCTATGATGCAAAAGTAGAATATAATTTTATGCAAATGAATATTGTACAGTAAATCAAATACCCGCACTTTGATTATTTATGAATCTAGCCTTCAAATATATAGTTAAAGCAGTCTTGAGATGTTAATTTAGAGCAAACTCAAAACAATGGATTAGCTCACAGTGTCGGAAGAAATGGATAATTAATGAAGAAAGGCTCCAAAAAACAATATCCAAGCCATTTTTTTTCAAGTTTATTCATTAACAGATTATTTAGAAGATATGCAAAAGGGTTTGTAGTAGTGCATCAATCAATACTTTATCATTATATATCATACACTCAAGATTATTGGATTTGAATTTCATAATACAATAGGTGATACTTGGTCTAGTCATGATCTACTAACCCAATTCTTTAGGGCAACATCCATACCACTGTGTCTTGGCAGATGAAGTATATTTCTAATCACATTAAAATCCTCCAACGAGCTGAAGCCTGAAGGATGTCACCTTCAATCAGATCTCCCTGAAAGGCAATTTCAAGAAATGGTAGTCATGATCTACTACCTTTTTTTTATTGTTCAGTACAGATTGAACTTGCACATGGATGAAAAAAAAGGGTTTTAAGTAGCTAATCTCCTGCATCATATTGCTCCTTCTTCCCTCCCCCATAAAAGCAAAATAAATTGGCAGATAAGGATTTGGGTTTACTGATAACTTTGCATTTAAGTAATAATTTCAACAGCTTAACAAAAACTTTTCTCACAGGCAATCAAAGTTGGTTGCGATAGCTTAATTTTAACGGCTCATTCAGACAGTTTAACTTTTTCAATAACCATGGCTATCCACGTGATGGATTGATCAAAGAAATGGTACCATATCCAACCGCAAAGAGAAGAAGGAAAAAAAAAAAGGAAACATTCCAAGTAGAAAAGGAACCAGATTTTACCCATCTTGCGAGCCATTTGCAGCTCTTCTGAATTCCCAGAAACAAGTTCACAGTCAAAGTTACATTGTGAGTCACCGGACATTGCCCTAGTTCTAGTCCTAGAGCTTGATTGAGCCTTTTCTTTTAATGACGAACCCTTTATTTTTTTCTTCTTTTATTGACTTGACCCTTTTTTTCTTCTTTTTTGCTAAAGCGTAACGGTAAACTCAACGAATCATTACTTCAGAAAATAAAACTACTAACAACTCACATAATCATAGATCATTTCTGTAACTTCTACGTCTTACACCTGATCATAACAAGAAGGAAACCCTATACATAACACATATATATGTAAGCATTCCCCATTTATGTTATAAATCTCATATACTGTAAAAGATGGACACTTCAACATTATTGTCATGGTCCTCATGGACATGCAGTGAGCATCCTTTCCGTACATATATAATGCTTCAGGCAAAGTAAAATACTTCCTCTTTTCAACACCAGGACTAGCCAATATATTTGTCGAATTAGCCACAAGGCAAGAGATATCTCACCATACAGCAGATCATAGGCAAACTTCTTGGTCAATAAAGCTGATTCTTGAAAACTTCGCACTTCATAAACAACCAAATGAACTCCTAAGTAAAATGTAAAGCCAGCAACTACGAGCGAAGCTTACAGATTATATACATAAAACATTAGAGAGAGTACTTGATTATTGTTTCATAGAAAAGCTCAGGAGGAATAGGTAGGAAGTAACAAGATGGGAGGAATGATCAAGATAAAAATAAATAAAGAAAATCAAAATAAGAAGAAAAAAAATTAATACCCTAATACAAGAATTAAAAGGTCTTGCAAGGTCAAGAAAAAAAATTAAAAAAAAAAAAAAAGCTCAGCAAGGATAGCACCAATTACATCTTGATACCTGCTTCATTATACACTTGTAATAAAAGCCAAAGAACTGATATTCTTCTTGGCACATCTCAAGGAGGCATAAATAGATGTCTGGCTCCATTGGAAGTAACCTCTAGATCATCTGAGAGAAGGAACATGAGAAAGAGAAAGAAAAGACAGGGAAGAAGGAACTAGGCTTTGAGAATATCAAGCAAATGTTATGACATTAGGTTAAGGAGTGAAGTGATATATAAACTAAAAAGGCAAGAAGAAGAAGAAGAGATGCTTGTTGAAGGGATAGATAGGGATAAACGATGAAAAAAGAGAGGAAATAAATGATATTCAGAAGGTACTGATTAGGAGCTGGAAAAGAAATTTTAAAAATTCGACATTTGATTTGAAATTGTAATATTTGATTTGGATTAAATTTTTTATTTAATTTGAATTAAATTTGAATATTAATTTATATATTAAATTTAGATTAAATTTTGAATCAGATGATAAAAACAAAAAAAAATCAAATCAAATTATATATTTTTTAATTTTTATCTATATTTTAAATTTTAATAAAATAAAAATATTAATTTTATATTAAAATTTATTTAAATATATTAAAATAATATATAAAAATTAAAAATTAAAATCAATACATTAAAATGAATCAAATTAATAAAATTTAATTCGATTCTATTTAAATCGAATAAAGATTCGTATTATAATTGGAATGAAATTTTAAATTTTTATAATATTATATAATATTTTAAAAAAATTAAACCGAATCCATAGTTCCAGCAAATAGTCAAAAGCAAGCCATATCAGACTTGTGGACCCAAAAAACCATAAATGAATGATAAAACGACAATGGGAAAGTGGAAACTTTCATCCGTCATTGTTTTTTTTAATCTTTTCAATTCTGTGTTTCGTACTTCTTTTTCTCTTTTTCTATTTGTTTCCACTCTCTCCCCCCTCACAAGAGAAGTCTACCACCATCAACACTTAAAACGGTGACTGTTAGCAGCGAAAGCAACGTGACTTAACCATCATAAGTACCATCTGTCTCTGCCTCTCTCCACTGTTTTCACATCTTTTGCCTTCTCAACTACGTTATTTTGGAAGAATATGGAGCAAGGGATTTTCCTTTGGTAAAGCAATTAATAATAATAAGAAAAAGAAGCTGAGATTGACCTGTTATATAAAGGGATGGATATGGTGTTGCAATCAATACGTAAAAGGGAATAATGGAAACATGCAGTCTTGTTCCGTCTTTTTCTTGCAATTACCTCTCCTATACAAGTCTTCAAAAACCGCTCCTTAATTCCAAATTTGATTTTAAACAATCTTTCCACATTGCTTGTTGTTTCCAGCAGTTTCTATATCAGTTTGCACCATCATTTTAATTCAAAACTTTCTTAAATACCGATGTTCTTGTTTGGCAGTTTCCCCACACGTTCTATTGACAATTCTTTTGCATTTACCACATGCATCATGATGAAAAAGTGGCAGAGTACTATAGAGTACAATAAACCAATGTTAGATACACTGGCAAAGAAGACCTTTTGGTGCTTTTTTTTTTTTTTTTGTAATAAAAAACGGAAAACAGCTTCGTCATTGAAGTTTGGTCTCATGCAGATATACTCTCGTTTCTTGTCTTTGTATTTTCCTTGGTACCCTTATGGCAGTTGCACTAGAATAGGAGATAGGGTTTCTTGGCGAGTTTTTGCTTCAAATTTTGAAGCATGATGATTGAAAGGATCAATTATTCCAGGGTGACAAACTAGTGTAAGAGGGAAACTTTAGGCTCCACGCTCCTTCCAAACAAAGTGCCCAGCACTTCTCAAATAAGATGAAGATAGAATTTGATCAGTCCCTCTGGATCGGAAGGGTCCAAGAGACTAGAGAGTGGTAAGCGAAGGACACAAAATGGACAGTGGGTGATCAGGGTGAGATGTTTCCTTGCCATAGCTTTTACTCTTTGTAATCATCACAACCTTTAAGATGTGACCAGACATGGTTAAGTCATCGGTCTCTCTCTCTCTAAAGTCTTTGGTTTTGGCTTTGTTGTTTCTCTCTCTTCTTCATCCAACAGAATCGCCTACGTAAGTAAGCAAGGACTGAAAGCATAATGCTAGTCGCTGCAACAGAAACAGTATGGTCTATCCTAGCAAGGTGCTAGGTACAGCTTCTGGGGCCCGGGGGCACCCCTCTCCTGTCCCCCTTATGTGTGAGCCTTAGCTTATTCCATCTTACAAAATAAAGCCCTTTGATCTTTCTGTCTTCTCCCATTTCTCTCTCAATTTCAAGATTTGCACCGTTGTAATTAGGGGTTCTGTCTGATGCTATTATCCGCGTACTGGCTGCAGTATCTTCAATTGTTTCCACCAGTCAAGGGGTGGGTGGGAGGGTTAACTCATATTTATTGCCCATTTTCCCTCTTAGCTTCACATGGATTTTCCCACGTTGATCAGGAGTGGCAGTACTCACACTAGTCACATGGTTTTTCATTATAACTTTTCAAACAGAGCAACTAATTTTTGCAGAAGGCTATAATGATTACAATGCCAGGTAAGTCTGTAAAAGACCATTTCGCTTATACCATTTATCAGATTAGAGACACGTGCACAGGAATGCAGCTCTATATTGGAGGACTTGTCAATTGACATCATAAATTTTACAAGTAATACTTATAAAACTTTTGATACTACAAATAATTTCATGACAAAAACTTGGTTGTGTAATCAAAACTTTTACACTAAATAAATAAGATTCATTATTGAACGAGAAATTTTAGTGCTTGGTTGGAGCAACTGTCAAGTATAGAAGAGAGGCTTAGCTGCCAGGTGAAAACTGAAAAGAAAGAAGAGGTCACGCAAAGGAGGTTCACGAGGCTGCACTGCTGCAGATAGTAATATTCTTTGAGAGGCATTGATGTGATCAGTGTTGGATGAACAATGGGGTCATGGTCCAAAGAATATGTTCATTCTTTATCGGCAGCGGGAATAACATAACTAAAAAACTCATTGGTTTTTAGGGGACGATGCATTAATGAACACCCCTCTAGGCCCGCCTGCAAGCTCATCCTCCACTTTTTGGGTAGCTTTGGATTTTGTACACGTATTCTGTAAATAAATTTTGGGCACCTTTGAAACTTTGGACCAAAAGAAAGTTGGGCTTGAAGTTTACACGTTAAGGTACAATACAAAAAAGATGGTTTATTCTTGACTGTGCTCAGCATATCCTAACCCAAACTGGGAAATGGCCCATAGTTTTTGCTTGGCCTCACTGTTGACCAAGTCAAGCCATTAAGCCATATGCCCATATTGATCCGAGTGATACAACGATGGGCCATTACTTGTAGGCTCGACACATTTATCTTTGACCGCGGCCAGGCTGAGCTTCCAGATGACTTGCAAATTGCTGGAATCAATCATGCAAGGGACAAACTTGGAAACCCAAAGGATTTCAGATGACCATACGTGCATGCAGCCGTTGACAATGAGACTAAATAGAATTTGTAAGTGGTTTCATTCACCAAAATGATGATCATGCATGGCAAGCTAAATTTCTAGATCGGCCCTGATGAATTCTATTTGTGCAGAACTCCGGATATTTTTTAAAAGATAAAAAAAATAAAAAGAAAATTAGAGACAAAAATATGATATATTTTTTACATTTACATTTTGATGTACAAATTAAAAAATTTCAAATAGAAAGAAAATATAAAAATGAAAGAAAATGAGTAGAATTGACCTTTTCTAATGTTTATATTTATAGATAAATTATGAAATATCATTAAAAGATAATAAAAATAATATTGAGTTGATGTGATATTAAATATGTTAGATAAATTTGAGATGTTAAATTAATATAAATAATAAAAATACTCTTAATTATTTCCTAAATGCTTCATAAAAAAATCACTATAATTTTTTTTTTACCATCAAATACACACAGATTCTATCGTGGATTGGTCTTCCTTGTGCTAATGAGTTGCAAACTTGTGACATGACATTTCATTTTGCTTGAATCAATGAATTAAAATTTAAATTCATCGAATCTAACTGTTTGAATAGAGATATGCACTTACCAACTTTAAAAGAGAAAAAAACAAACTTCTTCACTCCATCCTCAACAATGGAATCTTAGTATCATTAGAGAAGAATATGCTCCCATACGGAGCAAAGAAAAAATAAAAGGAAAAGCACACTCTTCAACATTTGCAAGCGAAGCCCATAGGAAGATCGAAGGAAAACACAAAAACCGGTGACTCATAATTTCCTAAGTCTATGAGCCCAAAAAACAAACAAGAAACGTTTGACCCTGCCCCTTGCCTTATAACTTATCTGAAAGTCGGAAACCGCGTTCTCTTTTTCCATAAATTCCTTCTTTTATTTGCCACTAACTGCCATCCACAAACTCAATCTAAAAAAAGAAGCTCCGCCATGCCGTCAGCTTCCCACGACTCTCCCAGCGGTGGTTCGCCACCGCCACCGTCGAAACCAAAGGGAAAGTTCCTGTCTTTAATCCTGAAAGCCATAATCATGATGTTTCTCATCTCCTTCTTCTTCCTCCTCCTCCCTCTAGCCTCTTTTCTCCTCCTCCTTCCTCTTGTCCTCCGTCACCAGCGCCACCGCCATAGCCGCCACGCTCATCCCTCGCCTGGGTTTTCTCCAAAACAGCTCAAAAAGCTTCCCCAATTCAGATTCTCCAAGGAAACAAAAGCTACCTATTTGGAATTGGACCCTTGTGTTATTTGCTTGGATGGGTTCAAACAAGGTCAATGGTGTAGAAACCTTGTTGGGTGTGGCCACTTGTTTCATAGGAAGTGTTTGGATGCTTGGTTAATGAAAGTTCCTGCTTGTCCAATTTGTAGAGCAAGGGTTTGCTTGGATAATGATGATAAATGCATTTGGGGTTTTGGTTCAAGGGGAACAGACTTTCAGGGTTTGTTAGATATGTAAGTGTTTTGTTTCCATTTGTTTTAAGAATTTTGTAGTCTATGTAAAAATTTGGTCTTTGTTATTATAATGTACAGCTTTCTTCTCAATAATCAATGTGAAAATTCGTGCAATTTTGGTTCACATTCGTATCTTTTTGTTAATTTTTCAACGCCCATGAGAATAAAAGACTTTAATAGTTGAATTTCGTTTTATTTATTTATTTTTAGGACTGAAATAGAATGTTGTTTGTAGCTTAATTTGATTTGATTATTATGAGAAATTGGTTGTTCTGGTTATGAACTTTGAAGTGTCTTGATCTCATATATGGTTAAAAAAGGTAATCAAAGAAGGATTCAAATTTTTGTACTTGTTGAGGTTGTCATTACTGTATCATTGCTTGTGGAAGTGATTCTTCATGTTTTTTCTGTATGTTGTCCTTTGTCCATACCAGGTCAAAGATCTCAGAATGTGTAAATTTGGGATGGGGATTTCAACAAGAAGTCCTTGGTTTTGTTATGACTATAAATTTTGAAGACACTTTATTTATGTTATTGTTTTCCTTACAACCATTTCCTGCTAAAGTAATTTGTCTAAGTGGTGTTTGGCTGGAAATAGAATCTAATAGTATGTATATTTACAGAATCAAAATGAGAAGGGAGATGATAAGGTAGGGGATTCTTAAATCGCTTAGTTAATGTCTCTCCTGATAGTAGAAGATGATGCAGTTTTCTAAGTTACATTGTTTGTTACTGGATGGTCATTATTGAAGCCATAATAATATATGGTAAGATCTCTCCATCTCCTCAATGTAGTTTATCCCTCAAGGAGATGAAAACAAACTTAATATCAGCCTCTAATGGTCCAAATGACATTATGAAATGTCTGTGAGATTTTTCCACCTAGAAAATGTAGTTGTTCTTCTATGAGATGGAAACAAGCTTAAAATCAGCCTCGTCTGCCTTATCTGTTTCTAATTGTCACAATGGGAAAATAAAACTTCAGTGAGATTTTAATTTTTTTCCCTATAATCTGCAAACTCTAGTTCCACTTCTAGAAGATGGAAACAAGCTTAATATTAGCCTCCTTTCACTCCATTATATCGGATATAACCATCAAGTGGTCTTTTCTGTTATTAAGGGGTTTGAAACACTTTCCATCATTTATTCTTATCCATTCTTCCATCATGGTTGAAGGAGATTGTTATGCTGGAGGAGATTCTATGTGTGCTTTCAGGTCTTTCTTGACAATTTGAGAATTCAGTAAGTTACATCTGCAACAGCAATAGATTTTTTTTTTCCTTTTTGAAGAGAGCAATAGAATTATTACTTTATTATTTATATCATTTTTGTCCATCTTATCAATATAGGCATCACTGGACGTCTGGACGGGATGGATAAATTTCTTTGGGAAGTCCTAGTAACTAGAAACTTCTAAGGAACCTTATATATTTGGATGATTAATGTGTGCTGATACTTTACTTGCTGATAATTACTTTCCGATATTGATCACTGTCTGCTTGGTATTAAGACCATACCTTTATAGGATGTTTATAGTACCACACCCCCTTACTACTCCTGATAGCTAGGTTTTGCACCATGAATATCAAATTTTGTCACCAAAGTTTACTTTATGATGGGCTGAAAAGTCACGTCATGAATGCAGTGACCTCATAATTTTGTTACTAGATTTTGTATCTTCAATTCAACTTCAAGTAATTGATGTTTTCTTGTCTAGTAACGTTAATATAAGTTCCAGCAGAGAGTTTTGTGGCCATGTAAAACAATAATTATGTTCAAAAGAACGAATATAAGCCATGTAAGCCGACACCAGATAATGCTTTCTTTGTAGACATGTAAGCATGATAGAAATTAACAAGTTATCTATAAATTCGTACTGATGTTGTGGGTAAAGTTGGGTAACTTTTGTCTGTATGGTGCAAAGTTTATTTATGAGTTCAATCAAATTCGTATAAGATGATCTACCTGTTCCACAGCTTTATCTGCTTCTCTTCTCAAATTCCTGACCCTTCTCCATGACTTCCCTGTCATTTTTCTTCCTCCAATCGACCCTTAAACGCCAGTGTTACTTGTGTTTTGCTGGATGGAAAGCTTTGCCTACCTTGATGGTCCGTCATCTCAATCCTCAAGCCTGCTATTTGCGTTATCCTCTTCTTGTTTTCCATTAATTGGTTGCTCACCATTCATGGGTAATGCCAATGGAGGAATTCCCACCAACAAGCTCTCCAAAATTGAGTTCCAACCGCGATGGCTCAGGAAGCCACCAAATTGCTTGATGACCTCAAATCTGTCATTTCTCCACCAGGTCTTTGACTATAAATCCCCTTCTAGTACCCTTCCCTTCAATTCACTTGGCGGCGAACATTTTGTTGACCCCATCACCAACAACAAGTCATGACCAAACATCTCGAATCCTTGTCCACTTCCATCATGATCAGCATCTGATAAGCGTGCTTCTGTACTATATAGCACTTAGATACTATAACTGATACTGTTTTGCAACAACGTTAATCGAGCCAATCTATATACGCAGTAGATGGTGGAGAATTCTTGTGACTCTCTCTCTTGTCGTCATATGGAACGGCAGGTCCAACATACCATGCTTTAGTTCCATCTCTGTAGAAGTGCTCAAAAAAAAAAGGACATGTTAGAACCTTCCAATTAACAAACCTGTTCAGCACAAGTCCCCTGATCTGAACGTCAGATTCATCACACTCAGGCTCAGCTACAAATTTCAGCAGAGGGCAGTTGTTTATCATGAATCTGTATATTGTATATTTCTGGCAATTCCAACTTGAAATATACAGATTTCATTTTCACATATTTTATTAATAATAAAATATACTACGAAAATGTTGGCCCAGTCTGTTAAATTTTTTCAACAAAAGGGGTTTCAATATAATTTTAGGAGTTTTGAGGGGGTGTTTTAGCAATTTACCTTTTTTATTAGTATTATTATTATTTTTTTTTTATCGTAGTTTGGTAAATATAGAAGGCTCGCAAATGTGTGAAAATGGATAAAGAAGAAAGCGTAGAAAATAAAAACTCCGGAAGATATGATGGCGGTGTCAGCGTCTCTGCAACCACAGCCTTTCTTCAATGGAAATCTCCTCTTCTCCTCTCCTAATCCTCAAATTCATCATCGCTCTGCTACCATCTTCAGGTGAACTTCACTCTAAAACCCATTTCTTCTTTTGCTCTTTTTTCTTGCATTTTCTTTCTCATTTGTTCTTAAGAATTCCACCAAACCTCCTTGAGTAACTCTACTCCTGTGTTATGGGGTTCAACTTAACAAAACTTGGTAAATGTTTTCTATTTTTTACCATCTGGGTATTGCAGAAATTTGATTAAATGTAGCACCTTTAATAAGGAGAAAAAAAATAGTTGATTTGACACCAAAATGAAAGTTAAACGTTTTTCTGTCCAACAAATGGCTCAGGCCATGATACCATGTTGACATATGCCTCTTGTTTCATGTACCTGCCAAAGTTTCTGACTTGAATGCTGTGGGAAACCTATTTAACATATTAAGCCTTTTATTGAATGAGAAGTTCTTTGTAGAAAAATTAGTAATACCTAAATTTGAGGATTTTCTGAAGGAATTCCTTGACATGCTTCTTCCAGTTTCAGTTACTGAAGGCATTTATTCATGGTGTGTGATAAAATTTCACGTAATAACTCCTTATGGCTTCGACCAACGTTGGATTTTGAAGTTATTATTTTGTTTATGTCACCAGTTGTCTATGTATATATGATCCATGATGAAAGGTCTAGAGGGCAGTAATTGGTGCAACCCAGATTTGTATCTTAGGCCTATTTCAATTCTAAAATTTCTATCTATTTTCAGGTGGAGATTTGGAAGAGACCAAGGTTCAAGTCTAGTTGCCAGTAGAACCAAGGGCCACGCATTTCGAATCTTGGCCAACCCTAATGTATGCTTCAACCAAGGTTTCATCATGTATAATGCCAGTATATTTGGTTTGAATATGATCAAAGGTTTTGTAGGTATGTAATTAGTGATTTAGTCAATAAGTGCTTCATGTTAGTAAAGTTCTCCATGTCTAGATGAATATTGGTTGTTCTAGAGGTAAAATCTACAACTGTCTTATTGATGGTACATGATATACAAATGGACTTCTCATTGTGTTGTGACTTGGTTTACTATATCAGTTGTGAAAATGGAAAACAATATGGTACTCATGTTTTCTGTGCTTAATGGAAGAAGTCCATGGCTAAATGACTTTGTTGTCTACTTGCATCACTTGCTGCTGTAAACTGTAAGATAACACATCCATGGTATCAAATAAAAAACTCTTAAATAAGATATAGAGTGACCATGGCCAGATAATGCTGTCAATAGCTTAATGAGGAAACCGTTGAGTGTGCCTATAAATGATAGTTAATCTCTTAACATCCCATTGTTTAACACTTGAAAATCGAATAATTCAAAATAGTAAGCTAATTTATAAAAAATTTCCTATCTTTCTAGTTCAGAATTAGTTAATTCAAAACAGTGGGATTGCCACTTGATTTTGTTCACAATTTATTCTAGTGGCTGGAGATTCTGTACCGTATTAAAGTCATTTTGAATTTGCTGGAATTGCAGCCTCATTATTATACTCTTTATCTTTTGTCAAATGTCTGTCATGTCATTCAATAGGCTTGCCTTCAGAAATAGGAAAAACAATTTTCTTCTTCCCCTGTTCTATCTTTGCTAATGCCACATATTCAACAGCTAGTTCATAGAAGGAAAATATATATGAACATATTGTATATGACCATGGGTTTTCTCGATTTTGCATCTAATAGGTGTCTTCAGGGAAGGGAGATCCAGGTAATGAAGTCATCATGGTTGACCCTTTGGAAGCTAAACGATTAGCTGCTAAACAAATGGAACAAATTAAAGCTAAACAGAAATTCAAGGTAAATATTTCATTTTAATGAGAGTTAGCATCTTTTCTTGTATATTCATTTTTACTGCTGAAGAAGATATCGGTGGCCTGCTGAAGTTCTAATAGAGAATTGGAAATTAACAAATTTTACCAGAATGTCTGATAGTTCTTTGATATTCCACTTGCACATGTGGTTCTGTCGATCTCAAGACCTTCTAGGTATTCCAGTGAGCTATGGTTTATCCGACTTGTTACTTTATTTATGCCTGTTTCCACTTGTTCTGATATTTTCTATTTGGTTTGCTAGAGGCATGTCAGCAATTAATTTTGTTTTTACAGTGAACTAGGCAAACATGTCTTTCTTCAGGAAGAATAGATGTCATAGCCGTAGGCATTGTTTTGCATCAACATGCTCTCATAAGGGTGTTTGCTGTAACTATTCTTTTCATTTTAGAGGAGACGCCAAATAGAAGCAATTAATGGGGCGTGGGCAATGATTGGTCTTACAGCAGGCTTAGTTATTGAAGGTCATACGGGAAAAGGTATTCTAGCACAGGTAAAATTATTTTCGTATTCTAGCACAGGTAAAAGGTATTTCCATTTCAGTTGTGACTGGATTGCTGTGTACCTTGCTCATGAATGGTTCTGTTTTTTCTCAGTTGGCTGGTTATTTGTCAGCGATCATCCATGTTTTTGTGGGATAGGCTTGTTCCCTTGTGGATGATTTTGGGAATGCTGGCTCAATCATGATACTATTTTTTTCACATCAAGAATATAATATTATCAAACAGATGCTCTTTCATCTTATTCACTTTGTAACCCTTTATTTGGTATGTCCCCTGCTCTTTCACCATCCCGTTTATAACAAACTGTAATCATTCTTTATGAAAAATGACATCATTCTTTCTTCTGGCTCCAACTACTTGTTGCTGTATTGACTTTGGTATAAGCGAGAAACTTGGTGGAAATTTTTACCCAATATCAAATAACATATTTTTAGTTGGATTCTTGGAAGTTGGAACCAGTGAGTTTTAATTTCTAATCTAAGAAGAGGCAAATTATTTCAGTAAAATACTTGCTCTATATATTTGCATGTTAACACCAAACGGATTTAGATTACATTTCTTTATATCTGTCACGATTCAATTCTAAGCTATATATATGTCACTTGTGTGCTTTGATATTTAGTCTCAAGATCTCCAGGTTTATATCTTCATAGGGCTTGATCTACTTCCTTAATACAAATCCGAAATTCTTTTCTTTACTGCATAATCTTAAGCACCAGGGGATTACATTTTTCACATAATCAATCTAGTGACAGAAAATTCCAACTCAGAAAAAGTCCCTTTCGAGCTGAGGATGTCACAAATAGTATTAAGTATGACATGGGACTACTAAAAATCCTGGATCTCTGTAAACAGTGAAAATGCACATTGGTTTCAACGACCAAGCTAATGGTTTTAGCTGCTTGCGTGCGTGGTGATCGTTCCCCTCTCGTTATGTTGAAGATAAACGTATTTGTGCTCATTGCTACTTCGAATAAAAAATAAAGATAAAAAGATCTTGAAAGCTAGTATATATACTGTGCTCCCTTCTTGCAATGGAAAATTATATTCCTCTGGTTTTTTTATTTATCGGCATTTTTAGCATATACATACAGAATCTACCTCAAAAATGGGATGCTAACGGCTTTCATGGCAGTACTTTTAGCAGTATTTCAGTCCTAGACATAATGGACGCAAAACCTTTATACAACCCTTTCCCAGTCAGGTGGGTATGGAAAAAATGTGGTCTCAAACTTGGGCTGCCATGAGCCAACCCCATTAACAAGGTTAAATTCTTTTGTTCCTTTTTTCTTATTCACATGAGGCAAAAACTAATTGGTGGGCGGTGGCTACAATAGTGTAATTTGCAGAATTTTTTTTATTTTTATTTCTCGTTTCTAGTTTATCTCTAAACCATTATCTAATATTAAGTCAACTAATTTAAACTATCAATCAGCATGTAATTTTCAGTATTAAATAAGCTATTAACTGGGTTTGAGTTTTCCAGTGGTCCCTCTTTTATTTCTAAATTTACCTTTTCATTCGTAAAAACATGAACAGTACTGACGGCAGGAGCACCGACCATCACGCAGCCGAAGCATTAGACAAAGCACTTAATGATTCACAAGGATGTGGCGTTAAATATCCTGCAAGATAGGGTCTTAGGCTGTAGGGCAGTGCTAGGCGGCGATGGATCGAGGTGCTGACTCTGCAATATGTTACTAGGCGGCGATGGATCGAGGTGCTGACTCTGCAATATGTTACTACTTCTTTATCTGGTTTAAGTGGCATTTTTATCCAATTTGCTTACTGTTTCAATTCAATAATAAATGAAGATCGGATAAGGCGGTCCATGGGATAAACCAGCCAATTGCTGAAGGGAGGTCTTACATGGATTCATGATTCTTTTTAACTGATGTAGACCACTTCATTTTTTCCAGGATTGCAATTTTTCCAGTCAAAGTGGAATTGCTTGAATTGGTCCATGGGTCACTTTGAGCCCCCCCGCCCCCCCAATTTTTCTCAGCATGCTTTATTAGTCAATGAACATGTTTCATCTTCAGGCCTTTCATTCATTCTCAATGCATTCAAAACCCTCTGGAAACAATCTACATAAAATCTCATCAGGATATGCTAATCTGACCAGCAAGCACTTGGGGGGGGGGGGGGGACTGGGGCAGATGTCAAGATTGCCATTAAAAGCAAAAGTTTTTTAAAAATTGATTCCAGAAATGATTTTACATTCATCAATAAGAAGGTACCATAAATTTTTTCACTTCCTACAATTTATCATATTAGTTAAAGTAACAATAATCTAAAAAGCCCACCTTCAAAGTCTTTTCATTAAATTAAAGCAGCAACCAAATAGATAATTGTCCATAGAAACTGCAATTAACTTGCTTTAGGGTAACAGGTACTACATCCATCATTTTTCTTCTACACCTTTTGAGTCCATTTCAAGCAGCCATAAGGATTGCTTCAACCCTGAAATTGTCCAGTATGATTTGACATCTGCATCTAGGGCAGGGCAGGACAGGGGAGGGGAGGGAGGAAGCTTTTCTTTTTCTCCTAACTTTAAATGGATATAATGCCAGACATTGTTGAGACTCATTCAAGGTATTCAACTGCCAGGCTAACTCAATAGGATTGGTGCCAAAATGGGAAGTAGTTGATCCCATACCAAACCTCAAAATAAAAAATGTTTCTAATTTGTCACCTCTTATCTGGATATATACAAGCCCCTCCCAAAAAAAAAAAAAAAAAAGAAGAAAGAGCCTTTATAACTGTTTACATAATTGGTCATCTCAAAGATTTTTAATAATTCAAATAAGAATATAAGAAGTTCTATTGAAATTTTCTTCCTCCTCAACTTGAGCTAAGTTGGGATAATCAAGAGAAAAAAAATATTATCATATGTTAAGATTAGATCATTACAAAAGAAAAGTCTTTAAAAAAATTGAGGTTGAGATGGAAAGAAAGTTATGTTTTTTTTAATTGATTTAATATTTAAATATGCCCTCAAACTTTAGAAAGAATAAAATTATGCTTTTTACCTTTTATTACATGTAAATAAGACTAATCTATTATTTTTTGTAATTATAATTATAAATTTATAAAACAGCGTTAATCTTTCAATATTTTTGTTAGATTCTTTTCACTAATTTTAAAAATTTATGACTATAATTATAAAAAAAATTATAACTTTATTTACATGTAATAAAAAATGAATATTTTATTTTATTTTTTATTAAAATTGGAGAATATATTTGAATATTAAACCGTCTTAATTAGTTAGTTTCATACATTTATATTTTTAACTATTGATATTAACTCTTACTTACAAATTCAACTACTTAAGATAGAAGAATCACCAATGTTTTTGTTTCTTACTTTAAATTTTCATTCATGTTTCCTATGATTCAAACACAACAATAGTAAAAGTTTGGCATTGTTCAAGGCAGCTTCCTAGGAAAGGACATAGCTAAATATTCCAAACAAAACAAAGAGTTTTGATAAACATATAAAATATAATAATAATAAATATTATAAAAAGGTTAAGTTGGTGTGAAAGATAGACCCAATCCCTCACATTTTCACAAACCCTTCAAAATCAGCCGAAAACGTGGGTTAGTGACTTATCCAACCACAAAAAAAAACAAGAACCCAAGTGCTCTTTCTCCCTATCCTTTTCCTTCGGAAAAATCTTGGTGGGCTCTTGTCATTTTCCTACTAGATCGTATATATCCTCAAAGACTTTGATTAATTATTTTATTTTTATTTAAAAAGAAATTCGAACGCATCTTTTTAAATAAGAAATAAATGAAATGAAATTGTAGAATGTAGAAGATTGATTTTTTCATGAAATTTATTAGTATAAAAAAATTATAATTTTTTTTTATTACAATAAATCAACGGGCAACTGAACTGACATATAATTAAATAATTTTAATATAAAATTACATCAAATTCAAACACGTAATAAGATTTGTATATAAGACATTAAGATTTCAATTTTTTTTTCAACAAATCAAGACATGATTGGCGAAACGTTGATTATTTTAATTATACAATTTTTTGGTCAATCAATCAACGGCATGTAAAACGTTCCTGCATGTCGTCAGCTGATTGGTTCCAACATGCATTTTGACTAAAGTTTTACTCAGTCAATCCACAAGTTTAAATACGTGAAGGATTAAGGAATCTTTAGGAAATTATGTTCTGCTGTTGCGGTGCTATGTATTCAAAGAACGTTCAAAAGGCATTAAAAAAAATAATTAAATTAAAGAACGTTCAAAAGGTTGAAATAAGAGAAGAGAGGAAGTCGGTGCCAACCTTACCAACCATTTGGGGTTCTCACTTCCCATTCCCAAAGTCGGATTGGATTAATTCACAACTACAAAATAGATATCATTATGCTAACAGAAGGAATTCTATGTTTCAGTAAACTCAATTTTTTGCACTCGAGGAATTTGTTATTGCAGGTTTGGATGAATTTAAAAAATTATAAATATCAATCTGATTTTTTTAAATATAAAAGATACAAAATTTTTTAATGTATAAATAGTTAGAAATGAGTAAAAATCGATTTGAACTAATTAAATTGATCAAAATTGAGTAAATTTGGTTGAATTAATTCGGTTTATTTAGTTTTGATTATAATCGATTTTTTTAAATTGATTAAATTAATTAACTCGATTAATTTTTTATTTTTAAAATTGATAATCGAATTGATCGAACTGATCAATTTTTTTAATAAGTAAATGTAAAAAAATTAAGATAAGTATTTTTATTTTTTTTATAAAATATAATTAAAATTATTAAATTTTTTAATGATTTGATTTGAATGATATTTGAGTTTGAATTTTATTGAATTGAATTTATGTTTAAAAAATTATTTATAATGAAAATAATAAAAATTTTGATTATTTAATCAAATTGATCGAATTAAATTAATTTTAATTAATTTAATTATAATCGATTATTTAAATATTTTTTATTGATTTAATTAATTATTCACTTTTATAATTAATGTTAAAGATATATAAGAAAGATGATAATGACAAAGCTTTAGAATTTGGATAATGAATAATAAGTTTTTTATTTTTTATTTTTAAAATGTCAAATATATTATATTTAGTTGAGGAATTGATGGAGTGAGTGATTAAAATCCCCTTTCACTACTTAAAAGGATAAATTCCCTTTCAAAGTTATTGTTATCTTTTAGCTGTCTTCTATAGCATTCTGAATTCGTAATGATAAGTGATCGTTTTGGCCCATTAACCCGTCACATCCCTAAAAAGTGAAGTGTGAGCTTGTACAACTTAAATTTTCTTTCAATCACGTTAGAGCATCGATAGCAAACCATTCTTGAATTACACAATGAAAGACACAATAATTAAAAGGGGTCAAGTAGAAATTTGTTTTTATTAGACAAAACTACCAATGTGGGGCGGACGACGTTTGCTGTGAACCCGCAAAAACGTTTTGGATTTGTGTAGCCTTAATATTTGGTTTTAGCTTCTTCTCAAGTATATCTAATAATTTAAAATATAATATAATAATATAATATAAATATAATATAATATATGATATAAATATAACATAATTTAAAATTTTATAAAATTATATATAAATTAAATAAAACTAAAAAAATATATTATATTTTTATATCAATATAAATTATAACATATAATTTTTATATATAATATAATATAAATTTATAAATTTTAACATTTTATATGATATAAATATATAAATTTTCAAATCTATTCTCAAATCCCAACTTGCTAGAAATTTTCTTCTTTAAACCATGATTTTCTATACGTGACAAAGGTAGATGAACTTAACCAACCTTTAAGATTAACAGGAAACACTATTCCCTTTTTAACATTCATTGAACAATCATAATTTAGTTAGTTAAATCCAATTTGCATCACATGCTTCAAAGCTGGTCTTTCCATGACTTATTTCTGGATACATTGAACATATATATATATATATATATATTTACAAGAGATGTGTTAGGGATAGGAGAAAGAGCTATTGATGTTAGGATTTGCATAAATTTTGTATTCGTTGAGTTTAATTAGTTTGTATATTAAAAATTATTTGATTATATTGTAATTTTTACTTATATTAATGTGTAATTTTATAAATATATATAGATATATAGTATGGTCATGAAATGTAAATTGAAAAGTATTAAAGAGGATCTCTTTGGAATATTAAAATCAAATTCCGTGTAATTTCAAACCATTCACAATGGCGAAAAGGCATTTGGGTTATTAAAGCAATTAATTCCGTATTAGGACTCCTAATTACAAACTTTTCTTTCTAGTCAGTGTGGGAGAGTGACCTTGTTTGTCTAGCTCTACACCCCTCAACATGGTGGAAATTTTCATTTAATTATAATTAGCATGCTTAATAAAGCCCATTTTATAAAGAAAAAAAAAATGCCAGTCAAGGTTGACACGTATACACTGTACAACAGTGAGTTGACTGGGAATGTTTTAGCTTAAACCCTTCGGCATCCACGATTGTTGATTTTTAAAAAGATTTTTCAACTTTCATAAACATTAAAATTATTGTATTTAGTGTTTTTATTTTTTGGTACAATTAATTTTTAGTATTATTTTTAATTCATGACAAATCTTTTTTTTTTTCTTAGTTATAATTTTAGTTTGAGTCACAATATTTACAAAGTGCATCTATTCAAAATTTCATTTGTTATTTTCTTTGTCAATTACTCATTTCCATATTTGGATAAGATAGAATCAAAACATATCTCAATTATTGTTGGAAAGTTGAATACTCTTATTCGTCTTTAATGCCATCCATTGGGCGAGAAGAAAGTCGATCATAAGAATTAATATTGACCAAAATAATAAAAAAATCAAATTAATATTTATCTTAAAAATCATTTCATCAATTGTCAATGAAATTTGAAAATTTCATATATGAGATTAGAGGATAACCACATACCTCATTATAATATATTTACA